TACCGCGCCGAGGCCGTCTTTGTCGGCGTCGGCGTGTGGGACGTCTTTGCGGCCGTCGTGACGCCGGGCGTCAGGAGGACGTGGGACCGCAGCGTCGAGGAGTGCTCGCTCGTCGCCGAGGAGGGCACGGGCGGGCAAGGCGTCGGCGAGCTGAGCGAGGTGTGGTGGGAGAAGAGGAAGGGTCAGTGGCCTGTCGCGTGCGTCCACCTCTCTCTCTCTCTCTCTTGCGGGGTGGATGAGCCGCCGAGAGCCGTGGTATTGACGCCGCTCTCGCACCCGCAGCCCTCGCGACTCGGTCCTCCTCCGCACCGCCTACAAGTCGCCGACGACGGTCCACATCTTCTCGTCCTCAACCGACGACACGTCCCTGTTCCCCTCGATCCCGCCTCCCGCACCGGGCACGATCCGCGCCCAAGTCGACCTGTACGGCTGGTCGATCGAGGCCCTCTCGCCGACGACGACCCAAATCACGCTCCTCGACCAGTCGGACCCGAAAGGGTGGAGCACCAAGTCGAGCTGGACGCCGCAGGCCCTCGTGCAGGCCGTCGCCGGCGTGCGCGACTACGCCATCAAGCGCGGCGCGCCCCCTGTCGTCACCCGCCTCGGCGGCGCCGGCGTGCGCAAGACGGCCGAGGAGTACGACCCGGACCGCGCCGCCCTGCGCGTCGAGTACGCCCTGTCGGGCACCTCGTCATCGTCGTCGTCGCCGGCTTCGTCGTCATCTTCCTCGACGGCCCAGGCGAGCGAGGACGCGTCGCAGACGGTCGAGTGCGAGATCCGGTGCGACGCGACCGTGTGGGCCGGCGCCTCGGGCCTCGACGTCGTCGTCGACCCGCCACCGTCGTCCGTCACGGCCCTCTCGCGTCACCGCCTGAGCAGCGCCGGCGGCGGCCTGTGGCTCTCGATCGAGCACCCGCCGGCGCTCGTGCGCTCCGAGGGGCGCGTCGCCGTCAGCGTCCGGCGCGGCGCCGGGCCCGCCGGGAGCGTCATGGTCAACGGCGCGAGGGTCAAGACGGACGTCGAGGTGCTCGACGACGACAAGGTGCGCCTGCTCGAGAAGCAGAAGCGCGTCAAGCCGAGGCCGGTCCCGCTCGACCAGTACGAGACGCTCGGGCCGCGCTCGACGACGGGCGCAGCAGCGCAAGCGCTCGCAGCGGGCGGAGCAGCAGGAGCGGCGGGAGCGGGCCAGGGTGGGGCGGCGTTGGGCGGCTCGAGCGCGAGGGACGGGCTTGGTGCGGCGTCGAGCGGTGGCGCCAAGGACGGCAAGGACGGAGCGGCGGGAGCGGGCAAGGCGGCATCCGTCGATGGCGATGCTCTCGGCGACGCGGCGTCAGCCGGGCGACGAGGGTCGGCAGATGCGGCCGCCGCAACGAGCTCGACGGCCGGCTCGACCAACGACGTCGCCGCCGTCGACTTTGCCGCCGCGCCCAAGGCGCCCCTCGACCCGCCCGCGTGCGCGCTCGATGCCCTCGCCTGGCTGCAGACGTTCCACGCCGAGCAAGGGCCCGAGTTGACCGACCCGGCGCCCGGTTGGGCCATCGTCTCGGAGCGCGGCGGCACCGTCGTACGCAAGAAGGTCCTCCCTCGCCTCAGCGACACGTTCCCCGTCTACCGCGGCGACAAGATCGTCCAGGGCCTGACGGCCGACGAGATCGCCGCCGTCGTGACGAGCCCCGGGTGCCGCAAGGCGTGGGACGAGCGCGTCGAGAGCGCGACGCCGCTCGCCAGCTACGGCCACGGCGTCACGACGTGCGCCATCGCGACCAAGCCGGCGTTCCCGTTCAAGGGCCGCATCTTCTTCGTCGCGACCGCCAACGCCGCCGTCAAGGTGCCGTCGGCCAGCTCCGGCGCGTCCACCTCGACCGTCCTGTTCGTCGCCTCGGCCTCGTACACGCCGACGCCGTCGAGTGGGACGGCGAGCGACTCGTTCGACCCGGTCAAGGTCAACCCGTCGTCGCTTCCCGCCGGCCAGGTCCTCCTCGAGGGCTGGATCCTCGAGACGCTCGACCCGTACACGTCGTCGGTCCTCGCCATCCCCTCGACGCGCTGCACCTACGTCGCGTGCGTCGACCAGAAGGGCGCCGTCCCGCTCGCGCTCAACGGCGTCCTCAACGCCAACCTCGCCAAGAGCATCTCGGCCGTCGAGCAGCTCGGCAAGACGCGCGGTCCGCTCCCGCGAGTGTGGGCGCCGAGCGCGGGCCTCCAGATCGAGGGCCCGCTCAGCGACGACAGCGACACGGTCGACTTTGTGTGGCGCCTGTCGCCGTCGTCGGTCGACGCAGGAGGTCCGAGCGGCACGAGCCAGGTCGTCGCGGCCGACTTCGAGGCGGCCGACGGCACGTTCCGCTCGCTGTACCGCGTCGGCGGCAAGCAGCAGCTCGACCCGGCGCCCGCAGAGCAGGAGGTGCCGCTGCCGCGCCCGGCTGCGGCGCTGCGCAAGGCGTCGACCTTTGGCGGCGGGGCGGTTAAGAGCAAGGCGCCGCCGCTCCTCTCGCCGTCCCTGCCCGTCGGCTCGTCGCTCCTCAAGAGCGAGCTGCCGCGCAGCGCGTCCCTCAACCTCGGGAGCGTCGCACCGCCCGTCCTCCAGAAGCCCGCGACCGGGATGGAGCTGTCGCACAAGACGAGCCGCAGCTCGCTCCGCAGCAAGTCGCCGCCCGCAGCGCCGTCGACGTCGAGCGCCACCGCGGGCTTGAGCGCCTCGCCCGCGCAGAAGAACGGCCTGTCGGCGGCCGCCGTCGACGTGCTCGACCCGAGCGCGTTCGACCTCGTTGTCGCCGAGCTCGTCGTCGACCTCAAGCAGTTTCCGCACGGCTACTCGGTCACGGCGTCGTCGCAGCTCGTCGCCCCGACCGCCGACAACCCTCTCTCGCTCGACGCGCTCCCCCCTCGGTCGCTCGCCCCGCCTTCGTCGTTCTCGCCCGCCTCGACCACCCCGACGCAGGTCCCCCTGCGCTGCGTCGCCCATGATGCGCCTCTCCCCTCGATCCTCACCGCCTCGCTCGACGCGTGGAAGCGCGCCAACCACCTCGTCCGCATCCTCATCCCGACGGGCGCCATCACGCACCCAATCCAGGACCCGCTCCGCTCGGCCGAGGACAAGAGCCGCGCGAGCGCGCCGCCCGACTGGTACCGCCTCCTGAGCGACGAGGGCGCGCTCGTCGAGGTCAAGATCGTCGCGTTGCCGGCGCCGAGCGCCGCGTCCGAGCGTGAGCGTGCGCTCAAGGCCAAGCAGCGTGGAGCGTCGGCGCAGGACCCGAGCGGCGACGGCGTGCCTGCCGCATCGAGCGGCGCGGCCAAGGTGACGGGCCAGGCGGCCAAGAGCGTCGTCTTCAACGGCGACAAGGTTGTCGTGCTGAGCCAGAAGGAGAGCAAGGCGGTCCTCGCCCGGTTCGAGGACGACGAGTTGCCGCTCCAGGGCGCCAAGATCTCTCGGTCCGTCTCCCTCTTCCCTTTACGACCCTCGCCGACGTCCTACTGACCTTGGCGAGTCCCGCACCGCAGCGTCGCACCGCCAAAGCGCCGCAAAGCGTCGGTCGCGCCCGATGTCGAGCCCAACCGCCCTGCGCCCGAGCTCCTCCCCGTCGAGTTCCGCCAGCCCCTCGCCGTCGCCGTCCGCCTCCTGCTGCCCAAGCCCACCACGCCCGTCGTCGACGACTTTGAGTTCCCCGACCCCAAGTCGCCGGGCAGCACGACGCCTGCAGTCGAGGAGGCTCGTTCGCCCGTACTTGGTGGAAAGGCGACGCTCAGCAGCGTGGTGCGTCTCTCTCTCTCTCTCTCTCTCTCTCTCCTTCTCGTCCCTTTCAAGCACGCGATACTGAACCTGCCGTCTCTGCACGCAGGCGAGTCGTCGCGACACGACCTCGTCGGACTCGGCGCCGGCAACGGGCGCCCTGAGCGGCCTTCTCGGCACCTATCAGCGCCTCGGCTCTACCATCATGGCCACGACGGTCGACGTCACCGAGACGAGCCCGACCGGCGCTGTCGCTGTTCGCCGCACGTTCACCCTCTCGTTCGTGCTCCTCGTCGCCATCATCTCGTTCCTCATCGGCTCCCTCTTGCGGTCTCTCCTTACTCGTGCGCCCGCCTTTCTCTCTCTCTACCTCTACCAGTCTCCTTGTCGTACTGACTGAGCGCCTGTTCGTCGTCGCGACAGCCGCCGACTACATCATCTACCGCCCCGAGTCCGCCTCGCAGCACGCCGCCGTCGAGCATGCGCTCCTGCAAGCGGTCGACCCGCACAGGCGGTGGAGGACCGCCAAGCGACTTTTCGAGCTCCGTACCGGCTGGTCGGGCTCGTCCTGGGACGTCATCGTCGCCGCCGTCCGTCGCGAGGAATGAGCCTCCCGCGACTTTCCTCCTCTCTCCCTCCTCGTCCACCTTGTTGTAGACAGCCCTTGCCTCGTCTTCCTCGTACCTCTCCCTCGCATCATCGTGCATCTGTCCTTCTCCCCCTCAGCACACCGACGTGGCTGTCACGCAATCTCGACGTGTTGTTTCTTCTTCCTCTCGGGCCTTGCTCTCGCTCTTCTCGCCGGTTCGAGGGAGAGTGAAAAAGAGAGAGGAACAACAACAGCTAGCGCGCTACAACCAGCAAGCTCGACCCACGTCCAGCGCACAGCCCCTCAGAGCTCGTCGTAGCCGTCAAACTCGTCCTCCTGCGCGCCCGTCGCAAACTCGGCCCGCCAAGACTGCTCCTCCTCGTCCTGCGCGACGTGATCGTCCTCGGTCCCCTCGTCCTCGCGCCTGCTGCCTCGTCCTCCGCGACGGCTCGCGACCGACGGCGACTCGCTCGGGGCGCGACTGCCCTGGCGCCAGGTCGGCTCGGGCGTGACGATGGGCGTCCCTGCGACGCGCTGCTGCTGCGCGCTCGCCGAGCGTTTGTCCTTGCGCCCGCTCTTGCCCTTGCGCGAGCCGTACCGCTGCCCGATGAGCGGCTCGTCCTCGTCGTCGTCGGCGGCGTCGGTCCCGCCGCCGTAGGTCGAGCCGGCGTCCGAGCCGGCGTCGAACAGGTTGCGGATCGCGTCGTAGTTGATCTTCTTGGAGAACTTCTTCTTCTCGAGCATCTTGGTCGTCGCGTCGGCGGCAGTGAGGCCCGTCGCCGTCTCGGCGTCGCGAGGCTTGGTGCGCTTGCGCTGCGGGGCGAGGACGGGCGACGAGGTCAGACCGAGAACGGCTGCGAGGAGAGAAAGAGAGACAAGGAGCGAAGGTCGGACGTACAGGTCGTTGCGAGATGGGCTTGAGCTCGCCGTCGGGGCCCGTCTGCTTCTCGGCGAGCTCGCGCAGGTAGTCCTTGTTGGCGTTCATCCACAGCCGCTTCTTGACCTCGACCTCCTCGGGCGTGAGGATGAAGGCGTCGAGCTCGTCCTCGTCGAGGTCGTCGAGGCGGTCGTTATCGTCGAGCTGGAACGGCGGCGTCTGCGAGACCTTGGCGAGCCGCTTGGCGTCCTGCTGGTCGAGCTCGTGGGCGAGTGTGGCGCCGACGGTCGAGCCGAGGTAGGTCGCCATCTCGTCGCGCATCGCGTCGTCGTACTGCTCGTGGCCCTCGCCCTCGAGCACCTCGTCGGCCGGGTCCTGCCCGGGCCCCTCCTTGTCGCCGTCCTCGCCCTCGTCGTCGCCCGAACCAGCCGCCTGCGACGACGAGCGCGCCGCCCGGGACCCGCCGTCCTCGGTACGCTTGCGCTTGCCGAGCGACTTGGCCGACGGGAGCGGCGGCGGCGCCATCTCGCCCTCGGCCTCGTCTGCGCCCGCTCCTGCGCTCGCGCCCGCACGATCGCCCTCGCCCGTCGTCTCGTCCTGCCCGTCCTCGGCCTCTGCCGTCACCTCGCGGTCGGCGAGCTCGCGGAACGCCCTCGCGCCGCCGACGCTGCTCGCCTCGGACGCGGCCGAGTCGTCGCGGAGCTTGCGCGACTTGGTCGCGCGCGCCTTCTCCTCGCGCTTGATGCCCTGCGTGTACGCCGGCGGGTCCTGCGTCTCCTCGAGCCAGATGGACCGAAAGTCGGCGACCGTGAGGCTGCCGCTCGCCGTCTCCTTGAACTCGGCGAGGCGCTTGCGCAGCGTGACGTCGGCGATCTTGACGACCTGGACGATCTCCTCGATCGAGCGGCGAAAGTTGTTCATGCGCGCCGCGAGGAGGAGGCACGCGCCGCAGATGCCCGACGGGCGGCGCCCAATCTGCATCCAGTCGCGGCCCATGCGGTTGACGAGGCGGGTCGCGTCGAGCGCCACCTTCTGCGTCTCGTCGCCAAAGTCGAGGAGGGCCGCAAAGCGGGTGATGTAGATGACGGGATCGATGACGGGGACGTTGATGTGCAGCTCTCGGACGAGCTTGAGGTAGGTCGAGCCGAGGACGAAGACGTTGATCTGCACGACGACGGACGAGGCGAGTCAGGGAGGGCGCGAGGACGGCGGGCGGGACAGTGTCGGGCTCACCTCGATGAGGTCGGAGAAGTCGATGAGCATCTGGGTGCCGTTGGCCTGCCGGGTCGCCGCGTACAGGCAAGCCGCCGCGACGTACTGCGTGCGGCGGCCCTTGGTAAAGTTGCTGTTGACGGCGAGGTTGAAGAAGCGGGTCGCGACGTTCGACAGGTGCTCGCTAAGGCGCAGACCGGTGGCGAGCTCGAAGATGCGGCGACGGCCTGCGGGCGGGAGGAAGGAAAGGGTGAGCGAGAGCTCGCAGGGAGCACTAAGACGGGCGAGAGCGCACGCACCGTTGAGAAGGGTTTGTTCCCTCGACTCCTGCGTCGCAATGCCGCGTTGACGGTAGCCGGCCGGGGCCCGAGCACGAGCTGCAGGCGGGGAGAGAGAGAGTCAGGGAGCAGGCCGGCAGGAGGAAGAAGGGATCTTTGGGACGCACTCTGGTCGGCTCCGACGTAGCTGCCCTGCACCATGGCCGCACCGCCCGACGTCTCGCCGAACGTGATCTCGCTCACGATGCCGTTCTCCGACATGACCGTGCCGCACATGGTGCACACGGTCTGGGCGTCCATCTCGACCACCGAGTCCTCGCCGCACGAGCTGCAGATCATGGTCGCGGTGGTTGAAGGCTCTGCACGGGACAAGTTGAGGTCAGCAAACATGCCGTCGTGGCAGAGGGAGAGGTGCGCGACGCACAACAGGAGGGAGCAGGCGGGGCGGGGCGAGAAGGCGGATCGGCGCTTTGCGGTGGTGAAGGTCGGGCGGGGTGCGCTCGAGAGAGATAGATGAAGCTGCCGAGGCTGTCGTCGCGCTTGTCCGAGTGGTAGATGGGGGCGAGGCTGCGCGAACAAAACAGAGGCCGGGGTCAGCACGCGAAGGGGGCAGAGCCTGGCTGCGGCGCGTCGTGTGGGGCTCGCGAGGCAACTTGAGAGGACAGGGGACGCACCTGTAAGCTGCTGAGCGCTGCTCGAGGTGTACTTGGCCGGCGAGAGCCGAGGGAGATGAAAGCGGAGGGCGGGGTCGAGGTGCGCGACGCAACGTCCAACCGGGCTCACGGTGAGCGGTAGAGCACGTCAAGCGCTGGTGGAGCGTGCTTGTACTGTCGCAGAGCGTGCACGAGAGCCCTCGAGGTGTGGTCGACACCAGCTCACCTCTCGACTCGCCGAAGAGATCTGCGCCTCTCTCTGCTCGCGACCACGCTCTCCAGCTCGCGGTACAGCACACCAGGGGCAGCACACACGTCCAGCTCGTGTCTGTACGCCGCGAGACTGTCGCCGCTGTGCCTCGGACAGTGCTCTCCTCGTTCCCGTCACTCTCTCTGGCTCGGGACCAGCCTCGCGCCCGCCGCTCCGGATGGAGCAGGTCGTCCGCGGCCGCTGTGCTAGGCCAATCACGGTATGGCCGCTCGCCCAGCTGTCGAGTGCACGGCCGGCCTCGCGCCATTCGAGCTCTTCAAGTTCTGGACGCGAGCGATCGACAGGTACCCTTGTCCCTGCCCGTGCTGCAGCCGCACTCTGCTCTCGATTGCCCTGGGCGAGAGTAGTTGGCGCGCCTCGTACACGCTCGAGGCCCGCCGTGTTCCCACTCGATCCGCCCAACCCTTTCTCGAGCGCGCCCTCGTCGCCCGCCTGCCCTCCCCCACCTCCTCTTCGACCGCCAACCACCGACGGCGAGCCTTGCTACCCTCGCTGTCGCACGCGCCATGTCGTCGACGCTGGCACAGGCGCAGGCAGATCTGCTCGAGCTGCTGGCCAGCCTGTCGCCGAACGACGACCCGTACGCCGCCGTCGCGACCTACCTGCGCGATCAGATCTACCCGAGCGTCCCGTACTCGGCCACCTGCCAGCTCTACTTCCTCGCCGGTGGACTCGGGCTGTGCGTCCCACTCTCTCACGTCCCTCGTTCCCGCCCGCCTGGCGCTGACCGGTCGCCTCGGCCCTGCAGCACCGCCGTCCTCATCCTCGTCTCGTTCGTCATACGCTGGAGGAAGGGCGGCTTCTGGATCCTGCGCATGCAGCAGGCGCCTCGCATGGTGCGCCCGCACTGGAGCATCAGCTGGAGCCTGCTCGCCGTCGTCATGATTATGCGTGCGTCCTCGCCCCCTTTCCTCCTCTCGGGCCTTGCCGACTGACCATCCCTCTCTCCCCAGTGTTCGAGGTCTTCATCGGCTACGCGATAGCGCTCTACGCCAAGAAGGCCGAGAAGCGCTTCGGGTACTGGGTTTTGGTCGTTTGGTGCGTCCCTCCCGCCGCCGCTCGAGCCGGCTCGTACTTACTGACGAGCGACGCGCACGCAGGGGTATCGCCTGGTTCGGCGGGCACACGGCGGCATGGTCGCTCCTCGTGTCGTACACCCTGCACCTCTTCGCGTCGACCGGGCGCTCGGTCACGCTCCTCGCGGCCGGCGCCAACCTGTTCGGCCTCGTCGTCCCGGTCTTCTACTTCTGCATCCTCATCCCGCTCGTCGTCATTGGCGGCAACGCCTACTCGGCGATGATCGGCGAGTACCGCATCGCCCTCGAGCTCCTCGACGCGGCGTCGGCGACGTGGTCGCCCGGCCAGCAGATCAGCATCGTCTCGCTCGCGCCGGCGCTGCCTCTCTTCGAGCGCCTCATTGGCCAGTACCTCAAGTTTCAGCGATACTTCCGCGTCGTCTTCATCTTTTACACCGTCACGGCCGTGGCCCTCGTCGTCGTCCTCGTCACGGTCGCCTCGCTCTATCTCTCGTCGCTCCGGCGCATCTTCAAGGAGACGAGGCACGACATGGCGTACATCTCGGGACCTAGCTCGTCCGCCCCTCAGCCGCAGCAGGTTCAGGTCGCCCGGACGCTCCGAGTGCGTCCTCTCCTCTTCTTTCCTCGCCTTCCCTCTCTTTTCCTTTTCTCCTCTCCTCTCCTCTCTCTCTCCCTTATGCGGCCCTCGCTCACAGGCTTCTCCTCACACAGTCGCTCCTCCTCACGATCATCGCACTCACCTCGCTCGGCACCGTCTTTACCGTCGTCGCCATTATCGCCGCCTACGACCCTCGCGGTCTCGCCTCGTCCTCCCTGCGGGCCCAGATCCTCATCCTCCTCCCCCTCTACGCCTTCCTCGCTTTCGGCTTCGCGTGCGCGATCCTCCTCGTCCTGAGCGCACGCGACGCGAGGCCCGACGACGCGAGAGCCGGGACGGGCTCGTATTCGCGCTCAGGCCGCGCGAGGGACGCCGGGCCCGGGGCTCGCAGCCGCGGCGCATACAGCGGCGGCGGCATGACGGGCTCGAAGGTGAGCGAGCGAGGACGGGTGGGAGCGCTCGACAGCGCCGACCTCGGCGGCAACGGGCACCCCTCGTCGATCCAGCTCGTCCAGGTCCTCTCGGGCAAAGCGTTCCACCAGCAGACGTACTCGCACGACGGGCGCGGTCGAGGCGGCGGCACGCAGAGCGCATTCGGCGGCGTGAGCGTCGCCGTCGACGTCGACGTCGTCGTCGACGGGGAGGACGACGTCGAAAACGAGAAGGTGGACTCGGGCTATCGAGCGGGCATCTAGCGCGGGCGAGCGCATTGTACTCTCGATCTGTTGTCCTGTAACACAGTGCGCATGGCTCTCGTATTGCATTGTCGAGTCTACAAGAGGAAAGCGGGCGAGGAGGTCCATGCGCCGAAGAGAGAACGGGCCGTCGAGGAAGAGGCGGGCTCCAGCCACGAGGTGCTCCCGGCGGCGTGTACCCGCCAGGGCGCGCGCGCACCGGCAATGCCCTGTCATCCGTCCCGCCGACCTGCTCGTCCCGCGCGAGCGTCGTTCCTCCCTCGCCCGTTCCCTGACCGACGCTGTGTGCCACGACCAGCGTTCGGCCCGTCTCGCCCGCCGGTCGTTCACCTCGCACTCGCTCCGACAGGTCGTTTGTGTTTCGTCGGGCTCGGGGCGGTTATGGTCGAAGAAGCACGGACGAAAGGGAGCAGAGGCGGACGAGGACGGGCGAGAGCGGAACCCGGGTCGAGGAGGCAGAGCGCGCCGACTCGCAGTCTTGCGCGAAGGTACCAGGATGGTCGGCTGTCGGCTGTGCTCGGCGCGGCGTGCGGCAGCGAGAGAAGTGGGCGAGGGTGCTGCAGGTGGGGCGGCGAGAGGTCAGCCAGGCGTCGACTCGCTCTGGGCTCGCGATAAAGGTATCTGGAGGGCAAGGAGGGTATGTGGACGCACCTGTGGCTGTTCAAGCGCTCGGCGAGGCGCTGTCGACCGGCGATGAGCACGAGAAGCAGATTGGAGGGCCAAAAGACACAGGCGGGTCGGCCCAGCCTCGGCGAGCGTGCGCTGCGTGCGGCAGAGGTCGCTGAGATGCTGTGCTGCACGGTGCCGCTGTCGCTGAGCGTCCAGCCAGGCGAGAGAGCAAGATGGGGGCGACGTTCGCCTCCCCCTCTCCGCTCGTCCTCGCACCACTCTCTCGCAGCGGCAACCTGCTCTGCGCTCCGGCTGAGCGCTTCCGGCGACGACCACAAAGCTAGAGGGCACCGGGCGGCCGTCTCTGCTGCGCGCAAGCCCGGCCCGCGCCGTCCACCTCCTCCTCGTTCTGGGTCGCTTCCAGCCGCTCGATCCCCGGCCAGTCCGCATCGAGCGCACTGCGCGACCGTGCGGGTCAACGTTGTGCGCTCGGGCTCGACGCCGGTGCACCTCCACCTCTCCGTCCCCTTGTCCCGCACGCGCCGCCCTTGCCCTCGCAGCTCGCACCGCTGTCCTTTGTCCGGTCCGTCCGAGAGAGCAGCCCGCTACCGCCTGCGCGGGGACGAACAATCCGCAGTCTTGCTCTCGGCCTTCATCGACGCTCTCGCATCGCCGCGACGTGCACTCGACCGCCTCGTCGCTCGAACCCTTTCCTCCTGCCGATCGAGCGAGGCGCAACGGCTCCTGCGCTCGCACTGTTCGGCTGCTGGGGGACGGCTAGTGCTGTCCGTTCGGACACGCGGGCTCCTGTCCGTGCAGCGTCCCCTCGTCGTCCTCGCCGGCAGCTTCCCCTCTTTCACTCGTCCCTCACCTCGAGCCGGCCCTGCTCGCCGCCTCAGCCTCATGTCGTCGACACTAGCAGAGGCTCAAGCAGACCTGCTCAAACTGCTGGCGAGCCTCTCGCCCGGGGACGACCCGTACGCCGCCGTCGCGACCTACCTGCGCGATCAGATCTTCCCGACCGTGCCGTACTCGGCGATCTGCCAGCTGTACCTTCTCGCTGCAGCATTAGGACTGTACGTCGTCCTTCTCCCTCTACGACCCTTCAGGGCCGTCACTGACCCCGCCAACCTGCAGCGCGACCATCCTCATCCTCACGTCGCTCTTCATTCGGTGGCGCAAGGGCGGGTTCTGGCTCCTGCGCATGCAGCAGACGCCCCGAATGGTCCGACCGCACTGGAGCGTCAGCTGGAACCTTATTGCCGTCGTCATGCTCGTCCGTGCGTCTCCCCTCCTTCCTCATCCTCGTCGAGCCCTTGCTCACTCTCCCTCGGCCGACAGTGTTCGAGGTCTTTGTCGGCTACGCGACCGAGTACTACCGCAAGGAGGCCAATGAGCGCTTCGGCTTCTGGTTCTTCGTCGTCTGGCACGTCATTCTCTTGGTCTCGAGGGCGCCTCCTGGAGAGCGCCTCGCTGACTTTCATTTGGCCGAACAGGGGCGTGGCGTGGTGGGGCGGTCAGACGGCGGCATGGTCACTCGGCGTGTCGTACACCCTGCACGAGTTCGCCTCGACGGGCCGCTCGTTGTCGTTCCTCTCTTCGTGCTCGAACGTGTTCGGCCTCGTGGTCCCGGTCGTCTACTTTGGCGTCGTCCTTCCTCTCGTCATCATCGGCGGCACGGCGTATTCGGGCATGATCGGGCACTATCGTGCGGCCGACGAGCTTCTTGCGCGGGCGTCGACGGCATGGAAGCCGGGTGAGCGGGTCAACATCCTTTCGCTCGCGCCGGCCATGCCGATCCTCGAACGGCTCGTCGCCCGATACGAGACCTTCCAGGTGTACTTCAGGGTCCTGTTCATCTGGTACGGCGTGACCGCTGTCGTCCTCGTCATCGTGCGTCCCCGTCGCCACTCCTCGCCGACTCGAGAACCTGATTGACCTTCTCAAGTTGCAGTGCCTCGTCAGCATCGCCTCGATCTACCTCACGTCACTGCGACGCGTACTGTCGACGACACGGCACGAGCTCGCGTCGACGTCGGGTTCGAGCACGTTCATCCGCCGCCCTCAGCAGGCTCAAGTCGCCCGCACGCTGCGAGTGCGTCTCGCCGCTCGGACCTCCTCTTTTTGCCGTACTCTCGCTCACGCTCTCTTCTCTCTCGCAGTCTCTCCTCTTGACCATCATCGCGTTCTCGTTCCTGGGCACCGCCTTCAGCCTCGATGCCATGCTCGCCGCCTCGGATCCTCGCGCCCTCGCCTCCAACTCCCTGCGGGCCCAAATCCTCATCCTCCTCCCCCTCTACGCCTTTGCCGTGTTCGGCCTCCCCTGCGCGGTCCTCCTCGTCCTCAACGCTCGAGACGCGACCGCCGCCGAGGACTCGAACTCGGGCTCGCACTCGTACTCGGCTCGCGCGAGGAACCTCGGGCACGGCGCGTTCGGCAGCGGCGACCGGGCGACGGGCTTCAAGGGCAGTCGAGGGCGAGCAGGCGTCGACGAGGGCATCGACGTCACGAGCGCGGGCCAGCAGTTCTCGATCCAGCTCGCCCACCTCGACTCGAACGAGCCGTTCCCCCCGCCAGCGTTTTCGTCCGTGGCAGGAGGCGGCGACGGTGCCGGCGCGCAGGGTGGACTCGGCGGCGTCAAGGTGGCGGTCAACGTCGACGTCGTCGTCGACGAGGACGACGAGGTCGAGGACGAGAAGTTCGACTTGCGCCGCTCGACGACTCGAGGAGCGGACGTGTAGAGCAATCGACGACGCAGCCGAGCCTCGCAATGTAGCCGTGACGAGACGAGGAGACGACAATTGAATTACTGCGGCGTGTCTAGAGAATCACAAGAGAAGCGAGAGTGTCTGTACGAGAGGAGAGCAGAGAGAGAGGGAAGGAAAGGGGTATGCAAGACGGCGCCCTCCTCGCCAGCACAGCAACGCGCGCACCGTCAAGGCTCGTCCATCAGCCTCGACGTTTCCTGCCCCTCGCGACGCCGAGCTCCTCCTCTGCCACCTCCTCGTCGGCCTCCTTCCCGCGCTTCGTCCCTCGACCTCCTTCTCCCTCGCGCGCCTCGTCCACGCCGCCAGTCCCCTCGCCCTCGCCCGCCTGCGCCGCGGCCGCCGCGCTCGTCAGGTCCGAGAAGCTGCCGCGGCGGACGAGATCGGGCGCCTCGTCTGGTCCGAGCGGCGGCGCCGGCGCTCCTCCTTCGGCCTGAGAAGGCGGCGGCGCGGTCGGCCACTGGAAGTGCTGCGACGACGTCGAGGCGGGTTGGCCATAGTTGCCCATGAAGCCGTACGACGACGATGAGGACGCGCCCGGGTTCTGATTCGGGTAGAACGGCGAGGGCAGGAGGTCGGCGGCAAAGGCCGACTTGGGCACGCTCGCGTCGTCCTGCTCGCCATCGCCGCCTGCTCCCTCTCGACGCTCGTCCTCGTGCTCGCGCGCCGCCTCGCCTGCGCCGTTGCGCCCGCCGTACCCGAACCCGGCGCCGAGGATGGACGCCCCGCCGGCCGTGACGAGCCCGGGTTTGGTCCCCTCCTTTGCGCCGCTCTCGGCCGGGATCGCGACCGACAGGCGCGGCTTGTTCTGCCACGCATCGACGTGCGGGCTCGCGTGCGAGGCGCCCGAGGCCTGAGGCGCCGGCGAGTGGTGCGACCGCGCGTGCGAGTGCATCGAGGTGACGCTGCCCGGGCGCGAGGATGGCGCGTCGGGACCGGCGCCGCCGGCCGAGGAGCCAGGCGTCGCAGGAGGGTAGGTCGGGAGGGACGGCGTGCCGTGGTGGGGCTGAGGCTGAGGAGGAGGGGGCATGGCGGCCGGCGTGCCGTACATTGGCGCGGGCCGAGGGTGCGACGACGGCGACGCGTCGAGCTCCTGCTGCTGGTGGTTCTGCTGCTGCATGTGGTACGGCGGGCCAAACGGCGACGAGAACTGGGGCGGCGGCGCCTGCTGCTGGTCGCGCTGGCTCGCCTCGTGCTGCTGCTGGAGGTGCTGCTGCTGCTGCTGGAACGCCTGCATCGCCGCCGCCGGGTCCGCCATCGACGCTCCGGGCCAGCCGGGCATACCGAGCTGCTGCAGGAGCTGCAGGTGCGGCGCCGGAGGCTGGCCATGCCCTGCGGCGCCCGGGTTGAGCGCGCCGAACCACGCCGGCACGCCGTTCGAGGCGTGAGGAGACGCGCTCGTGCCGTTCATGTGCTGGTGCTGCGGCGAGTGCTGCGCCTGCTGCTGCTGAGGAGGAAAGCCGAACGGTGCCGGCATCGCGAAGGGAAAGTTGGGCGGGAGGCCGGCGGGAAAGCCGGGAAACGAGGGCATGCCGGCGCCGGGGCTGAAGGGGAAGAGCTGGCCGGCGAGGTTCGGGAGGCCGTTGGGCCCGGGAGCGAGGTTGGGCATGCCGGCGAACGGGAAGGGGAGGGCGCCCGAGGGCGCGAAGCCGTTGTGCTGCGACGGGTCGTGCGGCACCTGCGGACCTGCGCCGCCGCCGTCGTGCTGGTGCTGGTGGTGGTGCTCGGGCGGCTGCGGAAGGTACTGGCCCGATGGGCCCGAGAACGAGCTCGCGCGCGACTCGGACCGCGTGCCCTCGTCGACGCTCTGGCTGCGCGCCGCCTCGACGCCCTTGGCCTTGCGCTCGGCCTGGGCCCGGATCGCCTGCTTGCCCTTGCTCGTCTGCGGGATGGCGCGGACGCCCGAGCTGCCCGTCGCGACGCGCGGCTTGTCGTCCTCGTCGTCGTCCGAGCCGTCCTCGTCCGACAGGCTCGTCATCTTGCCGCCCGTCCCGCTCTTGGTGGCGACGTCGAGGTCCTTGTTCATGTAGTCGTCAGGACCGCGCTTCTCGTGAGCTGGGCCGGCGTACTGCGGGCAGCGGCGTCGTGTGAGTGAGGGGTTTTCGGCGGGGAGAGGGATGTCGGCGCAGTCGACGCACGTGCGAGTAGCGCAACAGGATCTGGTCCATGTCGCCCGAATGGAACCTGCAGAAGAGAGGAGCGTCAGGGAGGGCCCGACAGCAGGGCGCACGTCCAGAGAAACGAGGACGCACTCGAACAGCTTGCCGTTGGCGTTGAAGACGACGACGGCGACATCGGCCGAGCACAGGACGCCGAGCTCGTACGCCTTCTTGAACAGGCCATTCTTGCGCTTGAGAAAGGTAACCTGGCGGTTGCGGTCGTCCTTGATGGGCGCGATCGAGATCTTGCGACGACCCATGTTGACGCGCGCTCGAGTACAGGAAGCTGGCGAGGAGGACAGGCGGCACTAGGGCGACGAGATGCTGGTTTGCGCAGGTCGTCAGAGGAGGCGAGGGAACGAGAGGGAAGAGCGGCGGGAGGAGGAAAGGGGACAGTGCGAGGTCAGCGCCGTCCTGAGGACGAGGCTCGCCTCTCGACTGCTCGAGGGACGGGACGGGACGTACAAGGTGTCTGAAAGGGGCTTCACGAGCTGGACGATGCGGTCGAACGAGCTGGTGCTGGCGACGACCTGGCGGCGCACCACCTCGACGGAGAGAGGGCTTTGTGCCTCGAGCGGGCGGCGGGCCTCGGCGGATCGGCGAGTGTGCTCGACGGGGTCGTTGCACAGCTGTCGGGTGCGCGGTCGGTGTGGGCAGGGCGCCTTGTCGAGAGCGAGGTCGTGCGGAGCTGCGGCAGGGGTCGGCGGAGGCGGCCTTGAACGAGGTGAGCCGGGGGGCGAGGTCGAGGATGCGCGACGACGCGGTGCTTGGGCTGGTGTGCGAGTCGATCGAGCTGCTGGATCACCCAGGCGAGTGCAGGACGGCACCGGCAGGCGGCGCGGGTCGTGGGCGCATGGCGGGGCGAGGCGAGGCGACGAGGGCCGAGGTGGGCGGGAGGACGAGGTCGGCAACGAAGGGGAGGGACAGGGGAGGGCAACGGGCAGGTCAGAGAGGTGCACACTCTGTCCGAGGTGCAAAGGGGGGCGCCGCACCTGCACTTCAATCGGTGGGCCGTGCCAAGCAAGCACTGAAGCTGAACTTGGGTCCGGGGACCGACGACCTATTCTCGACGGCCACCGACCGCTCTCGCCTCGCAACCTCCTCCCTTGCACTGCAGAGCAGTCGTCCCTGTCGCTCTCGAGGAGCCTGCAGAAAGCCTCTCGAAAGAGCGAGCGGAGAAAGAGACTCGTCGAATCTGCTCCTCGTGACCTTCTACGTCTCGCCGCTGCATCTACGCCTGCCACCGTTCCTCCTGAGCCACCGTCTCAACCTCGCACACACCCCCCTCCCCTCGCCGGCGCCGCAGCGTCGAGCGAGAGCCCCGCCGTGCCCTCGAGCGTCGCCGCGCCGAACAGGTCCGGGCGCGCGCCGACGTCGATCCGTCCTCCAACCTCGAGCGAGCCGACGCTGTACACGCTGTCGGGCCTCGCCGCGCCGAGCGTCGTCGCCGTCGGCTCGGGCGGGAAGTGGGCGTACTCGTCGAACGGGCGCACGTCTTTGTCGAGCGACGAGTTTGACGCGCGCACCTCGAGCGAGGGGTAGAGGTGGTGGTCCGCGACGTGGACCGAGCCCGCCGAGCGCTCGAGGCGGTGCGCAGGAGCTGCGCCGCGGTCGACGAGCTCGAATCCTTGCGGAACGGGAAGGGCGAGGCCGCGCCGGGCGTCGAGGTACGGGACGGCTTACGAGTGGCGCTTGCCGGACGGCGACGACGGCGGGAGCGGACCCTCGGTGAACGAGACGACGTTGACGTTGACCGAGATTCGAGTGTGGGACCGAGACGACTCGCGCTTGGCGTCGAAAGCGCGCACAAAGAGGAGGACCGACGAGGGCAGGCCGAGGATCGCGAAGGCGTAGCTGCGGGAAAAGCGGTGCGTGTAAGGAGCCGAGTCAAGAGAGGGAGAGATAGAGAGAGAAAGAGAGGGCGAGTCGGCGAGCGGGAGGACGCAGAGGGAAGGAAAGCGGGAAAGCGACTCACAACGGCAACAAGACGAAGATTTGAGCGAACGTAGGGTCGACGAAGCCACGCGGTACCGCAGCCATGACGACGACGGTGGTCGAGGTCGTGAGGCCGAGTATTGAGAAGATGCAGAGGTTGATGTCCATGTTGGCGTAGGTGCGCCGGAGTGGCTGCAGCGACGACGTGCGTGTCGAGCCCGACTCGGTCTGCCACGTCGAGAGACGCAGAACGTGTCGTAGAGCGACAAGGTAGAGCGAGGCGACCGTGACGAGCATCTGCAGGCTCGAGAGGGTCAGTCAGGCGCGACAAGGCGCAGAAGGAGGGAGGGGACGGACCGCGACGAGGAAGAAGCCGAACGCGGCGGCGGCGCTCAAGGTGACCATCCACCAGTACAGGAACACGTTCGTGCGCTTCTCGAGCTCCTGCAGTAGCGGCAGGCCCGACGACAGGAGCTCGAGGAGGGCGTTCTCGCCGTGATACGCCGCCGCGAGTTGCCGCAGCAAATGGTCGATCGCGTAGAAAGTGTCCATCGTCCATCGGAACCGGTCGGCGCCGATCGCGGCGAGAGGGATGAAGACGAGGCTGAAGATGACGGGCACGAGGATCGACGAGGCGTTGACCCAGGGCGCGAGGCGGTCGACGAGCCTGGCACGGCCGTACGCGTGCAGGTGCAAGAGGTACGACACGAGCGTACCCCACGCGGCTGTCCACCCGCCGTATACCGCCGGCAGCTGCGGGCGACGGCGAGACGTAAGCCAGGGTGCACCTCGAGAAAGAGCGAGAGGGTCCGAACGCACCCAAGCGAGCGTGCGCCAGGCGGCATAGTCCTTCTGGATCGACGCGCGTTGGAACTGCTTGATAGAGTCGATGACAACGACCTCGATGACTGTTGCCGAGAGTACTCATGGTGAGCGCGTCGCGAGGAGAGGTTTAGGGGCCCGGGAGGAGAGGAGGAGGGAGAGAAGGGTCGACGCACGGACGAGGAAAACCACTGCCCATAGCGACCATGAGACGCTAAAGAGCGGCCGCAGTAGTCGAGGACTATCGCCCCAGTGCACGATCCAGAATGAGCCGTTGAGGATGCGGACGACGAGCGACGCGACGATGAAGAAGAGCGAGCTGTCGGGCGAAATTCGTCAGTACCGCGTCCTGCACTCGAACGAGAGAGGGAGAGAGAGACGCACAAGGAGAAGATGACGGCGATGGCGATGAGCTGGCGGCGGTGCGACTCAGGGAGCGGCGGATTGAGCGCCTGCAGCGCGTACTTGCGGACGACCTCGTACGGGTTCGCGCCCGGCGGCAGGTCGCCAAGCAGGTCCAGGATAGCCTGTGTGTCCGACGACATCTCGAGGCGGTGCTCGAGGCCTGTCAGGTGCGTCGACGAGGCGAAGCAGAGCAGAAGCGCAAGGTCGCGGCGAGCCGGTTTCCGAGAACCGAGGAGCGACAGATCGATCCGCAAGAACGCGTCCGCCGCCGCCTCTCGGACGCTCCCGAACATCAGCGAGTCTCGGCAGGCGAGCGCCCGACGGACCCGTGTGCGCGGACGGCGGCTCGAGTCCGGCTTGCGGATCTCGGGGGCCAGCAGCGTCCCAGCTCGTGCCGGCTCCAGCAGCAAAGCCGAGAAAGAGGTGTGCGCAGGCCGTCGTGGCTCGCTGGCGTAGCCAAGCGAAGAGGCGGCGCGGTGGTGGAGGAAGAGGGAAGAGGAGGAGGAGCGAGGTCGAAGCCGCCCCTGTCCACCGGCCCGGTCCACGTGCACGCCCGCTCAGCTCCTCCTCTGCGGAGAGTCCGGCGTGCGCGGCGCCGCAGCTCCCCCGCAGCATCGAGGGAGGCGGCGAGTCGAGCGGACCTCGAGGCGGTGGGGGGAGAGGGATGAGTGGTGAGCGGCCTCGAGGGGCGGTGGCGCGTGGCCAGTCGGATAGCGGTGTGGCAACCGAGCAGATCCAGCTCGACAGCGCGACTCAGATTGAGATCTTGAGAGCAGGGAGGAGGAGAGCGCGTCGGCGGGAACTTGACGTCGACGACCGTACGACGCGTCGTCCACCAGCTCCACGCCGCGCTCAGCAGGCTCAAGAGCCGCAGAACAGCCGCGCACTGGCTGCTCGCACGCTCCCGCGAAGCTTGCGCTGCGCCTGCGCCGCTTGCGGGACGCTCGCCTCGGGCTCGCCCTTTCTCCTCCTCGGCCGCCTCAGCTGTCGAGGGGCAGCGCTCGGCACTTGCGGGCGGACGACGCGCACAAGGCCGCTTCTGCAAGGGCGCGACCCGCCCGCAACCTTAACAGCGCGCGAGCGAGGAGCCGTCCTTGTCCTCGACTCGGCGGCTCCCCTGACTTGCTTCGCCCTTTCTCCGAGTCCGAACTCTCGTGCGGGCTTGTCCTCGCTTGCCGGTCGGTACAAGGTGCTCAGCTCGGTGACTCTCGCTTCCCTCCCTTCTCTTCACTCGTCCCTGCCCTCCTCTTTCGTCCCGTCGAGCCGGCTCTCGATGGTTCTCTCTTCCTGCATCGCCCGCTTCTGCGCTGCGGCCCCGTTGCTCGGGCTCCTCGCGGCGTCGTGCAAGGCCGCACCGGTCCTCGACTCGGTCGTCTCGCTCAACAAGTCGATCAGCACGCCGCACGGCAAGGTCGTCGGCTCAGTCGGTGCGTCTTCTCGAGCCGGTTCTGCCTCGAGTTGTCGTGCCTCTCACTGACTCTTGTCATCTCCTTCAGCCGACAATGTCGTTCGCTACACGGTCCCGTACGCCCAACCACCAGTCGGCGACCTGCGCTGGAAGGCCGCCTCTGCGATCGGCCCGTGGAACAACGTCGACGGGACCCAGCTCCCGCAGGCCTGCACCCAGTACGACGTCTCGAACACCAACATCATCGGCTCGGAGGACTGCCTGTTCATGAAGTGAGCACTGTGTTCCGCACCCCCGACGACGAAGCGCGACAAAACTGACATACTCTCCCCTCGCAGCGTCTACGCGCCGGCTGACGCCGCCGCCACCGCCGCGCTCCCCGTCATGGTCTGGCTTCACGGTGGCTCGTTCTTGCAGGGCAGCCCGAGCGACCTTGACGAGGGCGCTCGCTCGCTCGCGAGCCAGCAACGCGTGGTCGTCGTCACGGTCCAGTATCGACTAGGTATCTTCGGCTTCCTGGGCTACTACGGCTACGCAGGGAACCAGGGTCTTACCGACGTCATCCAGGCCCTCAGTGAGTGCCTCTCGTCGAGCTCGAGCGCGACCTTCCCAAGTTGCCGCCTGACTCGGTTCCCTCGCGCAGCGTTCGTCAAGTCCGACCTCAAGGCGTACGGCGCCGACCCGTCCCAGGTCACGCTCGCCGGTCAGTCGTCGGGCGCCGAGATGGTCAAGACGCTGCTCGTCACGGACGCCGCCGACTCTTTGTTCTCGCGCGCCATCCTCCAGTCGGCGCCGCTCGACTACCCCGACCAGAGCTACGCGACCGCCGCCGAGCTCAGCAAGTACATCTACAAGAGCCTCAACTGCCCCGACCGCCGCGTTTGGCCCTGCATCCGCCAGCAGTCGGTCGAGAAGATGATGGCCGTCCAGTCGGACGTTCAGCAACTCGCCAGCGTCGGCCAGTGGGCGTCCCGCTCGGACTTTGCCTTCGCCGAGCCGTTCCGCATTATCATCGACGGCAGGATCGTCACCAAGGACTTTCGCAAGGTCGTCGCGTCGGGTCAGCCGCTCAACGTCCCTTCTCGCCCCGTCATCTCGTCGACGGTCAAGGACGAGGGCTGCAACGGCGTTCAGAAGGTGTACGTCCTCCTCCTCTTTTCCTCGTGCGTCAGGCCTTGTCCCCCTGACGCTGCGCTCGCATCGCAGGCTCTCTCAGCCTCTGCCGGCCTCCTTCTGGCCGACCAACGCCCCGGGCATCGTCGCTTCATTCTTCACCAATCGTGCGGGCGACATCCTCGCCTCGGGCAAGTACGACCCATCGAACATCCCTGACGACGCCGACGCGTTCCGCAACGAGTTCATCCAGCTCACGACCGACTTTACCTGGTCCGTCCTCGTCTCTCTCTCTCGTTCGCCTTCTCGTCGACTTGGCGCTCACCGCATCCTCGTCGCCTCGCAGGGTCTGCCCGACTCAGCAGACAGCTCTGAACTCGACTGCGGCAAGTGGCTACCGCGGTAACGTCTACCTGGCCGAGTACGTCCCTCGTCTCTCGCACGGTCCTCCTCGCCCTCGGATTCGCCTGACTTCCTTCCTCTCGCTCAGGTTCGACGTCGGCATCTCCAAGCACGCCGAGGGCGAGAACGACTACTGCGCCGGCGGCGTCGGGCACGAGTGCGTTCACTTCTCGCTCCTTGCTCCTCTGGACGCCGACTCGGTCACTGACCTCTCTCGCCTCGCGACAGGGACGACATCAAGCTCCTCTTCCGCAAGGACGTCAGTACCTCGGTCCAGGGCGCCGTCTCGTCCGACGTGCAGGCTCGTTGGGGCTCCTTCATCCGCACGGGCAACCCGAACCGTGCGGCGGCGAGCCTTGGCCTTGTCAACTGGCCGCCAGTCGCAGCGTCGGCGGGCGACCTCAACGTCCTCGTGCTCGGCGCCGACGCCTCGACGGGCAAGTCGGCCGTCAAGAAGTCGCAGCGCGACGACATCTGCAAGATCGGCTCGGGGCTCTACTCGCCTCGTTGAGCTTTCCTCTCACTCTCGTCGCCCTCTTCTCCCCTCCGTCTCTCCTCTCGATACCCCGATTCGTCTCTCCTCTGCATCTCGCATATCTCGCACTCGTCGCACTTCGTCGCATCGTCTCGGTACTTTGCTCGCAAACACTCTCCTCGCGTCTCGTTTCTCGTTCTCTCGTCCTGCAACTCGCCTCGTCTCTCGCGCGCTCCTGCGTATTCGCCCAGAGAGAACAGAAAGCTGTACAGACGAGGACTGAATTGGACAGAGACGGCTTCTACGACTTCTCCTGCTCGCTCGCTCGCTCAGGCGTTTCGCTCCTTGACAATCTCGGCGTCGGTGACAGCCTGCTCCTTGCCTCGACCCTCCTGCAGCGACTGCCCGAGAACCACCTCGTGTTCCTGCGAGATACGATAGAGCCGGTCAGTCACGTTCTCGCAATCGAGACAGAGATGGACCGGGAGAAGGGGGACGAGGACGCACCTTGCCGAAGATCTTGCCGGCAAACTTCTTGCTGTAAGCGTTGACCTGGTCCTTGAAACTCGTCTGCGGCGTGGCTGCAGAGCGAGGAGTCGGTCAGAGAGCACAGAGAGGGAGAGGGAGAGGCAGGGGACGCACTGCCGTCGGCGTCGGGCATGGTCGACGCAGCCTGCGAAGCAGGGATCTCTGGTCGGTCCGAGGGACGCTCCCACTGCTGCGTGATCTGGCTGTACAAGGGGGAAAGGCGAGATCAGCGCCTTGTCGAGGCTGGAGCGGAAGAGGGGGAGGGGAGGAGGGAGTGGGCGAACTCACTTGAAGTGGCCGTTCTCGTAGCCTGCTGGCGCGGTGCTGGCTCCTGCTCGGCTGGTGGTGGTGCTGCTGCTCATTTTGAGCTGGTCGTGGCTGACTGGAGAGCGTGCAAGTCGGGTCGAGATGGGGAGGTCGAGCTGTGGGTGAGGCGGGTTCAGCTCGCCGTGTACGGCAGAGGCGCACACCGGCAGAGAGCCATACACGTACAGAGAAGCTGCAGCAGTAAGCTGAGAGCTCCTGGCGCTGTGGATGACGGGGGAAGAGCGTTCAACCTCTCGTCCACCTGATGACGCTCCTCTCTTGCTTCCGATGACAGCTCGCGGTGGACAGAAGGGACGCAGGATAGCTAATACAGTCTCGCACACACGACAAGAAAGTCGAACGAAAAATCCACCGAGGCCAGAGGGCCGACTCATGTTGCCGCCCTCGAGCTCCTCGCCGCCGCGAGCAGCGCCGCCCTCTTGGCCCGCACCCGGTCCTCGTTGTCCGCCGCAGCCGAAGACGTCGGCGGTGCGCTGTTGACGGCGCGCGACGAGCCCAGGACGCGAGACGAGACGAGCGGCTCGGACACCGTCGGCGGCGAGTCGGCGAGCGCGAGGATGTCCTGCACTGCTGAGGCGGCCTTCTGCGGCGGCGGCGTGGGTGCCGAGACGGTCACAGCGACCTTGCGCGTCGGGGGTGCGGCCGTACGCGACGACGACGACGTGCGCCGCACCGGGTTGGGCGGCGGCAGCATGGCGCCCTCGCGCTCGTCCCTCGCCTTGCCCTTGTCCGCCTCGCGCTCCGCCTCGCCGTCCCGCTCGCGCTCGCGCCCTGCTGCCGCCGGCCGAGCGATGCTCGGGCGCACGCGCTCCCGCTTGCCCTCGCGGTCGCGGTCGCGGTCGCGCTGGCTCTGCGCGAGGTCGCGCTCGCGAGCGCTCGTGATCGAGACCTTGTCGGCCTTGAGCGGCGCCTTCTCCCTTGGTGCGTCCGACGACGACGACGACGAGGGGAGGCCGGGCGTGTCGAGGCCGAGCTCGGAGAGGAAGGCCGAGACGTGCGCCGAGGGGATGGACGGGCGAGCGGCGGCGGCGACAGTCGAGGGTGCAGGCGCGGCGGTCGAGGCGGAAGAGAGAGGAGCGTGCTTGGCGGCCTTGCGCGCGAGACGCTTCTGCTTGTCGAGCGCGAGGGACGCCTCGATCTCGGGCGGGAGGTCGTCGCTGTAGGACAGAAGCTCGTCAGGCTCGTTCGCAGGCTGCGAGCCGCGAGGGCGACCGAGGTCGGCCACGCTGCAGAGAGAGAGATAGAGAGGGCACAGAAGACGCACTCGGACTCGTCCTGCTTGGCCCTCTGCGCCTCCTTCTCAGCTCGCTCTGCCCACTCCTTGACGACCTTCTCGCCCGCGTTGACCTGGTCCCGCGCGTCGTCGCGCTCGCCCTCGACCTCCTCGCGCCGCTTCTGCTCCTCCTCGACTTCCTCGTGGAGCCGCTCGATCTCGTGCTCGAGCTCCTCGCGCAGGGCGCTGAGTGCGGAAGACGACGCCGACGAGAGCGAGAGGAGGCCGAGGCGGATGGCGTAGAGTTTGCGGTGCAGGGGAGAGGTGAGGGCGCCGACGGGCAGGGCGAGATGCGGCGTCGGAACGAGGTAGGACTGTAGGAGGGGTGGGGGGCGAGATGAGTCAGTCCGTGTGGGCGCGCGACGAGAGCTGCCGACCGCGAAGGAGGGAAAGACTGCCGACGCACCTCGTCTCCCTCGCCGTGCAAGACGCCCCTCATCTCCTCTCCCTCTTCTCCATCCTTGCGCACCGCGACGAGCTCGGGCACCTCGAGCATGCCCTCGGCCCACTCGCCGACCTCGCCAACGAACGCGCGCAGGTCGGCGCACTCGCCTTCGAGCGCCGCACGAGCCGAGAGGCACTCGTCGAGCGACGTGCGCACGAGGTCGAGCTCGGCCTCGAGGACGGCCGAGCTGGGCGAGCCGTGGCGGGCCTGGTTCGAGGTCGAGGTCGGGGTCGGGGTGCGGCCGCCTGGGCGGGACGCGCGACCGGCGTTGACGCCGCCAAAGGTGGCCGAGAGCGGTGACGCGTTGGGCGAGGAGGCGCTCGGCGAGTTGAGAGTGGCGAAGCGCGTGTAGGCGCTGTCGGACGAGGAAGGCGCCGACGTGAGCTTCTGCAGGCGCTGGTGGAGCGACTGGACCTCGGTCTCGCGGCGCTTGAGGTCGTGCTGCGGCGAGGAAGGACAAGGTGGTCAGCGAGGCGTACAGAGCGAGGCTCCATGCCGTGCACACGAGGGAAAGACTCGACGAACCGTCGCCTGGGTCTTGACGAACTGGAGGGCGTTCTTGGTCTTGCCGAGCTCCTCGCGCGCATGACGGTGACGCTCCTGCTCGGCCTTGAGCTTGACCTCGAGCTCCCTGTCAAAGGAACGAGCTGTCAGCTCCGCTCGCCGTCCAAAGGGGAAGAGAGAGGAGGACGGACTTGGTCTTTGCCCGTTCTGCCTCGAGGTCCCTCGCAATGCCCTCGCGCTCACGCTCTGCCCGCTCGCGCGCCTTGTGCTCCCGGTCGGCGTCGTCGGCGGCCTTTGCCTCGCCGGCGAGCAAGCCCTCCATGACCTCGCGCTCGCTCTGGCGCTGGTCGAGCATGCCCCACAGGCACTTGGCGATCTGCTCGCGGGCGCGGGCCTGGAGGACGAGGAGGTCGTGGTGGCGCTTGAGGGCCTTGGCCGAGGGTTGGGAGGGGAGGGCGGGCGCGAGGAAGAGGGTAGAGAGGTCGAGAGGGCGCGAGAGGTAGCCGAGCGAGACGAGTTGGGTCGACAGGGCCGAGAGCGACTCCTCGGTCGAGGTGGCGTCGAGTGCGGCCTTTGCGTCCATTGTGGAGCGCGACTGGAGTGTGCACGGGTGGTGGGTGGTGGTGGACCCGGAGGTGGGCGGGGTCGTTGTTTGATGAAGGCGAGGCGAGGTCGACAGCGCGTGGGGGGCGGCGCAGGTGGCTCGAGTGCGCGTGTAGGGTGTACTCGGTGGAGTGGCGCGGTACTCGACGGTGGCTCGAGCGAGCGAGGGTGAGGAAACGAGGACAACTCTCCGCCGCCGCCTCATCTCCCTCCTCGACTCCGAGTCGGAGCCGGCGTCTCGACCCAGCTTGCTCTCGATCTCGCGACAGGGCAACAGTGTCACATGCAGTAAGAGCTACGCAAACGCAATCCTGTACAGCCGGTAGTTCTCCTCGTCGGCCCGCCCGACCCCCTTGACCCGCTCAATCTCGGTCACGCTCTCGACCGCGACCCGCCACGGCTCGCCCTCCCTCCTCGGCGGCAGGTCCTCCTTGCGCGGGAACACGTCCTTGATGCTCGCGATCGCCTCGACGTGCGTCGGCCGCAGCGGCACGATGAGGTGGAACGCCGGGCTGTACTTGCCGCGCGACGCCTCGCCGGCCGCCTCGCCGCCCGTCGACGTCGTCTTGGCCGTGTGCGTCGCCGCGCCGTCCTCGACCGCCGTCGACTCGGTCGAGTGCAGCGCCGGCCGCGTCGGGATCGGCACCGCCTTGTCCTGCGTGTCCTCGAGCGACAGCGACGCGATCGAGCTCGTCGGGACCGCCTCGGCCGCGTCGTGCGCCACCTGGCCCTGCGCCTCGGCGCTGTCGGGCTTGACGAGGAACTGCTCGACGCAGCTCTTGAGCCACTGGGCGTGCTCGGGCCCGTACACGACGTCGGCCGCGAGGAGTGTGTGGAACGGCTTGTCGAACGGCGGCGGCATGCTGATCGTGACGGGCTGCCCTCGGCTCGATGCGGCGGCGAACGCGCGCGACGAGTGCACGGCCGACCAGTCGAGCTTGTGCGCCTGGACGGGGAGCGACGACGACGACGACGCGAGGCTCGACACGTTGGTTGACGAGTCGGCCGGGTTGATGTAGGGCGACCCTGCCGGCGACGTGATGGGCGTGATGGCCGCCGAGTTGGCCTCGACATTGCGCTTGAGGTTGTCGAGGACGGCCTCGTGGTAGTCGGTCGCGAACACCTCGCTGGGCGCGCCGAGCCGCTCGCTCATGCCCTTCCACACGAGCGACAGGAGGCCCGTCCCTGCGCCGAGCTCGAGCGCGCGATGCTCGGGCACGCCGAGGCCGAACGTGAGCGGGTCGAGGGCGATCATGCGGGCGAGGATGATGCTCGAGCCCCACGACTGGAGGCCGACCGAGGTCGGGTCGAGGGACGAGGGGAGGCCGTCGTTGAGCGTGATGAGGAGGGGCTCGGTTTGCGGGTTGGCGTCGGGGAGGCAGGTCGGAAGGAGAAGCGGACGGAGGATGGAGCCGCCCTCTGCGCAGGGGCAGGCGTCAGGCCGAGGTCCACGGCGAGCGGAGAGAGGGAATCGAGGACGGACCGGACGTGGCCGACATGAGCGACACGAGCTGGGCCGCCTCCTCGACTATCCTCGCGCGGACCTCCTTCTCGCCCTCGTCGCCCATCTCGTCGGCCTCGGCCATCCACCCCTCGCCGCGCTTAACGACGAGGTTGAGCCAGTTGACGGCCCACGTGCGCTCGAACGCGTCGTGCGCATGGAGCGGGTCGACGCCGTCGTCCTCCTCGACCTCGCGCGAGTAGGGCCAGTCCTGGACCGTCTCCTCGTCCGGGTGAGCGGCGCCGTCTTGTGGTGGTGCGGCGTACAGGAGGCGGAGGTGGGCAAGGAGGGTGAGGAGGCGGTCGGTGGTGAGCTCGCCCGACAGGGAGCGGCCCAGCTTGGGCAGGACCGATGTCGGGAGCGAGGGACGGCGCAGGCGAACCATGGCGGGCGCGCGAGGTGTGCGTCGCGGCGGACGAGAGGTGGGGCGGGAGACGGCGCGAGCTGAACGCCAGGGGGAAGCGAGTGGCGCGCTTGGTCGAGCTGGGAGGTGCGGACCGTGCTGTACTGGTGCTGTGCTGAGGAGTGCGAGTCGAACGAGTGGTGCAGGTGGTCGGGGCGAGGCAGGGGAGCCAGCGGAAGGTTCGCTCGAGATGATGATGAGGTCTGCTCGAAACTTGACTCTCTCTCTCACTAGCGAGTGTGGCGACTGTGCTGCTCGCAGACGCTACATCGAAAGGGCCTGCAGCGCTTCGCCGCAGACCTCGAGGGAGCGGGAGAGCGCGCCGCCTCCTTCAGCTGCAGTCCGAGTTGGTCCGAGCGACAGACTCTCTCTCGAGCTTGCTGCGACAGCTGCTCTGCACTCGCTGGCTCGAGCGGCTCTCCTGCCGATAGCGGCTGTATCCGGCGGCACGACGAGGACGACGCGAGGTGGAGAGAAGTACAACCGCGCGAGGGCGGCGACGAGTCAGAGTTGCAAATGCGAGGTGGGTCTACGGATGCGACAGGAAGGGCAAAGGGAGAGGAACGAGAGCGAGAGTGGTACAGGGGAAGATGGGGCGCGACGAGAGAGCGCTCACGCCCAAGGAGAGACGGCCTCGAGGGCAAGGACCACAGCGACGACGAGCGCCAACGCCGCCAGGCTTGGCTGCGACGCGACCGCGGCGCTGTACGACGCTCCCGTTCCCGACGACGAGGACGCGGCGTTCGCCTCGGTGCCGACGATGGCGCCAAAGCCCGACGAGAAGCGGCCCGACCAGAAGGTAACGTCGTTGACGGCGAGCGCGTGCTTGGTCCATACTGTGGAGGGTGCAGAGGTCAGTGACGACGCTCGAATGCTCGAGGGGGAAAGGAGAGAAGAGAGAGAGGGAGAGAGAGACGCACAGAGAGGAATCGCGAGCCAAGTCCTGCCGCTGAAGCCCGCCTCGACGTTGGCCGTCGCGATCGTGTCGAACCACTCAGGAAGCCAGAGCGCGTAGAAGGACCAGCCGCCGTAGAGCCGGTTGATCGTGTAGGCCTTGGTCGACGACGAGCCCGTGACGAGGCCCGAGAACGACCCGTTCCCGAACGAGATGGTCGACTGAAACGTCTGCGCAAAGGTCGTCCCGATGAAGTTGGACAGGCCGAACACGGCCGAGTTGCGCTGCCAGCCGATCCACGAGCCCTGCGTGAGCACGAGAGGACGAGGTCAGGGGTCGGGCTTTCGAGGACACGAGGCGAGGTCGGTCGAGTCGCGAGGAAAGGGTAGATTGGGTGTGGGAAAGAGGAAGAGAGGGACGACATGACGCACCCAGATGTCGTAGCTGCAACAGAAAGGCTGTGTCAGGTCGTCGTCGCGCCGGCCGAGAGAGGGAAAGAGAGGGGGGGACGACGCACTAAGCATGCACGCCCTGGCTCTCCTCGGTGTGGTCCTCGCCAAAGCTGTAGTCCCACTCGAAGGTCGTGACGCCGTTGCGGATCGCCTTGGTCTGGTTGAGGTCCTTGACAAAGTTCGAGATATGGGAGCGCGAGATGGCGTCGTAGTAAGCGGTCAAGTTGGCGTCGAAGGCGGCGTCGGTCTCGTGGGCGGCGGCGAGGCGGAGGTAGCCGTGCATCATCATCATGCCACCTGTCGACAAGATAAAGAGGTCAAGGAGGGGTACGACCGGGAGGGAGAGGTGAAAGAGAGCGAGGACGCACGGTTCCACGGCATCGGCGACCCGGGAGCTCGAGTGTCGCCTGTCGACCACCAACGCTCGTCTGCAGGGTTGATGAGGTTGAGGTTCGAGTCGGAGAAGCGCCAGAAGAAGCTCTCGTAGGTGCTGCGAGCGGTTCGAGGGGCCGTGAGCGAGGGCTCGACGAGGTGAGGGAGAGAAAGAGAGAGTCGGGACGCACTCGTCTCCTGCAGCGACGTAGGCCTTTGCGCGCTCGTAGTAGGTCGTCGAGGGCTTGAAGATGGTCGGACCGGCAAAGACGGGCGGCACCATGGCCCACAGGCACGGCGTCTTAAGGATGTACACGGCCGCCGCGACCATGTTGCCGACGATGGCGCCTTGCTCGCAGCCGGCGTAGACGAGCTTGCCGTCGGCAGGGTACAGGTTGCCGGTCGGCCAGACCTGGATGGCGAAGGAGGGTCAGGACACGCGAAATGACGAGTTTCAGAGAGAGGGGAGCGCACGCTGTCCTTTGAGCCAGTCCAGATCGTGACAGGGTTGGGCGTGTTGGCGTTCTGCAGAGCGAGGATGCTGCGCATGGGGGAGAAGAAGATGTCAGGACCACGGCGGAAAAGGGAGAGGCGGAGGAAAGGGGAAAGAGCCTCGTTAAGGCCGAGCAGGACGAGGCGGACAGGGAAGGGGGACGAGGAGGAGAAGAAGGAGGAGGACGCACTTGTCGGCAATCTGGACCATGACGTCGAGCGCTCGTCGGTCGCCCGTCACCTCGAAGAGCAAGCCGGCGTCGTGCATGCCCTGCCCGAGCCACCCATCCGACAGGACGTTGCCCTGCCCGTTCTCCCACAGCGGCTCGAGCTCCCTGAGCATGCCGAGCGCCGTCTCGATCTCGAGCCGCGTCACGTTGCCCGCGTTGCCGCTCCAGGCCATGTTGCGCCTCGGCGCGGCGTCGCAGTACCGGACGCTACACAGCTGGGCAAAGCCGGCGTCGGTGCCCTCGAACGTCGAGGGCGGCGCGACGCAGCCCTTTGTCGGCGCCGAGCCGTACCGCGTCGGCGAGGGCTTGGCCGAAGAGGCCGGTCCGGCGGCGGCACCGCCGGCGGAGGACGACGGCGACCGACTCGAGTCGCCCGCCTCGACGACGCTGCGGGTCGCGCTCGAGCGACTCGCCGAGGGGCGGCGACTCGTCGGCACTCGAGTCGTCGACGTGGGCGTCTTGGCCGACGAACGCTCACGAGACGGCGAGGCCGCCGAGCCGGCCGCGGACGTCGACCGCTCGGTCGAGCTCGGCGCGGGCTTGTGCGGCGGGGAGGTGGATGCGGTCGAGTCGGGACGGTCTGGCGTGGCGGAAGCAGATGTGGGCGTGGAGGGGGACGTAGAGGACGGCATGAAGGAGAGTGGGCGAGAGTGCGAGAGGGTGAGGGTCGTGGAGGACGAGGCTGCGCCGTGGCCGGTCGAGGTCGGGCGACGGGCACTTGTCGATGAGGTGTCGTTCGACGACGCGAGCGTCGGGGGCGAGTCGACGGTCGACGAGGAGGGCGGAGAGGCGGCAGCGGAGCCGGTTGCGGTTGACGGCGAGGTCGAGGACGGGGCGGTGATGATGCGGGTCGAGTTGGTCGTCGCGGTGGTCGTCCTCGACGACTCGGTCCTCGGTCGGTCGGTCGAGCGCACGGCTGCCGACGTCGACTTGGTCGCGGCGGCGAGTACTCGGCCCGTGGCGAGCGACGCGTGCGCCTCGAGCGTCAACTCGCCCAGTGCGCCCGTCTGGACCGCGCTCACCGCCACCCTGACCGTCCCGAGCTGCATCTCGAGGCCGGCGAGCGGCGCATGTCGTGCTGCCGAGCTCGTCCCATTGTCCCGCCTGCTCGTGCTCGGCGCCGCGACCGGGTTCGATGCTGCGCTCGCCAGCGCGGCAGTCGACGGGGCCGACAGCGAGGCTCGCTCTGCCATGGCGTGCGGGGCAGCAGCTGCTGCTGCTGCTGTGGCGAGGAAGGCGGCGAGTGCCCACATTGACGGGGGCGAGGCGGTGCTGGCGGAGGAGCGAGGTCGACGGCGAGGGGAGGGCGCCATGGCGGCTGCTGGCGGTGCTCTGGTGGCTGGAACGAGCGTGGTGGAGGTCGTGGGTGCGTCTTCTGAGGTCGAAGGAGCGGTCGGGAGGGCAGGCGACGAGGCGTTTGTCCTCATCTCGGTCGTCGACGCGAGCTGAGCGTTGCGGGGTACAGCTCGCGCGAGGAGGCAAAGGCGCGCTCGTGTCGTGTGCGCATACACGAGCCGCACATGCTGGCGGTCACGCGAGGTGTGCAAGGGCCGAGAGAGAGAGAGAGAGGGAGGAGCGAGCAGGACGAAGACGACCATTCCGGCACGTGACCCCGCGCACGTCGTCGACGAGGCCGCACACCTGCTTGACAGCTGTGACTGATATGGACCTGTGCTCGACGACGAGCCGAGCACGAGAAGCTCCCGAGCGACAGCGACAAGTAACTTTGCTCGCATTCCTCCTCCCTCTCGAGCGAGACGAGAGTCGCGAGAATAGTCTAAACATTCCACCCGGACGCTCATAAGGAGTGTGCGCACGCCTGCGCGGCAGTTCTAACCCTCGACGTCGTCTACCCGCTTCTCCCGCGCCCCCTTCTTGTCCGTCGTCTCCTCGATCCGGACCCACCGGATGCCCGCCACCGAGACGCACCCGGCCGCCGCGAGCACGGCGCACGACGTGAATACATCAAACAGGGCGGTCACGGCGACGGCGACGACGGCGTCGAGGTGCTCGGGCGCGACGACTTCTCGGAACCGGTCGACGCCCGAGTCGAGGACGGCCTGCACGTCGACGCCCGGGATCTTGCCGATACCGCGCTTAAACGTGTTGGCGTAGATGGCGTTCGCGACCGACACCCAGATCGTGCCCTGTGACCGAGAGACAAGGGGATGAGCCTCACTTGAGAAGGCGAGAAAGAGAACGGGACCGTGCACGCACACCGAGGATCTGGAAGAAGCAGACGAGCGACGACGCCTTGCTGCGGTCGGCCGGCTCGGCGAGCATCTGCGACGCGAGGAAGCTCATCATGTCTGCGAGACGAGGGCGGGCGAGGCGGGAGGAAAGGGAAGGGGGAGGGAAAGAGAGGAGTCAGCGGGACGGGCTCGAGCGGCTGCGAGGAATCGGGGGACGCACAGAGCGCGCCCATGCCCGAGCCAACGACGACGCCGTAACCGGCCCACTGCGCCGTCGGCGTGCTCGCGTCCATCGTGGCGAGGAGCCCGGCGCCGATCGCCGTGAACGCGAGGCCGAACGCCATGGCCGGGTGGAAGACGCCAAAGCGCGAGACGGTCCAGCCGGCCACGATGCCGCAGAACATGTTGAGCGCGATCAGGGGCAAGAGGTTGATGCCGGCTTGGACAGGGGTGGCGCCTTGAACCGTCTGGAACCTGCGACGCGGTCGAGGACGAGGTCAGGGCGGGCTCGTGACATGCGCAAAGGGAAAGGAGGGGACGCACCAGATCGGGAGGTAGTACAAGATGGCGTAGTAGCTCGCGCCGCACATCAAGTTGACGAAGCTCGTGCACGCGAGGCTGCGGTCGCGCGTGAGGAGGCGCATGCTGATCGACGCCTTCTCGCCGAGCCACGTCTGTAGCGCAAAGAAGGCGCACATGAGGCCGACGAAGCCGACGAGGAGGCCGATGACGGTCGACGACGACCAAGGCCTCGAGATGCCGCCCTGCTGGAGCGCGATGAGGAGGCAGACCATGGCGCCGAGGAGGATAAAGGCGCCGCCCCAGTCCATGCGCTTGAGGCGCTGCTTGACGGTGAGCTCTTGCGGGATCGGCGGCGGGTTGAGGAGCCAGATGCCGAGCGCGAGCGCGAAGCCGCCCCCGATGAGCAGGACGTAGAAGCACCACCTGCGTCGACGAGGGGAGGGTGTCAGGCCGTTCGCGAGCCACTCTACGTCACACGGAAGAGATACAGAGAGAGAGAGAGAGCGCGACGCACCTCCAGGTAAGGTTGGACGTGAGCGCGCCGCCGATGAGGGGGCCGAGGACCGTGCCCGTGCCGTACGAGACGTTCATGAGCGCCGTGACGACGGCCTGCATGCGGATCGGGAGCGTGTTGGACGCGATGGCGAGGATGCCGATGAAGAGACCTGCGAGGCGGTACCAGACGACATGAGCCGGTGTGCGGGAGCGGAAAGTCGAATGAGCGGAAGGGCGAGGACGCACCTGCGTAGCCAAGGCCCTGCAGAGCTCGACCGACGATGAGGACGCTGCTGCTCGGCGCGACGGCCGCGACGAGGCAGCCGAGGTCGAACACGGCGAGGCAAACGAGGAACATCCACTTTTGCGAGAAGTAGGCGAACCCTCGGCCGGCGAGAGGCTGGAAGGCGACGCAGGTGAGGAGGTACGCGCTGCCGTCTGCGGGTACGGCGTCGGGAGCAAGATCAGCTTCGCGTCTTTGTGCGGGTAGGGAGGAGGACGAGGACGCACACCAGCCGACGTCGGTCAAGCGCTGAAAGTCGTTGGCGATGGTCGCCGTCGAGGTCGCGACCTGCGTGCGGTGCGGGGCGAGGAGTCAGTCGCGCTCGCCCGCTGAGAGAAGCCGCCCTTTGCCACTCACGATCGTGTTGTCGAGCCCGACGAGGACCTCGACGAGAAGCTGTCGCAAGGGAGGAGAGGCGCGTGAGCTCACTAGCCGCGAGGCGCTACATCCGCCCAGCCGGCTCGCGCTCGCTCGGGCGCAATGCAGCCAGCAAACGAAGAATGCGCAAGATAGGACGGGCAGGACGCACCAGAGTAAGCAAGAGGAGGGCGAGCCGGACGCCCTTTGGCGGATCTGGCGGCGACGGCGGCGAGTCAACCTTGTCGCCCTCGTCTCGGGCGACGTGCGCTCCGCCGAGGTGGACAGCGGTCGCGTATGCCGTGTCGTCCAAGCCATCGTACGGCCGGTCGCGCGACTTGAGCGTGTCGTACTGGGAGGCGGAACTCGACGGCGGGAACTCGCCGACCGTCTCGTCGTCTGAGCCCTGGCGGATCTCGTGCAGGGCGAGTTGGTCGCCAGACATGGCGTGCGCAGGCGGCCGAGGTGGTCTGGCGTCTATCGGAGCGGGAGCGACAGCGTGCGAGGGCTGAAAGCGCGAGCTCACCTCCTCGGCAGCGGCGCCGGCGGCCCCGCGGCCGAGACGCAACTCGTCCGCGCAGCTCTCCTCAGGCGACGGGCAGCTCACGGACAGACGCCGAGCGAACAGGAGAGCCCGCAGCTCGGAAGCTCCACCGCAGCTCGCGGTCTGCGCCAAAGGAGGCGGTGCACGAGTCGCTCTCGAGGAGGCTCTCTCTCGCGACGAGGGAGGAGAGACTGCAGGGTTGCTTCATTTCGGTGGTGCGACGCGGTATAAGCTGCTCGAGAGGGGGGTAGTGGTACAGAGACGGTCGGCGCGGCGGTCGAGCCCGGCTCGAGCGCGCTCGGCCCCCTCGCTCGCCCTCGACGACGGCGGCGGCGCACTCAGTGCAGGCCGTCCTCGCCGTAGGCCTCCTTGAACGACTCGCGCTCGAAAAGAGCCTGCGCCCATGCGGCAAACTTGGGGCCGACCTTGACGCCGTCGAGGTTCTTCTCGAACGTCTTGAGGTTGGCCTCGACATCCGCGATCGACGTTGCGCCGGCGCACGCAAGGACGCGAGCGAGCCAAGCGCCGCAGTGGAGGCTGTGACGAGGGTTGCGAGAGACGAGTCAGTGCGACGAACGCGAGAGGGCGCGAGTCGAGGGCGGGGACGGGGAGACGCACTCTGCGAGCGAGATCTGGTCGCCGAGGAGGTACGCCGCGCCGGGCTGCAGCTTGGTCTCGAGGAGCTCGACCGTCTTGCCGACGTTGGTCCACAGGTCCTTGGCCTTGGCCTCGATCCCGCTCGCGTCGCCCTTGCCCTCGAGGAGCGCGAGGAGGCCGCCATTTTCCTGGAGCGCGAGATACGAGTCAGTGGCGCTCCCGCGCACAAGAGAGACAGAGAGACAGAGAGAGGGGACGCACCTGGATCTTCTTGTCGTAAAAGGCCTTGAGCTTGGGGTCCGAGTTGCCGACCTCCTTGGCGTACCGCTCGAGCGCCTCCTGGCGGCCCTTGAGGAATGCGCCGGGGAGGCCGCTCGCCTTGACCTTGCGCTCCGCCTCGGTCCTCCACACGAGCAGGAGCGTGTTGGGGTCGATCGAGTCCTGGTGGATGTGCTCGATGAGGTCCTTGGACGTCGACGAGCTCTCGATGGTGGCGGGCGAGAGCGAGGGTGCGGCAAACGACGACGAGTTGGTCGAGCGGTCGAGGAAGTCGCACACGTTGGCGGTCGTCGTGATGGCCTTGAACTTGGTGCGGACGCCGTCGTCGAGCGTGTGCTCATACGGGACGACGAGCGCGGGCACGTGGCCCTGCGGGTGGATCTTGAGGTACGCGGGGCTGAAGTTCTCGCCCTTGCCTGCACCGGTGCGAGCATGGTCAGCTTGTCTGCGTCCAGGCCGGGTCGCGTGAGAAGGGGGAACTGGGACGGACCGAGGTCGACGATCCTGCGCTCGAGCTCATTGTCGGTGAAGCCCTTCTCGGTGGCGACAAGGCGCGGCACAGAGGCCCAGACGGAGCCAGGGAACCAGTCTGCACACGGGCGGCGAGGGGCAGTGTGAGCGAGCGACGATCGATTGAGGTGGGGGAGGGGGAGGAGCGGGCGTGCGAGGAGAGGTGTGAGAAGGTGGGACGCACAGAGGACGGCCTTGGGGGTAGTCTCGGATGCCATGGTGCTGTGCTGGTCTCGAGCAAGAGTGGTGGGAGCGAGGGAGACCGTGGTGACGGAAGGGGGGACAACCTCATCAGCTCCCACCTCCTGCCGTCGCGCTAGACCACAGGCGGCGTGGGCGCGCAGCCGGTGAGCACTGGACTGCCTCAAGGCTCGCATTGAGTGTTCTCCCGCGCTCCCCGATGCTCTCGAGGGCTGCTCAACTCTCGCTCCGCCCTCGCTCCGCTCCTCGCTCCTTCTCGGCGTGCGACTGCCGCCCTGACGGTCGAGCGTACCTTCTTTCCGCTCGGCAGCTTCTTGCCCGACGCACACACGCCTGCGTTAAGCATCGGGACCTTGCGCGGGCTGCTCCCGTCGCTGCGTCGCCTCTCCGCGCTCGCTCTCCCTGTTTCCTTCCCTTGGTCTCTGACTTTGCGCTCCGTGCCGCCTCTCCACGAGCGCGATTGAGCGAGAGAGAGTACTGCTTTGAATTTCGAGGGCTTCGAGAGTGCGACAAGAGGGAGGAGCGGGGCACAACAGGGAGGGAGAGAAAGGAGGATCCGTGACAACGCCCGCCGACGAGCGCACGATCCGAGGGAAACCGGCCGCTGCTTCGCTACGTGTAGTAGCGGAACGTGAGGGAGCGGTCGCCGAGCTCCTCGATCTGCTGGTCCGTCAAGCCCTCGAGGCCGAAACGGCGCGCGACCTCGGGCTCGTGGACGCGGCTCATGATGTCGGCGCCGTACTCGCTCTGCATCTCGTCGGTCGTCGTGCCGCAGATCTCGTTGCGACGGCGGTTCTCGGCGGCGAGGTTGAACCTGAGGAAGAGCGAGAGAAGGGCGGCCATAGCGGCGAACCCGAGACCGATGCCGTGGCCTCGGAAGTAGCGCGGCTTGTCCTCGGTGAAGTAGACGAGCGACGAGATGATGCCGCCCGAGTTGCCGAGAGTGAACATCTGCGCGAGGGGCGAGGGAAAGAAGTCAGTCAGGGCTCGAGAGAGCGCGCTCGAGAGGGGGGCTCGACCACGTAGAGCTGAGAGACCGAGAGACGCACCATGCCCATGGCGGTACCGCGCTTGAGCGTCGGCGCCTGGTTGTTGCCGCACCACGTGATCGTGTTGGCGATGCATGGCGCGACGCCGGCGACGCAGAGGAACAGCGCAAAGTAGGTCACGCCCGGCTTGTCGGCCGGGTTGACGCCGAGCAGGATGGCGTATCCAGCGACGACGACCGACATGAAGAAGACGTTGACCCAGCCACGGCTGCGCAGCTTGTCCGAGTACTTGGCCGCCGCAATTGTGACGAGGAAGGCGAGGACGTAGGGCGGCGTCGAGAGGAGCCTGCGGCACGAGCAACGAGGTCAGTCGAGCCGAACGAGGCAGGGAGAGTTTATTGAGGAGGCGAGAGGATTGCGAGGCGGTAGTGTTGGGACAAGGCGCAGAGGCGCGGGGGAAGGGGCGGCACGCGAGGCGCGAGGAGGACGGGGCGGGAACGTCGACGCACTGACTCTGCCACCTCGTGTAGACGCCGAGCTCGCTGATGATGGTCGGCGTGAAGAGGGCGAGCGAGTCTGTGATGGCGAGGGAAGAGAAAGTAGAGGTCAGCAACTTGGGAAGGTCGCCGATGGGCTCGAGCGGCTCTCGGCACGAGGCATGCACGCCGTGTCAAGAAGAATGGGCACGACTGGACGTACAGAGAGGCTCGGCAACGCCGATGTAGATGAGCATGTAAACGTAGGTGCGCTGTAAGAGGAAGGGAAAGGGCGGGCTCGTCAGGTCCCGCCGCACCTTTCTCGACGAGTAGGGGCGGGTGTGCGCACCCAGTCCTTGAAGGCGTTGTAGATGTGCTCCTTGCGGAACTCGCCAGACTTGCCGACATCGTGCTGGAGACGCCGCACGACCTGGGCCTTCTCGGTCGGGGTCAAGAACTTGCAGTCCTCGGGGAAGTCCTCGATGAACCACGGCGAAATGCAGCCGACGATGAACGTCAACACTGGGAGTGTGGGAGACGAGACGAGACGCCGAGGAAGGCGTTAGTGTTGCGGCGAGGGTGATGGGCGACGTGGCGAGGCGCGAGGCGACGAGAGCGGCGAGGCGCGAGGGGCGGGGCGCCGAGTGGCGGGGCGAGAGACGACGAGAGATGTGGGAAAACGAAGGGAGCCACGTAGGGGACGATGGACAAGGAGGAGAGGTAGGGACGGGGGGAGGAAGGGAGAGAGGGAGGAAACGAGGTCAGCGGACGGCTAACATCGACCCGGCGTCTCCTCCGACCGTGAGCACGAACGATTACGAACATCCTTCGAGGCAGAAGATCCAGCTGCTCGTGCGAGGGCGTGCAGGTCAGCTTCGGACGTGAGGGAGGGAGGAAAGGAGAAAGGAGGGTCGGCGGACGCACAACCAGCCTGGCTTGCCGCCGACGCCGTGCATGCGCGACAGCCCAAACGCCAAAATGCCCCCAAAGGCTCCTTTTTAATGAGAGAGAAGAGAGGAGGAGCGAGGGGAAAGGGCGGGAAGGAGACAGGGAGGAGGAGGAAGGGTCAGCTCGGCCTTTTTCCCTCTCAGACCTGTCTCGTGGACTGTGGACGCACCTGACAGCGTCGCAGAAGAGAAGAAGATGGCGATCCTAACGTTCGACTCGCTGCGCTTGTACCAGCTGACGAGATAGTCTGCGAAGAGGACCTGAGAGTCAGCGGGAACGCCGGAAGGGCGCGAGAGTAGGAGTCGACGTACAGCCTGCATAGAGTGAACGTCACGCCGGTAAGTAGCTGCAGGACGATACGAGAAGGCGGACGAGGACGCACAGCCTGCGGAAGAGCAGCGTCAGTGGGTAGCTCCGGCAGCTCGACGACGAGAGTAAAAGACCGTGACGTACAGCAAGGGAAGAGTGCCGACTCGGTAAGGCCTGTACAAGAGGCGACGAAGAAGGTCAGGAGTTGCGGCGGTCGTGAAGGGAAGGACGAGAGGGACGCACCGAGGAAGAAGCGCGCGACGAGGAGGCCGGCGTAGTTGGTGACGAGCGACATGAGCGTCATGACGATGCCCCACGCGATCATGATGGCCGGGATGAACCGCGACGGGCGAATGCGCTTGAGCAAGATGTTGGACGGCACCTCGAGCGCAACATAGCTGACGACTGCGGAACGGCGAGAGTCAGTGACGGCTTCTTCGATGCCTCGACAAGGCCCCAGACGGGTGCAGGCCGACGCACAGAAGATGACGAGCGTGACCTGGTACTGGTTGCCGACGAGCCCGAGGTCCTTCTCGAGGCCGTCGAGACGAGCCTGCAAAGTCACGTCGTCAGTTCCTGGTCGCCTCTTCTGGAAGCGACTCGTGTAGCTCACCTGTCCGATGTTGACGCTGCAGACAGGGTGAGAGAGGTCAGACCGCGGTACGAGCTGAGGGAAAGAAGGTGAGAGGAGGAAACCCGCCGGTCGAGGAACGACAGGAGGTAGAGGAGCGAGAGGAACGGCACGAGCTGCGGAAGGAGCGTCAGGACTCGCACTTGACCGACAGAGAGCGAAAGAGGGATGCACTTTGCGGTCGATCTTGCGAATGAGCCGCTTCTCCTCGTCGGGCGCGAGCAGAGGAACGTCGTCGGCGGTGACGGCCTCGCGGTGCGAGGTGTAGCCCTTCTCGTGGTGGAGCTCGTCCGAGGTAAGCGACGGGGACGACATGTCGTCGAAGTACTTGCCGGTGTGCTGGTACGCGACGGTGAGGGAGCAGCGAGGAGGACAAGGGGCGAACTGGAGCTGTGGGACGAGCGCGGGGGGCCAGCTCGAGTTTCGTGGGGAGCTGAAGGGGCACGAGCGGACGCGGGCGACGTCGGCCGTGCTTCGATCGCACGCTAAAAAGAGCGAAGGGGGGAACCGGCCGGAACGAACGAGAGAGATTAGCCGGTCCGGCCGTCGAACTGTGCTACGGGGGGGCGCGCCTGCTGCTCTCTCATCTCGACACTTGCCACGCAAGTCGCCCTGCAGCAGCAGAGCTCAGTACCGAGCGCTGTGAGGGCGCAGAAGGAGGAGCCAGATCCGACTCGACGTAGGCGGCTTGCCGTCGGTCCCCTCTGATTGGCCGGCCCCGCGCCCGCGCCGAAACTGGCGGCTCTCGTCCAGCGACGTCCTCCCGGCTCGCTCACAGGCGCTGCACCGTGCAGGGATGGGCGTACGATGGGTCACAGTCGTCGAAGCGAGCGGCTCTGCAGAGACTGTGGCTGAGAGAGAAGACGCTGCTGTCCGTGCGTTCGTGAGGCTCGACTCGCTCACTCTGCAAGCTCAGAGTACGGCGTCGAGCCGGCCCTCGTCGTTCCCCGGGGCAGAAGAAGACCTGTGCGAGTCGAACGAGTTGCGAGCAGACGACGTCAGTACGTATAACCGACCGTCCTCGCCTGTTCTGCACTTGGGAAGGTCACTATCTGCGAGCGATTGCGCTTCTGTCTGGTTCGTTAGCGTTCTAGCTCCTCGCAAGCTATGTTCCACAGCTTCTCGTCGCTGCGCTCGCCGCTCCATGCTCGAAGAAGCCGGCCGCTGCGTGCACGACGAGCGCTCCCTCCTTGCAACGCGACGCCGTCCCCGCTTTTCCCGCCCCGCATGCTGCCGATACCGCTCGCCAGCTCTCAGCGGTGCGCGCAGAACGACGGCTTGCCTTCGTCGCCAAGCGGTCCGCTCCGCTGCGTACAGTATCTCCGAGCAATCACGGGCGCGCTGTCCCCCACGTTTGCGAGGCGTGGACGCCGACTCGCCCGGTGTTCGGCACTCGCCCTGAAGCGCACGCTCCCTCAGCAGCTCGGCAGGCTCGAGTCGCTCTCCAGGACGAGCTGCAGCACGCAGCCGGACGAGCGACAGACGCGGGAACGAGGCCTCGCCCCCTTGTTCCCCGTCCTGCCTCTTCCGGCGCCGATTCCGCAGACGAGGCTGGCTGCTGCTCGTTCGCGCTCTTTACCTTCCACCGCACACCACACCCACACGCGTTCGAAGCACCCCCATGGTCCGCGCCGCTGTCGTCGTGCTTGCGCTCGCTGCCTCTGGTGTGGCACGGACCCCCCTCGCGACCTTCCCAAGTCGCGCCTCGCTGACCCTGTTCGCCTCGGCCGACAGTCTGCGCCTCTGCTCACGGCGCCCTCGGTCGCGTCAAGCGGCAGAGCTTGTCCGACTCGTCGACGCAGGCGGTCGAAGGCCTGCTCGACATCGCGCAGATGGTGCTCGCTGGCAACACGACGACAGAATGCAACGACTGGATCACCTCGCTGCAGGTGCGCACCTCGCCTTTCCTCTCTTGCCGTGTGCAGCGACACAGCGACTGACTGTCCGCTTTCCTCTCTGCAGAACTGCTCGAACCTGAGCGACGAGACCGAGGTCGCCACTTGCGCGTGCGGAACCGACGTCCTGACGCAGCTCGAAGCATGCGCGCCCGTCTACGGCAAAGGCCCGACCGAGAGCTCTTTCCGTGCGCCAGCCTTCCTCACTCGTGCACCGTTGTCTCACGAGTGCGCGCTCCTGACGAGAGCCTGCCCACAGGCTTCAAATCGTTCTGCACCGAGGTTCTCCCGACGCTCGACCTGTCCAACTCGACCCTCTCGTCCGCCGCGTCGTCCGTCGCGGCAAGCGCAACCTCGGCCATCGACTCGCTCACGTCGTCGGCCGTGAGCGCCGCCTCGTCCGCCTCGAACGCGGCACGGTCGAGCGCGTCGAGCGCGGCGTCGTCTGCTGCTGCAGGGGCGCAGCCGTCGTCGGCGAGCGGGAGCAGTGGCGCAGGGAGGACGGCGGTCGTGGGCGGGCTTGCAGGCGTCGTCGCCATCGTCGCCGCGCTCGCACTGTGAGGAGGATCGCGCTCTCGGACCCCTTTCCCCTCGTTTTTCTCTCAGTCTCTCGGACATGCTGCATGCGGCTGGAACGCGCAGTATGTACTCGTGTCCCTTTTTGCAGGAGAACTCGAGAGAGAGGCGCAGCTCGAAGAGGCGAGAGAAAGGAGAAGACGTGAAACGAGGTTGCAGGCGACGAGGACAAGCGACGGAAGGAGGCTGGCAAGGACGTGAAAGGGGAACAACGACAAAGCGGGAAGGAGAGTCGGGGCGGTACAGAGGGCACAAACAAGGGACGCGAAAGAGACACGAAACACCCGACGACCTGCTCCCTTCGCCCGCGCTCAGGCCCACTCGTCGTCGACCTCGCTCATGTCCCTCCTGAGCTCCCTCGTGAGCTCGAGCGCCTCGAGGACGACGACGATGAGGTAATGCCACTCGACGGCGACGCCTCGGTCGCGCACGAGCGCGTCGACCCTGTCGCCGAGCGCCGGGTTGTCGCGCAGAGGCGAGGGGGCGGTGCAGAGGGTGAGGTGCGAGAGCTGAGGGGCGATGCCGGAGGGAGGGAGGGGAGGGTGCGCCCACGAGAGGCGGCGGCGGCGGCGGGCGGCGCGCTTGGAGGTGGAACGGCCGGCGGGAGGGTCGTCGGCGGCGGCGAGGTCGTGCGAACGAGGCGGCCGAGGTGGCGACGAGGGCGGGCCCGACGGCAGTGCTGGCGAAGGAGCCGGCGAAGGCGACGAGGCAGGGCTCGAGGCCGGCGTGAGGTGCGCGAGGGGAGCGGCGTTGGCCGAGTCGAGGTCGAGGTCGTCGTCGGCGGGTGCCGGCTCGCCTGCTGCGCCGACGTCATCGCCCGACGGCGGCGAGGAGGGTGAGCCGGCAGAGGGCGTACACGCGCCGTCGGTCGGCTCGCCCAGCTCGTCAACCGGCGGCAGCTCGTCCTCCTCGCCGAGAAAGCCCGCCGAGTCGAGCTCGCCGTCGCCCTCTGCGTCGGGCTCGTCCTCGTCCTCCTCTTCTTCTGCCGCCGTGTACTCCTCTGCGTCCTCCTGCGGCGGGTCCCTGACGGTGCACAGCTCGTCGACGCGCTCGAGCCACCACTCGATCCCGGCGACGTCGACCTCGTCGTCGCACGACCCGATCGTGAGCTGCTCGAGCTTTGGCGGGAGGGTGAAGCGCGCCTTGTGCGGCGACGAGGCAAAGACCTGGGTGCCGGAGAGGCTGAGCTGGCGAACCTGCTCGAGGGAGGCGAAAGTGAGGGTCAGGAGGGTCCGTGCAGTCGAGAGAGGAGGGAAACGCGGGACGGACGTTCTTGAGCCGGCCGATGATGTCCCAGTACTCCTCGTGCGAGAGGCTGGGCTCGAGCCCGCCTGCGCGCCCGATGATCGGCGCGTCGGTCCACTCGAACGACTCGAGCGTGCCGGCGACGATGATGAGGGCCGCGATGAACGTGCGGGGCGAGCCGTCGATGACGATCGACGAGAGGGCGAGGTGGCGCAAGGTCAAGAAGGAGGGGACGACGAGGCCGAAGAGGGCGCGGGGTTGGACGAGGAGCGAGTGGACCGTGAGCGTCGCGAGGCCCTCGGTGACGCCGGTGTCGGCGGCGCGCGCGACGCTCTCGAGCGTGGCCCCTGCCCTCACGCTCGTGTCGTCGACCTTCAGGAGGTCGACGAGGCCCTGCGCGAGGACGAGGAGCGTGTTGAGAAAGACGCTCGGCGTATAGACCAGCGGCGCGAACACGCGCGCCGACGGGCGCAGGACGAGCTCCTTGAGCGATGCGAGGCGGCGACCGAGGACGTTGTCGGCCGTCGGCGGGTGAGACGAGTCGCACGGCGAGTACTCGAAGACGGCGAGGTTGGCGAGGTGGTTGCGGAACACGGGCGAGAGGCGCGCGACGTCCGGGTCGCCGAAGCCGCGCCAGCGCACCGTCGTGACGGTCGCGCCGCACCGCTTAAAGAGGTCGACGAGGAGGGAGCACGTGGTCGACGAGACGATGATGCTGGTCGGCGGCGCGCCCTCGCCCGTCGCGAGGACCGCACTAGTCGAGCTCGCGTCGTCGTCGGGAGCGAGGGGCGCTGGTGCGGCGCCGCTGCGCGTCTCCTTGATGTCGAACACGAGCTCGACGACGTTGCCGCCGAGCCAGGCGTTGTCGAGGGCGCGGATGAGGCGCACGAGCTGGCGGGTCGAGCGGACGACGACGACCTCGGCGTTGGCCTCGCGGGCGACGGGCTGCCAGCGCGAGTGGACGAGCGGGATACGGGTCCAGGCGTTCCACACGGCGGGCTTGGCCGTGGTCGGCGGGCGGGCGAGGACGAGGATGCGGCGGATGAGCTCGTTCGGGAGGCGGACCGAGGTTGGCGGAGTGAAGGGGAGGGCGGAGGTGGACGGGACGGGTTGAAGGTGAGCTTGCGGTGGTCGAGAGTGCTCCTGTTGGTGCGTGGTGGGTTTGGCGTGCTTGATCGGGGCTGTCGAGGGCGGGTAGACGACCAAGTGGGGCGAGTCGGACGACGACGAGGAGCGAGAGCAGATGGTGCAGCCACACCGCGGCGCGAGGATCTGCACGGGCAGGGCAAGGGTCAGTGAGGCTCTGCGAGGAAGATAGAGGCAAGGGCGCACCTTCATCGGGGCGCGAGGCCCCGTTGGGTGGGCGGCAGGAGCGAGACGAGCGTCGGCCCTCGTTCGTCCAACTCGACCCACACACCCAGACTGGCTACAGAGACAGCCAAGCACCTCTAGCCAGCTCACTCGAACCGCCACCGCCAGCCCCAGTGCCGCGCCCACTCCACCTCGCCCTTTCCCCACCTCCCTCCCCATCAGCTTCCTCCCACTCCTCCTCGACCAACACCAAGGCCGCCATGTCCATGTCGTCCAACACCTCGCAAGACGCAGACGACAAGGCTCGAGCCGGCCGCCAACTCGTCCCCATCAACACGCAGAGCTCCGACACCTCGACCCGCTCGGCCTCGTCCTCGACCCTCGCGTCGCCCTCGACCTCGGCCTCGACCGCCTCGCCCGCCTCGTCGAGCAAGAGCAGGGTCAAGTTCGGGCCCTCGTCCCTCCACCACGCCCTGTCGCGCTCGTCCACCTCGAACAGCTCGCACCCCTCGTCGTCCACCTCGCACTCGCACTCGCACTCGCACGCCCACCACAAGCACCACCCACACTTTGACGACCCCCAGTACTCGCTCCCGACCATCAAGGACCCGATCCACCTGTGCGAGCTCGCCACCCAGCTCCTCCTCACCACCCCGGGCGTCCCCATGGACGTCCTCCGCCGCGACATCGTCCCGCGCCTGTACCACGTCGACGGCTACGAGCACAGGGTCAACACCCGCGAGATGGGCATGGACAAGCTCCTCTCGGAGATGGCCCGCTTTCGCCGACGCTTCTCGGTACGTCGCCGCGCCCGCTCCCCGTCCTCCTCGCGGACCCCGTCTTGACCACCTCGCTTTCCCGTCGCAGAGCCTCAAGGTGCGGCTGCGCAGCCACCTCATGGACATGGACGGCACCTCGTACGTCCTCGGCTCTCACTCTGGCTCGAGGAGCGCGCCACTGACGAGCTCATTCCCGCCCGCAGGGACATGCACGCCGCCGCCGTCGCGCTCGTGTACGACGTCGTCGCCAAGGAGGCGCACCCGCCTGGATCCAAGGGCAAGCACGACCACGAAGAGATCCACTGCTCGGCGATCGCCGTCTGCAAGGTGTACGAGGGCAAGATCGCCCAGACGGACCTCGTCATGTGCGTCCCCCTCTTCTCACGCTCTCCCTCCCTGTCCTCCTTCCTCGCGAGCTCACTCTTCTGCGACGGCCGAAACAGCGACACGAAGGAGTTTCACGCAGATGCGGGCGGGCCAGAGTTGAGCTGCGTCGTCATGTAGCCTGTACTTTTGACCTCTGCCGCAGCACTGCGAGCTCGCGCCGAGAGCTGTCGAGCTGAGAGCCGAGGCAGAGAGAGAGGCACAGAGAGAGAGAAATAGATACAGCGACGCGCGAGGGGGGCCAGGGCGAGGACGAGGGCGTCGACGAGAGAGGGAGGTCCGGGCGCGGCAAGGGAGGGAAGCGCCGCAGCGCGTAGATACAGCTAGATCGCAAAGACAGAGTACAACCAGGAACCGCACTGACTCCTCTCTCTCTCGGCCCCGTCCTTCATGCCAGCGAGCCGTCCTTGACCCGGCTGAGGAATGCCGCGACTCGAGGGAGGTCCATCGCCGACGGGTCACTGCGACGAGGGGCATAACAACAGAGTCAGTACGCCGCGACGATGCGAGAGAAGGGAGGAGGAAAGAGAGAGGTGGGACGCACGCCTCGAGAGAGCGCACGAGGCCCTCGAGCATGCCGTCGACCTGCTCCTCGTCGACGCCGCAGCACCCGGCGACGATGCGACGCAGCTTGGCCTCGAGCTCGCCGTTGCCGCCCTCGAGCCGCTCGACGCGCTGCTTGGTGAGACCCTCGACGCGCTCGTACCACGCCTGGAGCCGCAGGAGGAACACGAGCGACTCGCCCGAGACGCCCTCGGGGTCGTCGAGGTCGGGCAGCGCCGGGTCGGCGTCAAACTCGATGCTCATGCCGCTCGGCAGGTTGCGGAGCGTGCTCTCGGGCCCGCGGTACGCGAACCCGGGGCCGGCGAGCTGCGACGCCGGCTGCCCGTCAATCTCGGTGCGGCCCGTCCAGTCGAACGAGTCCTCGTCGTCGATCGCGCGCGCGAGGTTCTGCGATCGCTGCGCCGCCTCGTCGGTGAGGGCCGCCTCGGCGCGCCAATGCGACAGGGCGCCGCGAGCGTCGGCGAGCTCGGCGGCGACGGCGCGCAGGTGCTCCTTCTTGGCGGCGAGCTCGTCGGCCTTGACCTGGAGCTCGGCGTCGAACGACGACGACAGGGACGACAGGGTCTCGGACAGGGTGCGCAGGACGTCGCTCGACGCCTGGACAGGGACGGACGAGGACGAGGGCGAGTCGGCGTGTTGCAGCGCGTGGAGCGTCTCCTCGGCGGCGTTGACGGCGAGCTCCTGCACACACAAACGAGTATCGTCAGGATCGTGCAGGGATAGTCGAGGACGAGGAGAGAAAGAGGGACGCACAGGGTCCTCGACGCCAAAGTCGGTCGGCCGCAGCCCAAGCTTGTTCGCCTTGAGCTTGTCGGCGCCGACGTCGAGGAGCATGCGCACGAGCGTGCGGTTGCCGATCCTCGCCGCAATGTTGAGCGCCGTGTCGCCGTACGCGTCCTGCGCGTCCACGAGGTCCTTGAAGCGGCCGCCCTCGCGCGTCGCGACAAACTCGAGCACGGCCTCCATGTAGTAGCGTGCGCTCGCGGCGCGGCCCTTGACGCCAGCGACGAGGGCGGCATGATGCAGGACCGAGCGGCCGATGTCGTCGACCGTGCGGAGCGCGGGCGCGAGCACCTCGAGGAGGCGCAGGAACGAGTCTTGGTCCGAGTTGTTGGTGACGAGGACGGCGCGGATCAAGGGCGTCTCGCCCGCGTTGTTGCCGCGGTGAGCGTCGGCGCCGTACGCGACGAGGGCACGCACGAGCGACACGCGCGCGAGGGCGGCGGCCCAGTGCAGCGCCGTGTGGAGGTTCTCGTCGATCGGCGTGTCGACGTCGAGGTCGGGCGGGAACACGGTCGACAGGTCGGGCACGAGAGCCGGGCCACCTCCGACAGGCTGCTCGGGCTCCATCGCGAAGATCGACTTGAGCGCCGTGCGGTCGCGCTCGAGGACGGCCTGGTCGAGGGTCGCCGGGTCGAACGGCGCCTTGGACGACAGCTTGAGCGTCGTGCGGAAGTTGCTGAGCGGCTTGGGCGGAAGAGGTGCGGGTACTGGAGGTGCCGGTAGAGGCGAGGCGGCGTAGCCGTTGCCGTTGCGGAACCCGTTGACCGCCTCGAGCCGCGCCCGCTTCATCTCGTCCTGGTCGAGCGAGTCGCCCGCACGCTTGAGGTTGGGCGGCGGTGGCGGGAGCATCGAGTGATCATGCTGCTCGGGGAGGAGCCCCTGCTGGCGAGCGTGGTGGAGGATGGCGGAGGCGTCCTGAGCGCGAGGTTGGGGCGACGGCAGGTGGTGCTGCTGCTGCTGCTGCTGCTGGAGGGACGGCGGCGGCGGGAGCTGAGGCGGCGGAGGAGGACCGTACGGGTTGACGATGGCGGGAGGAGGGGCGGCGCCGCCGAGCGAGGCGGGAGGAGGAGGAGCCGTGTAGTCGAAGAGGGGGGCGAGCAGGTGCGAGACGCCGAACGCGTTGGCGAGCTCGACAGCGCGCTCGAACGGGATCCTGTGGGTGCAAGTATGTCAGGAGGAGGCACGAGGTCGAGAGCGGGCGCGAGGGGGACGCACCAAGTGCCCTGGTACCGGCCGTACCCGCCCTGGACCTTCTCGTGGACGCCCTGGGCGATGTCCTTCTCGAGGATCTTGGTGCGCTTGCCCTTGTCGACGCCTGCGACCTTGAGGATCTGGGTCGCGTTGAGCCAGCTGTCGACCCGGCGCCGCATGACGCCGATTCCTCGGACCATCATCTCGTAAACGGGCACGGACGAGTACACGGCGAGGCTGCGAGGGGGGGACGGGCAAGGGCGAGTCAGCCAGGCTCGACGGAGGAGGAGGAGCGAGAGAGGCAGGGGGTGCGCACTAGATGTACGGGTTGCCCTGGACGCTGCGTGAGGAGGGCGGGGTCAGAGAGCGGTCCTGTCGACGAACGAGGGGGGGAGGCGGACGCACTTGGGGTTCGGGTATGACACGCCCGTGTCCTGGTACTGCGAGCTTGCCATCTTGGTCGACTCGAGCTTGTCGTTCGATGCGGTGCGCTTTTGCGAGGAGTGGGAGAGTGAGCCGGCGTCGACTCGAGAGGGAGGAGGGCAGGGCAAGGCGGGCGCACCTTGCCGTTGCGCTCAGGTTGGCGCCCTGGAGCTCTTGAGTGTTGGCTCGACTGCTGCTCAGTCCTGGTCGGAGCGCTCGCTCGTTGGAGCTGATGAGGCGAAGGAAGCTCGCGCGAGGTTGATCACGCGGGACGGCGAGGCTCGACTGTGGCGCAGGGACAGGGAGGAGAGGCATGCAGGTCAGTGCAGGTCCGCATAGAGCCCTGTGGACCAACTCGGCGACCCGCAAGAGCGGTGCCGGGTGCCCTTCACGTCGGCGCACGTCGGTCGCGAGGGGACGAGGGCGATGAGGACGAGGAGGGGACGCACAAAGTCTAGAACAGGCGGACACGTCTCTTGAGCGTACTGAGAGCTTGTTCAAGCGCGTTCACGCGGTACCCGAGGGCTGTGGAGGTTGCGAGGGGAGCGACCGACGCGCCCCCCTTCGCGTCGAGACCAACTTTCGCGACCTGGACCAGTCCTCTCTCTCTTGCGCTTTCAGACCCAGCGAGCGCGTGCAGTCGGACGACATCATCGAGCTCGTCGTTGCACCCGGCTACTCGTCCTTCTTGCCGAGCCCCTGGAGCTCGCGCACGGCCTGCTCGCGCCTCGCCTTGTCCAGCTTGGCCACTGCGTCCTCCCTCGCCTCGCGCTTGCCCTCGCGGATCGCGAGCCCGACCGACACGCTCGTCGAGATGCCCACGAGCGGCGTCGCGAGCGCCATGAGCGCCAGGATCGGCCACGCCACCTGCTCGCCCTCGTGCACGCCCGCCGCGCGCGCGCGCGACGACCACGCGAGGTACGCGAGCGCCGACACGCTCGCAAACACGACGTCCCACGAGATGCTCGCCTGCGCCGGGTGCTCGTTGAGCGTGTCCCACTGCCGCACGAGGAGCTGCGGCAGCCGGTCGCGCACGCCCTCGAGCGAGAACGGCTGGTCCTTGCCGAGGAGCTCCATGAGGAGCGGCGCGCGGAACCGCAGCGAGATAAAGGCGCCGTTGAGGTAGAAGCGCGACAGGCGCGGCGAGACGACCCAGTCGCGCTTGGCGATGGCGGGGACGAACGGGATGACGAGGACGGCGTGCATGAGGACGAGGTTGGGCAGGAACAGGGGCATCGTCGACGTGAGGGTGCGCGGCACAAAGACGACGCTCGTCGTCGCGATGACGATGGCGACCATGACGCCGACCGTGATTTGGCTCTGGCGAGGACGAGGGCGCACAGGCGTCGAGGCGTCCGCAGTGGCGCGCGTGTACGACGACGCGGCGACGACGACGGCTGCGGCCCACAGCGACTGGGCGAAGCTGATGGCGACGACCTGGCCGAGGAGCATGTACGCCCACAGGTGCTTGACGCCGTACTTGTTGCCTGCGCGAGAGGGCAAGACGAGAGTCAGTTTCCGTCGCGCCCTGCCCTGTCCCCCCTTCGAGAGTCGCAGAACCGAAAGGAGGACGCACCGTCGGCCATGAAGAGGAGCGTGAGCGGGCCCGTCGTCCACAGGCACAGCTGCTGCGACCACCACCACCTGCGGGTGCCGTCGCACACGTAGTGCCACGCCTCGTGGAACAGCGACACGTCGGCGAGCCAGTCGTGCGTCGAGTACAGGGCCGGGAGGGTGCCGTGGCGCAGGGCCGACTCGTTGAACGACAGGCGGAAGTAGGCGAACATGTACGACCAGGTGAAGCCGAGCGAGACGAAGGCGATGACGAGGAACGCGACGGCGGGGCGGTTGAGCCGCTTGGGCGCAAAGGCAGGCGCCACCTTGACGGCGAGGCTGGCGATGAGGGCGAAATAGCCCGCGAGCGGGACGTGGTAGAGCGACAGGGCCATGGCGAGTCGGGGCGGGGGGCGGAGGAGGAGGGAGAGGTGGGCGGCCGGCGGTCCTGCGGGTAGGGTCGGGTCAGTAGCACGCTCTAGAGGGTACTTTGGGGAGGTAAAAGGCTTACTGCTGCACTAGAAGGCTGGCGCAGGTCGAGGGGCTCGGTTGAGACGGCGAGCTGATGTAGACGCGAGGCGGGACGGGACTGGGTTGGCGGTGCGGCGCACAGGTGTGGCGGCGAGTAGATGCACTGCTCGAAGCTGGCAGGCAGTCGCAAGAGCTCCTCGAGGGGCGAGAAGCGAGAGGGTTGCGGCTCAGCCCCACGTTCGCCTCCTCGACCCGCCAACTCTCGGCTTGCGCTTTCGCCAGCTCACGGGCACGTCGAGTGAGACGTTCTACGGCTCTTTAGTTTCAGTCCAACACAGGCTACGTTCCTCGGTCTTCTTCTCGTCAACAGCTCGACTCGGTCTTCCTCCTTCGTCGCCGCACACGCGCATCGTCTTGCTAGTCGATACAAACAGGGATGGGGAGGCTCGGCGCACAGACAGAGGGCGAAAGGGGGAGGGGAAAGGATCGGCCGAAATAGCGGCGACGAGGGGGCGGGCGAAAGAGGAGGACGGGTCCGAGAAAGAGGAGTGGGGACGGGACGGCGGAACGAGGCGACGGAAAGAGGCGCTGTCGACGAGCGCTACTTCTTCTGCCGAGGCATCTTGCTGTTGTCGGCAGCTGCAGGGAGAGCAAGGAGAGGGGGTGAGTTTGTGCGCGAGGAAAGGGAAAAGGAGGGGCGAGAGGAAGACGCACGGATCTTGATGTGCTGGTGGTAGCTGTCCTTGTCGGTCGGCATGGCGCCCTTGTCGTAGATGCACGGCTTGAGGCTCGTGAGCCAGTCGTCGCGCCGGCGCTCGTCAATGTCGTCGCCCTCGCCGCCGCGCAGCAGGTCGGCGAGCGTGCACCGGATGCTCGGCTCGATCGTGAGCATGCGCGTCAGGCACGACCGCGTCTCGCGAGGCAACAGGCGGAAGATCGAGTCGGCGGCGCCCGTCGTCCACGTCGCGTTCGACGCGACCGAGTCGCTGCGGCCGCGCCCGCCGGCGCCCGTCCCGGACGTCGTCGACGACGCCGACGAGCCGGCCGGCGCCTGCTGCGCCTGCGACGCCGCGTTGAAGAAGGCCGACGACGACGGCGGCGGGCCGTCGGCGGTGCGCGGGCGCGTCGCCGAGCTCGCCGCTCGGGGCCGGCCCAGCATCGTGCTCGCACCCTCCTGGTCGACGGCGGTCGCGGCGCTCTCGCGCGACGGCGTGCGGTGCAGCGCCGAGCCAACCGTGCCGCCCGACTCCTCCTCGTCGATGCGGAGCGAGCCGACCGAGCCGGCGAGGGCGTCGTCGCGGCCGGTGGCCGACAGGGCCGGCGACGGCTGCGAGATGGACGACGGCGACTCGACGCGGTCGAGCTGCGTGATCGACAGGTGCGCATAGTCCTTGCGGCGGTCGTGCGCCGTCTCGACGTTGGCGCCGGCGAGGGCCGTGTTGAACGCCGACTCGGCGGGCGTGCTCGAGCCCGACTTGGTCGACGTGCGCGAGGCCGGGTCGAACGTCGACGCGCGCGACGGCAACGGCTTGCCGCCGATAAAAGCGTTGGGCGACGACGGGGCGCGGCACAGCTCCGGGTGCGACGAGACGTAGAGGCGGTACGACGCGTCCGATTTGGTGTCGGGGAGCTTCCACGGGAAGCGGCGCAGGACCATGCAGCAGAAGATGATGGCGACGGACCACACGTCGGTGAGGCGAGGGTCGTAGTCCTTCTTGCCTATCACCTCGGGCGCGAGGTACGGGTCCGAGCCGACGACGCCCGACGCCTTGGTCGGCTTCTGGTCCGGGTACCGGAAGACGACGGCCGTGCCAAAGTCGATGAGCTTGACCGTGTTGTCGGGCGTCATGACGCAGTTGTCGAGCTTGAGGTCGCGGTGCGCGAGGCCCATCGAGTGCAGGTAGTCGACGCCGTCGACAATCTGCTTGAAGACGCAGTAGATCTCGGGGCGCGACATCTTGCCCGACATGACGATCGAGAACAGGTCAAACTCGGCGTACTGCATGACCTCGTAGTAGTGGCCGTGGTCCGAGATGATGTCGACCGTCTGGATGATGTTCGGGTGGTGCAGCGTCGAGCCAATCTGTGCGACGAAGGCGGCGAGTCAGATCCTCGTCGTCGGACGCACAGAGAGAGAGAGACGAGGGACGCACGCAGAACTCGGCCGTCACCTTCTTGACGTACTCGCGCTCCGTCTCGCCGGCTCGCCTTGCCCGGAACTCCTTGACGGCGAACACCGAGTGGTCCTTGCCTCGGCGGATGAGGCGCACCGTACCGCCGGCGCCCGAGCCGAGGACCTTGCCCCACTTGCCGTACTTCTTCGACAGGTGCGCGTGGTCCTCGCCGAGCGGCGGCGAGTGGCGCCCGTGGCCGTGGTACTCGGGGTGGTACAGGGTGTCGGTGTAGTCGCGCTCGACGGGCGTGCGCGCGCCCGACGGCGTGCCCGGCTGCGAGCCATTGCGAGGCGACGACTTGCCGCTGCGAGGCGTCGAGCCGGCCGTGCCGCCGGCGTCGCCGCCGCCGGGCCCGCCGAGGTCGAACATGGACCCACTCGCGCTCGGGCCGTGGCTGCTGCCCGGGCCGAACGAGCTGCCGTGGCCGTGCGACGACATGCTCGCGGCGCGCGACGACTTGTCGCTGCCGCCAGAGCCCGATTTGCCGTGGTGCAGGTGGTCGTTGAGGAACCGGCGCAGGTCGTGGAGCGGGCCCGGGTGGTGCTGCTTGGTCGACTGGCGCGACATGGAGAACAGATTCGAGTGCGACGCGGCGCGCTTGCGCTCACCGATCTTGGCAAAGATGAACTGGGGCGGCGTCGCCGTGCCGCCGGGCGTGGTCGCGCCGGATGCGCCGATCGACGGCGAGTGGGCCTGCGACGACGGCGACTCGCCGCGGAACGAGCCGGCGCGGTAACCGACGCCTCGCGAGTCGGGACCGGGGAGGCCCTCGGCGGCGGCGCGCAGGCGCGAGTGGTCGGGCGGGCCAGGGTCGGCGTCGTCGTCGGCCGAGGGCGGCTCCTCGAGGCTGCGGTGGTGCGAGTTGACGCGCTGGATGCGGTGGCCCTGGTTGAGGTGCGGGTGGCCCGGACCGCGGGTCGTGTCGGTCGTCGACGCGCCCGAGTAGGTGCTGTCGGCGTCGGACGCGGCGGGGGTCGAGGCGGTCGTGGCCTCGCTCGGTCGGCGGTCGCGGTCGTGGTCAAAGACGCCGAGGCCGACGCTCGACGCCTTGCGGGACGACAGGCCCGAGCGGCTGCCGTTGTCGCTCGGGGTCCAGGTGCCCGTGTTGGTGTCGGACAAGGACGAGTCGGTGACGGTGTTGAGGGTCGACGAGCGCGAGTGCGGGTTGGCGCTGCCGCCGTCCGAGGGCGCGGGCGACTGGGCGGCGACCGAGTGAGGGGTGAGAGGCGCCGAGTCGGTCGTGCTCGAGTCGTGAGAAGGAGCAGCCGAGGGCGAGGCGAGGTGGGGCAGGGTGAGGGGATTGCGCGCGTCGGCCGATCCTGGCACGGCGGGCGCGACGGCGGGCGCAGGCGAGGCGACGACGACGGGGCTGGCCGGGGTCGACATGGCCGTGTGCGCACACAAGGCGGGCTCGTGGGCGGTGTCGAGGAGGGCGAGGAGGAGGCGGCGAGGCTCCAAGACCGAGGGCGACGACGAGGGGAAGCTGGTCGTGATGACCGAGACGGGGCGCTCTCGGCTGAGGGTTGCGCGGGTGCTGGCGTCTGGTCCTGTGCGAGCTGGACCTGGTAGGCTCAAGCCGAGCTCGTCTCGAGGGCGTCGTCGAGGCCAAGTCCGGTTCGAAAACGGTGATGCCGCCCACGCTCTCTCTGCCGCTCGCCCTCGCCCTCGCAACCCTCCGCGTGCGCGCTGAACCGCCTTCCGAAACACCGACCACCTGATTGTGCCGCAGTCCCTGCCCCCCTCGCCCAGCTTTCCGGATCGCACGCACCTCTTCCTCCTCCTGTTTCTCGCTTGGCACTCCGCCGGACCTTCCGGCTCGCTCGCCTGCACGCACGTTCGCTCGCTCGAGCGCTCCCCGTCTCTTCTTCTGTCCTCGCTCCGCCGTCCGAGACCCGGCTGCGGGGCTCTCTCTGTCTCTCGTCTGCCCGAGCGAGCCGGAATGACGACGTCGACGACGGCGAGTACCTTGCACGAGAAAGACGAGATAGACGGCTCCTACTGCAAGAGAGAGCGAGACGCGAAAGAGAGGAGAGCTGTGCAAGGGGAGGGAAGAAAGAGAGGACGACCGACGAGAGACGAAAAGGCGAAGTTGAGAAGGCGATGAGGTAGGATGCGGGCGAGGGCGACACGATGAGGTGGATGTGGCGTAGATGGCGTGGTATAGGCAAGGCAGATGCGCGAGAGGAGAGACACGGAGAGAGAGAGAGATCGGGGAGAAAGAGGGAGGGAGACGCTCAGGCGAGCATGGGCGACCTGGGCCCGCCGAGGTGCGGCGACGGCATCGGGCTCGGGATGAGCCTCACGGCGTTGACGAGCGCGTTGCTGCCCTGCGACCGCGGGTCGTCGAGCACCCACCGGTGCCGCAGGCGGTTGTACGTCGCCTTGAACGTCGAGTGCGCGCCCTTCTCCATGACGAGCGTGACGACCGTCGGGTACTGCTGGCGCAGCTCGTGCGCGCTCGCCGACGGCGTCGACGACGACGACGGGTTGGGCGGCTGGCTGCCGAGCTGGGGCGACGACGAGGTCGACCCGGTGTGCGAGCTGAACTCGACCCGGAACTTGGCCGACTTGGCGGGGCCGACCGACGACGACTCTGCGGGTGCGACGACAACGTGAGCTCGGGGGACACGTGCGACGACAGTGGGCGAACGAGAGACGCACCTCGGCGCTCGGTGATGCGGCACTTGAGCAGAGCCATGCCCTCGGAATTTTGGACGACGACCGAGACGCCGATCGACTCGAGCAGGCGCTTGCACTCGAGCCTCGTCGGGTGCGCGTAGTCGGTCGACATGAGCGTGTAGCTCTGCGAAGGAGGAGAGGCAAGAGAGGGTCAGTGCGAGTCCGACGGCGAGAGCGAAGAAGAAGAGGGAAGGGGGGACGCACGAGCGACTTCCAGTTGAAGAGGCCCGCGAACCAGCTCTGCTTCGGGCTCGTGGGGTCGTTGGCGCCCGAACGAGACGACGGGATCGGCGCGAACGAGACCGTGGCTGCGCGCGCAAAGACGAGGTTAGTCAGACTCGCCGCAGGCGGTCCTCGCCGAGCGCGAGACGGTTCGACGCCGACAAAGAGGGGAAGAGGACGAGGTCGACGCACGCTTCTTCTTCTTGAGGCGAGGCTGCATCATGTCGGCGATCATCTGCTCGTCGAGGCTCGGCCGTTCGACCATCTCGTAGTCGCCGAAAATGGTGTCGGGCCTGGCGGTGGCGCCGTCGTTGCGCGCCGCGAGCGCCGGGCGTTGGTGCTGCTCCTTACCGAGGACGGGCTTGCCGCCCTGGCCCGGCCGGGGCGCGAGAGGTGGCGGTGCGCCGCCTCGAGGGTACGACAGGCCGAGGCCGGCGTTGGTCGCCGCGCCGCCGCCGTTGCCGCTCGACGCCGAGAACCGCGCGTGGCTGTTCTCCTTGTCGGCGCTCGTGCTCGTCGTCGCGTAGCTCGCGTACGACGCCGTCTGGCGCGACGGCGGGCGCTGCGGGCTCGTGTTGCCCATGCCGGCCGGGCCGCCGCCGCCGTTCTCGCGCGACGAGGCCCGGACGCTGATGCGCGGCCGAGCGAGAGGCGCCGTACCCGACGCGCCGATCGAGGTGACGTCGGCCGAGCGGCGGTGCGACGACGAGGCGCCGCCGACCGACAGGACGGGGCTGCCGGCGCGGTAGCTCGACGAGCCGATCGACGACACGGGCGTGCCCGTGCGGAACAGGTCGAGGCCGCTCGAGGCCATGCCGTACTCGGACGTGAACGCCATACCGACGTCGCTCTCGTCGTCCTCGGCGTCCTCGAACCGCGAGTTGTCGCCCTCGCCGCCGTTGCCGCCGTTGCCGCCGCCGCCCGACGACGCAGGCAGGGCAGGCGTCGTCGGCGCCGTCGAGACGACCGAGGCGCTGCCGCCGTCGAGGAAGCTCGAGATGTACGTGCCCGCCGGCGACGGCGACGGGGTCGGCGGGAGCGAGTTGCGCAGCGAGATCGTGTGCAGCTGCCCGACGATGTCGTGGAAGAACTGCTGCATGGCGGCGTCGCCCGTTTGCGGGATGTGGATCGGGAGGACGGGCGCGCCGCCGGACGAGCGCGGCGACGACGACGACGCGCCGCTGTCGTCGGCCGCCGACGCGAACGACGAGACGGCGTTGGGCGACGGCGACGGCGGGGCGCTCTCCCACTCGGAGCCCGAGTGCCGGCGCCCAGCGGCGGCGCTGCCCGGCGCGACGAGCCCGAGGCCCGAGTGGTCCGGCGTCGCCTCCTGCAGCTGGATCGCCGGCACCCTCGCAGCGGCGACGGGCGTGCCCGCGACGTCGCGACCGGGAGCGTTCGGCAACGGGCGAGGGCCGCGAGGCGCAGGCGAGCCCGCCGGCGTCGAGGACGAGCCGCTCGCGACGGGCGCCGAGACGGTCGTCACGGTCGCCGTGCTGCGCGCCGAGTTGGTCGGGACGGGCGGTGCGGGGCGAGTGACGACAGGCGGTGGCGGCGAGCTGGCCTTGGCGCGCTTGCTCGCCGACGGCGCAGCGACGGCGGCGATGTTGGAGATGGACGTGCGCGAGCGGCGGGTCCGGGACGCGACGGCGCCGGCGTTGACGACGTGCTGGCGCTTCTCTGCACGGTGGGAGCGAGCGAGAGTCAGGCATGGTTCGCTGCGAGTATGAGACGGGGCGAAAGGGAGAAACGCGAGGACGCACCGGCGGTGCGACGAGGCTTGCGGATTTCCTCCTCCTCCATGTTGAAGTTCTCGAGGTTGCGCGTGCGGTAGCGGTACAGGAGGCAGTAGAAGACCTTCTCCCACGTTTTGCTGTGCGCGAGAAAGACAGGGAAAGGGTCAGGGCGAGTCCGTCGAGAGGAGAGAAGGGGGGAAGGGGAGGGGACGCACTTGGGCGACAAGAGCTCCTGGACGATCTCGCCCTCGTCGGCGCCCTGCCACAGCGTCTTGAGGTTGGTCAGGATCTCGGGGTCGATCTCGTCGCGGTTGCCGACCGGGCGCGCAATCTGGCGCACGTCGGGCGGCGGCGGCGGCTCCTGGCCGTAGATGAGGCGCGGCGCCTGGCGCGTCACCCACGGGTGGGCGCGGATGTCCTCCATTTTGAGGCGGCGCTCCGGGTCGACGACGAGCATGCGGCGCAGGAGGTCCTGGGCGTCGGTCGGGAGCTCGGGCGGCATGTAGTACTCGCCGCGCTTGACGAGGGCGAGCAGGGTGCGGATGTCGCTGTGGTCGAACGGGAGGACGCCCGTGAGGAGCGCGTACAGGATGATGCCGCACGACCAGATGTCGGACGATGAGCCGTGGTAGGTCGAACCCTGCGAGCGTACGCGAACGAGAGGCGAGTCAATGAGGGGTCCCTGCACGAGGACGAAGACGAGGACGAGGGAGGGAGGGGTGGACGCACGGCGACGATCTCGGGACTAGCATAGTGCGGGCTGCCGCAGCTCGTCTCGAGGAGCTTGCCCTCGCGCTCGAGGGCGGCCATGCCAAAGTCGGCGATCTTGATGTTCTTCTCCGAGTCGAGCAGCAGGTTCTCGGGCTTGAGGTCGCGGTGGCAGATGTTGAACCGGTGGCAGTAGTCGACGCCCGAGATGATCTGCTGGAAGTAGTGGCGCGCCTCGTCGGCGTGCAGGCGCTTCTTGCGCACGAGGTAGTCGAACAGCTCGCCGCCCTCGACGTACTCCATGATGAGGTACCTGCGGCGCTCGTCCGTGTCTGGGTCAGTCTCGTGTCCGTCGTCGGGAGACCTCGTCGACGAAAGGAGAGAGAGAGTGGACGCACAGCTCAGAGCCCGTCTCCCACACGTCGAGGAGGCGCAGGACGTTCGGGTGCTCGATGAGCTTCATGATGACGATCTCGCGCTCGATCCCGAGGAGCATCTGCGCACGCCGTCGACCAGGTCAGTGAGAGGACGGACGGGAGGGTGCAGAGGTGAGGGCGGGGACGCACCTTGTCGGCCTTCTCCTGGTTCTGCCTGCGCGGCTTGGGCACGATCTTGACGGCGGCGTACTGGCCCGTCACCTTGTGCTTGGCGAGCTTGACGCGTCCTGTTTCGCCCGTGGCATGTCAGGGTCGTGCGCGCGAGAATGGGAAGAGGAAGAGGGCGCACCGGACGAGCCCTCGCCGACCGTCCTCCCGATCCGCCACGGTCCAACCATGGCCGGCTCTTCTCGCGTGTGCCTCCTCTGCTGCGGCTCGCCTGCTCCTCCCGTCGTGCGCCCACCCTCCCTCCTCTGCTGCTGCGCCTGGGGCGCGCTAGGCGCCGGGCGCTGCGGACGCGAGGCCGAACCTGCCGCGGTCTGCGGCGGGGCGGGCCCGTGTTGTGCGGACATGTGTCGAGGGAGGGGGGACGTGCACGAGGTGGACGAGGTCGGGGCGAGGCGCGTACGAGGTGGGGTCTCGAGGGTGCGGTGGTGGACGAGGGCGAGACGGTGAGAGAGGTTGAGCGACGCAAGGCGGAATGCGGGGGGCCGGCGCGCGTCCTTGTTGAGAGGGCGGTCGAGGCGGGCGAAGTGGGCGATGGACCGGGTGCGGCGGTGGTCTGGCGGGTGCTTGATTGCGCTCAAGGGCTTGTGGAGGTGGCTGCGCGGCGCCTAGGGCGGTGGCTGCACGGCGCACGCGAGGGCGAGGGCGAGGTCGCGACGCGTCTGAGGCGACGGCTTGCTGGCTCGACTGGGGCGAGCGAGGGGCGAGGCTGGCGGCTGGTGCGCTGCTGGGGTGTGGGTGCACTCGACAGAGGCGTAGGAGGTCGTGGAAACGAGGGACTAGGGTGGGTGAGGAGGAGCAAGAGGTGCGCAGACCTCGCGCCGGACCCAACCTTGTTTGAAGCTCTCGCTCTCTCGCTCTCGTGCGACGCGTCGGCGACTCAGTGGCAAAAGGGTGTGCGAGTTGAGAGCAGTTCTGGTACAAATGACAGCGCCGAGTCCGAGAGCGAGAGACGAGGAGGCCACCTCGCTCACTTCTCGAGGAACGACTTGGTGCCGTCGAGCCAGCGCACGTACTCCCTGCGCGCGAGCAGCTTCGTCAGTGACAGGGAACGGGGGAAAGAGAGAGGCGAGCGACGCACTTCTGCTCCTTCCACTCGGCGAGGTCCGGGATGAAGAGCGCGAGCGCCGAGTTGATCCCCCGCTCCTCGAGGTACGCCTCGAACTCGGTCTGGACGCCCTCGTCGAGGTTGTCGAACTGCGAGTGCGCGAGGTCGAGCTCGTCAGGACGTCTTGAACGCGATCTGGGAGAGAGAGAGGGACGCACCGCCGGGCCCATGTAGAGACCCTGGCGCTTCCAGTCGTCCTCGGACGTCATGCCGAGCGCGACGTCGGCGTCCGGGTAGTACGCGATGTTGCTGATCGTAAAGAGGCCGTCTGCGAGCGTCAGGGCGAGTAAGTAAGGGCGGCTCGAGTCACGCGGCCCGACTGGAGAGACGAGGTGTGGGACGCACCCTGCGCGATGGCGTCGATGGTGAGGGCGCCGCCGGTCGACTTGGTGATGGTGATGCTCGTCTCGACGGGGAAATTCTGCTCAGAAGGGCCGTCGGCTGCAGCCTCCTCGCCGAGGCCGCCCGAGCCAGCGTCGGCGCCCTCCTCGGCGAACGCCTCGGGCACCTCCTGCTCGGCGTCGAGGTCCGAGATGGAGAAGATCATGCGGATGCTGCGGGTGGAACCGGTGTCAGTTGCGCGGTCGTTCGAGAGAGGAGAATGGCCGTGTGGGACGCACCTCTCGTTGCCAAACGAGCGCGTGAGCTGAATCTCGTCTGAGCCAGCCTCGTCGACGACCTGCGGGGGGAAGGGGCCCGGGTCAGCGACGGTGCGACAGTAGAGTGAGAGTGGACGAGGACGCACCTGCCACACGCCCTCGGCCTTGAAGGCCTGGAGGAACTCGGGCTCTGCGGCGGCGTCGCCCGACTCGGTTTCAAAGTTGAGCTCCTCGCCGAGCTTGGTGCTGAGGGCGGCTACGGGTGGTGCGAGGGTGGTCAGTGCACGGTCGCGTGTACGAGCAGAGGAGGGACTGACAGGGCTCGAAGCGGGCGAAGGTGGTGGAGAAGGGGCGAGCGAGAGGGAGGGCGGCGCGGTGGAGGGCGAGCTGGGCGGGGCGGACGGCTGCGCGGGCCAGGGCAGGGCGGGCAGCACGGATGACAGTGCGGGCGAGCATCTTAGAGCGGGTCGAGGGTGAGAGAGGACAAGGGGAACAACCACGACGACGAGCAGATGAAGTCGCTTTCATCCTCCAACTCGCCACTCGCACCGTTGAGGGACTCGCTTTGCTCGCCCGGTACAGTCTTCTGTACCTGCTGCACCCCTCTAGCGCGTCGTCGAACCCCCTCGACCTGTCCCCACCTCTCGACCTCGCCCCACTCACCCGCCTCCCTCTCGACCGCCCCACCCACCTCGCCTCGCCCGCCGACCATGAGCGACGACGTCGACTACTACGCTCTCCTCGGCATCGAGTCGACCGCCACATCGGCCGAGATCCGCAAGGCCTACCGCCAAAAATCCCTCAAGGTCCACCCCGACCGCGTGCGTCCCCCTCTCCCGCTGTCCAACTCCCACTTCCTCGGTGACTGACAGCCCACTCTCACACGCTCGCAGAACCCGGACAACCCGACCGCCGCCGCCCTCTTCCACGAGCTCACCCTCGCCGCCGACCTCCTCTCGGACCCGACAAAGCGCGCCGTGTTCGACACCAAGCTCGCCGCCGCCAACGCGCGCAAGCAGCGCTTTGCCGCGCTCGACTCGAAGCGCAAACAGCTCGCCGAGGACCTCGAGGAGCGTGAGCAGGCGTTCAAGCGGTTCAAGGCGGGCGAGAAGGACCTCGCGGGGCGCAAACGGCAGGAGCTCGAGCGGCTCAAGGAGGAGGGGCGGCGATTGCGCGAGGCGCGAGCGGGGCAGGCGGCCAAGGAGGGCAAGGACCGCGAGGACGAGGTCTTGAGGCGGGCCAAGGAGGAGGAGGACGCGAGGGCGAGGAGTGCGGGCGCGACAAACGGCGGCGCGGCGCCCGTCGTCGACCTCGGCCCGCTCGACAAGACGCTCAAGGTCAAGTGGCTCAAGGCACGACACCCGACTTTGACGACGCCCGACGCCGTCGAGGCCTTCCTCGCCGGCGCCCTCGCCCCACTGCGGCCCGACATCGACTCGGTCGTCCTTTCGGCCAAGACGCTCGCCGCCGCCGCGGGAACGGCCAAGGGCAAGCACGGCTCGGGCGTCGTCGCGTTCCGGACGCTGAGTGCGGCCGTGCGCGTCGTGAGGGGCAAGGAGGCGGACCCGCAGGGCGTGTGGGCCGACTTTGACGTCGACTGGGCCGCGGGCTCGCCGCCGGCCGCGCTCGGCCAGGCGCCCAAGCCTGCATCGACGGCACCGCGACCGCCCTCTCCTCCCTCTGCTTCAGCACCTGTGCGTCTCCCCTCTCTCCCTCTCCCTCTCTCCGTGCCGGCCCCTGACCCACTCTCGCCGTCTCTCTCGCAGTCTTTCGCAGCCCCGTCCTCGACGACCGCCTCGGACGAGGACTCGATACTCGCTCGCCTGCGACAAAAGGAGCGCGAGAAGCTCATGGCCGAGATGCGCGCCGAGGACGAGGCTGAGGCGGCGCGGTGAGGGTGCGAGGGCGGGCTTGGCCATAAGACGAGTGCAACGCTGCCCACAGTCGCTGCCTTTGTTGCATTGAGCTTTCGAGCCGAGAGTGAGCGCACGCGCCCCCGAGGCGGTTCGAGAACAAGCCCGAGTCGGCGAGGAGGAGAGCGGCGATGAGGTGGAGGCACCTTCTCCCCGCACCCAGACTCGGCCAGGTGAGCTCGTACACGGTGCACGGTGACCCTGCGCCTCACTGATATCGACTCGCACCGTGCAGCAGCGCCCGCGTCTCGCCATGTCGACAGAGCCCGCACCGCCTCCTCGTCCAACCAACCCACACCTCTCGACCCCGGTTCTCTGGTTCTCGGGCGTGCCTGCGACTACGACCGACGCGAGCGTAGCAGAGCTCCTCAAGTCGTGCTGCAAGCTGCGCATCCTCCGCGACCAGGTTAAGAGTGCGCACCCTCCTCCTCCTCCTCCTCCTCCTCCTCCCTCCCCGTCCTCCTCCTCCTCCTCCCTCCCCGTCCTCCTCCTCGAGGCACCCTCGCTGACCCAGCTCTCGCGCCAACAGTCGAGTTCGAGTCGCTCGAGCGCGCCGAAAAGGCCTACGCGACCTGCAACGGCCAGCGCCTCCCCGACGCGTCCGCCGCGACCCTCGCCCTGTCCCTCTCCTCCCCCTCCTCGGCCGAGAGCGACCCTCGGCCTCTCGCGACGCCCCGCATCATCAAGCAGCTCCCGCCGTCCTTCACCGCTTCCAAACTCTTCGACCTCGCACGCCCGTTCGGCCCGCTCTACTCGGCCACGCTCCTGTACTCGCCGTCGCCGCATCCGGGCGAGCCGCCCCGGTTCAAAGGCCACGCGCTCGTCACGTTCTACGACGAGCAGCACGCCGTCGACGCCGAGCGAGGGCTCCACTTCCTCGAGGTCGAGGGCCAGAACATCGCCGTCCAGGTGTTCGAGCCCAAGCGCGCCGGTCGCGCTTCGGCCGGCGGGCGCACGAGCGGCGCGCACACGCCGGCGAGGGCCTCGCTCGGCGGCCGCGGCGGGTCTCCCTCGGCGTCGCGGTGGGCGAGCCCGGCGGCAGCAGCGTCGGCGAGCACGTCCCCGAGGGCGTACCCGACCGGGCTCGGTGCGGCGACGGCGGTGGGCTCAGCGTCGCCAAGCGGTACGGCGTCGCGACCGATGACCAGAAACGTGTCGAGCTCGTCGACGGCGTCGAGGTGGAGCAACGAGGGCGGTGCGTCGTCGCCTGTCGCGGTGAGCGTCATGCCACGGCGCTCGACGGCGGATGTCGTGTATCCCTGTGCGTCGCCATCTTTCCCTTGTTCGTCTGTCGTGCTCTTCTTTCAGCGTGACTGACGTACGTGCTTCCGCTCGATCGCGATGTACAGGCAACCTCTTCGTCAAGTCGCTCCACCCGTCCCTCTCGACCGCCGACCTCACCTCGCTCTTCTCGCCGTACGGCACCATCACGTCGGCACGGGTCCAGACCGACCCGGCGCCGCCTCACCGGTCGAAGGAGTTCGGCTTCGTGTCGTTCGCCGACGAGGACATGGCGCGCCGGGCGATGTCGGCGATGAACGGGACCGAGGTGGCCGGGAGGAGGATCACGGTGTGCGTGTTTGAGCCCAAGGGCGCGCGCACGCAGCGGCTCAGCGCAGGTGGAGCGGGAGGTGCGGCGGACGACGGGATGGACGAGGTGCAGCGCGGCATGGACAGCTTGGCGACGACGGTGCGCCCTCACCTTTCCCTTCCTTCTCCTCGGCTCGCGTATCTCGCTCACCTCTTGCCGCCCCACAGCCTTCTCGCTCGCCTCGCCAGAGCTTCCCCTCGACTACGTCTTCCTCGACCGCCGGCACGCCCTCGCGCTCGCCGACCGCACCATCAGCACGCGACTTCTCGTCGATCCTCGACTCGGCGCCCGCCTCGCCCAACCTGTCATCTACCACCCCGTCCGAGCAGGAGCGCCTCGAAACGGGTGTCGCACAACTCGTCGCCGACGACAACAAGCGCGTCGAGGTCCTCAAGCTGTTCGAGGGCGTGAGCTCATCCTCCTCATCTTGTCGTTCTCGCCGCCTCTCGCGCACGACTGACTCTGTCGCGGCCCTGCAGCTGTCGAAAAAGGAGCGCAAGCTGTGCCTCTTTAGCGAGGAGGCGCTGCGGGCCAAGGTCGAGGCTGCGCTCGACGTGCTCGAGGCCGACGACGAGCCTGCGTCGACTGGAGGTGCGTCCTCGCCAGTCCCCCTCTCTCTCGTCCCGCCGCGCCTGACATCCTGCGACTGTGCTCGCAGATGTCAACGTTGCCGCACAGCCCGACCTTGACCTGCCCTCGTCCCTCGTCGCGCTCGCGGCCCTCCCCGCCGCCACCATCGTCACCCTCCTTCCCTCGTTCCGCCTCGCGTCGCCCTTCCCGCTCTCGGCGCCGCCGCCCTCGGACGTCGACCTCGCCGACGCGCAGCAGTTCGTCGACTCGCTGTACGCGCAGCAGCTCGAGCCGGCGCAGGTCAAGCAGAAGCTCGGCGAGCGGCTCTTCAAGGTGGTCAAGGCGCTCGCGAGCGAGCGCAATATCAAAGGCGCGGTGCGTCCCTCGTCCTCTCTCTGTCTCTAGCGCGGACAGCCCCTGACGCACGTCGAGCGTTGCGCCTGCAGCCGAGGATCACGATTGACCTGCTCGACTCGGAGGACCTGAGGGCGCTCGCGAGCCTGATGCACTGGCCGGCCGTGTTGGGCGAGAAGGTGGCGCTCGTGGCGGCGGCGGCGGGAGCCAAGTAGCGAGGATGCGTGTCTCTGCAACGAGAGCCGAGGTTTGGCCGCTTTCAGGAGAGCGGACAGACGTGCGCGCGAACCGGAGAATGCGCGTGAAAGAGGAGGCCGAGAACCCCGGCCTCGCGCGTTCGCCTCTTTCTCCCCTCCTCCTCTCCCTCCTCGACCCACTCGCTCGCGCACTGCCACGAGATCTCGCCAGATCCACCCTCCAGCAAGCCCATCCTTGTGAGCCCCGCCCTCTGCCCCTGTCCCTCGTCGACTCGCCCTGACGCCTTTATCGCTCGCCCTCGCGCGTCCGTCCGTCCCGCAGCACCAAGCACCCACCTCGTCAGACCATGTCTGCCGCCACCGAGCAGGCCCCGAGCACCACCATCAACGGCGACACGGCCCACGAGACTGCCCTCCACCGTGTGCGTCCACCCTCTCCTCCTCTGCCCCGCCCCCGCGGAGGCAGCTCTCGCCGTCCTCGTCGCCTCTGAGCACTCGAGCTGACTCGCACGGTCACTCTGCAGGTCACGGGCTACCCTCTCGTCAAGGACACGCTCTCGACCGCGCACGCCTACGTCGAGGAGCGCCCTTACCTCTCGTCGCTCTACGCCCGCGCCGAGCAGCTCTCGCTCGCCATCCTGCACCGCCTCGAGCCCCTCCAGAAGCGCCTCATCCCGCTCGACCAGGTCGACAGCTACGCCAACGCCGGCCTCGACTACCTCGAGAAGCGCGTGCCCCAGGTCAAGCTCGAGACCAACGAGCTCCTCGGCCAGGCGCGCAAGCCCGCCGACGCCGCCTACGGCCTCGCGCAGGACTACAACAAGGCCTTCCAGCAGGTGCGTCGAGTGGCCTCTCTCTCTCTTTGTCGGCCCTGGTCCGCGTATCGCCCTCCCGACGGCGACTCTCCGACGGGCGTTCGGAACTGACTCTCGCCTGCCTCGCCCTCGCAGCGCTTCTCGCCTCTCGCCGAACCGGTGTACCAGCGCCTCGCCGACGGCCGTGCGACCCTCGTCAGCCTCCAGGACCGCCTCGCCAAGACGATCGCCGACTGTGCGTCCACTGCTGCCTTTCGCTCGTCCTCGCCCGTCCCTCATTGATAGACAGCTGACGTCGCCGATGTCGTGGACGCAGTCCCTCACGACAAGCAGTCGCTCCAGTCGACGCTCGACTCGCTCTCGAACGAGCTCGAGGCGTACGTCGACACGGCCAAGTCGCTCGTACGTCCCCTCTCGCCCTCCCTCCTCTCGGATGCGCCCAGACTGACCTCGTACCCTCTCCCACCAGCCGTCGCACGCCCAGGAGACGGCCAAGCCGTACCTCGCGGCGGCGCAGGACGTCCTCGGCGACGTGACCAAGGAGCTGCAGCGCACCGGTGAGTCTAGCGTTCCCCTTGCTCTGCTCGTCCCTCTACGCCTCGAGTGCGCCGAGACGCTGCCAGTCCCGAGTGGGCACACACTGATGAACTCGCGATTGCGCGCAGACGTCCCGCTCGGCACCAAGGCGTCGAACGTGCTCCACTACTCGCAGGACAAGCTCGCGCCCGTCCTCGACTACTTCAAGACGTTCGTCGTCAAGAAGAAGGACGAGGCGAGCGACAAGGTCGACGAGGTCAAGGACAAGGCGGACGAGGCGTCCTCGTCGTCCTCGTCGTCGGCGTGAGCGACCCTCGGTGGTCTCGGTCGTTCCTCTAGATGCCTCGTTCCTCGCGCTTTCGCCTTTCGTCCTCTCTCGTCTCCGTCGTACCGTCTGTGCCCCCCTCTCTCTCTCCCTTCCTCGCGCCACTCCATGTCCATGCCTCTCTCCCCCCCCTCCTTTGCGCGATACCCGTTCCCTCGTCCCTCTAGCTCCTCCCCCTTTTAGTAGTCCCTCGCTTGCCCCTGCAATCTCTCTTTCTCTCTCTCTACATGCCTCGAGTCGAGCGATAGAAACGAGGATGCGGCTGATTTGCATCTGGTCCGGCTCGCTCCCCGCCTCGTCATCGAGCCGGCGCGCTCCTCCTCCTCCGGAGCCTCCTCCCCACCTCGCCCTCGCACAACCACGACAGCCATGCCCGCCGCACCACGCATCGTCTGCAAAGCCGGGCCCTCGCTCGACTCGCTGTCGCCCGTCGATGTGAACCGCACGGCGCTCGCGATCTCGTCGTCGGCGTTCGAGGGTCACGTCGCTGTGCGCCTCAAGGACTACCGCGGGCCGGCCGCGCAGGAGGGCACGTACGAGCGGCAGCCGCAGGACGCGCTCATGAACGAGGGCGACACGTGGAGCATCAGCTTCGAGGGCAGGTTCAAGGCCGATGGGCTCACGGCCGACGACGTGGTGCGTCCTCTCTCTCTCCCTCTGTCCTCCCGAGTCGCACGAGCTGACTCGTTCCACCCGCACAGCTGTTTGGCAACGTATGGCGCAAGCCGATCCGCGACTTCCTCCCTGTGCGTCCGACTGCTCGTCCTCGTCCTCGTCGTCGCCCTCATAGGCGGCTCCCTGACTCCGATGAACGCATCCTCGCGCAGTACGGCACGTCGGCAGCCTTGCGCTTCGTGCGGTACATGGACCCGAGCCTCGAGTGCGACCTGTACGCCGACAAGCCGTGGGCCCTCGTGCGTCCTCCTCCCTCTTCTTCCTCGTCCCCTTTTGCCCGCGCGGTCCACTCTACGGGGCCACTGACCTGACCGAGCCTTCTCTCTGTTACTCGCAGTCTCCTCTCTTTGCCACGCTCCAGTACCTCTCGGCCAAACCCCTTGCCGCCGCCGAGCCGCTCCCGACGTTCAAGCCCGACACTTTTCCCGAGGACGTCGCGCCCCTCCTCCCTTCCTCGACCCCTCCCCCAGCCGACCCCGCCGCTCGCCGCTCCTTGTTCTCCAAGGCCGACGCACGGCGCGCCGTCGCGCTCGCGCCGTCGCACCTCGTGCGCGGCGATTTCTCGCACGGCTTCCTCGCGTTCGACAACCTGTCGCTCGCGCTCCCCGGCGGGCTCAAGTTCAAGCTCGACAAGTACTGGAACGGCGAGCCCGTCGTCTTCAGCTGCCAGAGGCGCGCCGAGCCGGGCAAGGACGCAGAGACGTTCTTCGTCGTCACGTTCGAGCTCGAGGCGGACGAGGGAGGGGCGCTGCCGGCCGGGACCAAGGAGGCGGCAGAGGGTGTCGCAGACGCCCAGGAGGAGGTGAACGAGGACGTCGACTAGACTCGGTGGCGCGAGAGGCAATAGACGAGCGTCGGTGCGATCTAGCTGTGCCTGTGCATCTCTCTGCCTTTCTTTTGCGGGCTCCCCTTCTCTGTCGACGCCTCTCGTCCCTGTGCACTCGAGAGCCATGCAGGAGAGAGTCACATTCCAGTCAAGCTCGACGACTAGAAGAGCGCTCAGACCTCTCGTGTCACTCGAACGACAGGGCCGGCCGAGTCGGCGCAGGGGGAGGGCGACCCTCTCGAGCGCTCGAGTAGTGGGCGAACAAGCTACGAGAGCGAGAGCTCGTGCGACGAGGAAGAAGTGAGCGAGCCGCGGCGAGAGAGTCTCGACTCCGGAGCGCGCGGCGGTGAGCCAATTTGGGAGACTGCGCCCCCTTCCCACCCCTCGTCCCACCCTCCCAGCTCACGCACACCACCACCGAGCACTGTCAGCAGCTGCGCAGCCTGCCACGACACCCCGCCCAGTCGCACCAGGTGCGCCCACCGGCCCTCGTCGCGCCTCTGGACGTGCCCCCACTCACCGACGGTCCTGTGGCCCCCGTGTCCCGCAGCACCGCAACCCTCGTCGACGGGCACCATTCCGCACCTCGAATAGCACCACGCACATGCCTGGCTCGTGGCACCCGCCCGACCCGAGCCCGCCACCGACTGGCCTTTGTCGCCCTCGCCGCCGCCCGTCCCTCATCACCGATGCCGCCCCCGCGTCCACCCTCGCGCCCACGCCCTGTGCGCGTCCGCCACAACCGCCCGCCATCCCTGTCGTGTCCACCAAGCGCTGCAGGGCCTGTGCCTCGAGGGGCGGCGACGACGGTGTACGCGACGGCACCCCGTCGGCCGACCTCGCTCCGCCTCGTCGTTGCAAACGCCGAGCAGGTCGGATAAGCGCCGCGACCCCGCTTCGGGCCCTCGCCGCACTCGTCGCTGCCGCCACAGCACCCGCGACCACCTTCGCCAGCCCTGCCCCTCGGCCCCCGCCGCCGCCGCCGGTCGCCTCGCCCACCTCGCACCGCCCGCCGCCTTCCTCGGTCTCGCGACCGACGGACGTCGCGATCGGCGAGCCCGGCGACCGCGCCGCGCCTCCCGCTCCATCAGCGAGGTCCACGGGCGCACCGAGGCCGCGCCCGAGGGCTGTGCCGCCTCGGTACACGCTCAGCGACAGCCAGTGGGTCGAGGACTATGGCTGGTCGCTCCTCGGCCGGGGCACGGCCCAGCCGAGCGCGACACTCGCCGCCGCAGCGCAAGGCGAGAGCGGCGACGAGGTGGACGGTGCGAGCGAGGTTAGCGGCGGCGGCGACGACGACGCGGCAGGGTACCGCACCACGCTCGCCTCGGCCCTCGCCGACAGCGCGCCGACCGCGACCGCCTCCCTCCCCGACTCGACCTCGCCCACCGCCACGTCCGACAGCTCGCTCGCCGCCGCCGAGATGGCCGCCCAGCCGTCCGACTCGGCGTCGCTCGCCGCCGCCGCGAGCTCGAGCCCGACCCACGACGCCGTCAAAATCCCCGACGGCTGGCAGGCCAAGTCGCGCGAGACCGACTACTACGCCGTGCCCATCATCATCGCCATGTCGGTCCTCGTCGCCGTCATCGTCGTCGTCAGCATCTTTGTCTCGGTCCTCATGCGCCGCAAGAAGCGCCGCCGCGCAAAACGGCGCCACGGCAAGGCGGCCGCCGCCGCCGCCAAGGAGCTCGAGGGCGAGAAGGGTTGGAGGGGCATGGTCGACTCGGCGCTGCACCCGGTGCGCACCGCGAGGGCCCAGAAGGGCAAGAAGCGGGCGCGCGAGAGTGCGGCGGCGGGAGGAGAAGGAGCAGGAGCAGGAGCGGCGACGCAGGGCGGCAGCGGCAGCGGCGGCAGCGCAGGAGCGTACCGCCGAGTGCGTGCGACTGCTGTCGCGGCGAGCGCCTCGCGGGCACGCACCCGGCGGCGGCGGCGGCGAGACGGCGACGACGAGGGCGACGAGGACGAGGCGACTGCCCTCACGCGCACCGACTCGCGCTCGACGACGTCGTCCGTCGCGCACGACACGCTCACGGCGCGCTTGTCGGCGCGCATGCGCGGCGACCGGCCGTCGACGGGCTCGAGCGGCGGCAGCGGAGCAGCGGGGACGGGCGCCGCGACCGTCTTCTCGCGCGACGTCACGTCGAGGTCGCAGGTGTCGCTCACGGCGAGCGCCCTTAGTCGAGTGTCGTCGCGCGCGAGCAACCGCACGAGTCGCAGCGTCGCGGCGCCGTCGTCGCCCACGACGCCCGCACCGCCCGAGCTCCTCTTCACGCCCGCCGACGACCCGACCCTGCCCAACCACCTCCCCATCCCCGGCTCGTCCGCCCCATCCGTCTCGTCGCCCCTCGCGCGAGAGCGCTCGGCCTCGGCGCCTGCGCCCATCCTGCCGCCGGCCGTATCGTCCTTTGGCGCCCTCATCACGACCGACGCGCTCCCTGCGCCCGGCCCGCCAGCGTATCGCCCGAGCTCGAGCACAGTCCAGAACACGCGCCGGTACGGTGCCGGCGACGTCGCAGCTCCGCCGTCGTCGCCGTCGCTGTCGCCTTCCGCAGGCGTCGTCGCCGAGCGACCTCGCGCGAGGCGCGTGTTCGGCCGGCGGCGCGTGTCGCACTCGGGCACGACGGCGGGAGAAGGCGACGATGGCGATGCGGGCGAGGGCGAGTGGCACTGGCCCGGCGAGAAGGGGCGCCCGTTCGCCGGCGAGGTCCCGCACGCCGCCGTCGCAGGGCCGTCCTCGCCCCAGCCGCCGCCACTTGACGGCGACTCGGCGGAGCCTGACCTCGACGGCGACCACGTCGACGAGGCGCATCCGCCTGTCGACCGCGCCCTGTTCTCGGCGCACGTCGCGACCGACGACAAGGCCGTCCTCGCCCGCCTGCGGGCACAGCGCGACGCTCGCGCAGACGTCAGCGACGACGACGACGACGCTCTTGCGAGCTCGTCGGCAGGCCTCAACGGGCCTGTGCCTGCGCCGAGCGCGCCGGTCGTCGACGAGGACGACGATCCGGAGGTCGACGAGGACGGGTTCGAGCGGTACGACGCCGGCCCGTCCGCGTCTGCCTCGTCGGCGGATGTGCCCTCGACGACCCCGGCTCGTGCATGGCCGGCGGCGAGCACGTCGTTCCTGCCCACACCGCCCAAGCCGATCCAGCAGTCGTCGTTCGCCTACTCGACCGCGTCCGCCGCCGCGCCTTCCTCCCCTCTTCTCGCCTCGCGCTCGACGACGCCCGCGCCCTCGCCCGGCCCGAGCAAGGCCGCCCTCGCAGCCGAGTACGGCGCCGCCGAGGCCGACGAGGACGTCGACGCCCTGCCGCAGTACCTCGCCGGCGGGAGTGCCGGGCGCGAGGCGCTCGGGCTCGCGAGTGCGCCGCTCGGCAGCGGTGACGAGGAGGACGACGAGGCGAGCGGCGACGAGCTCGAGGACGCCGAGGCGGGCGTCGCTCGACGAGCAGGGTGGAGGAACGAGGGCGAGCGCGAGGAGGAAGGGGTGGTGTGAGCGCCTCGGCGGCTCGTCTCGGAAGGGTCGCATCTCTCCCAGTGTCGTATTCTCTGTCTTGTTGTACGTCTTCACTCCTTGCGTAGTACTCCCCTTTCGTGCGCCCTGTCTGCAACCATTTCGTCGACTCTGTGCGAGCGAGGAGGCCTCTCTCTTGGCCGAGAACACCCACGAGAGCCCAAGCTTAGAACGAGGAAGCAGAGCAGTGCGCAGCAACCTGCATGCGCGAGAGAAGTAGAGAGACCGCGCTCGCCTCCAAGTCGCCGTCCGCACCACTCCAACGCAATCACGCTCGCCTCACGCCTATCGAGCGCGACCACGGCCTCGCCAGACGGTCTTGCAGCATCATCTCGCCACGCTCGGCCTGCCCAGGCATCGCCCGCGCCCTCGCCCACCTCTCGCGATCTTCATCACCCGCCACCTCGAGATGGACGACACGACGTCCAGCAGCGGTACTACCGGTGCGTCTGTTGCCTCTCCATCGTCACAGGCCTTTGCACTTACCATCGCCGTGACTTACAGGGCCAGAGAGCGTCGCGCCGACGACTCTGAACGACCTCCCCGACGAGGTACTTTGCCGCATCTTCAACCTCGTCCAGCGCGACGAGCCGGTCTTCTTCGGCCGCCAGTTCGAGGACAGCGAGCTCGTGCCGCCTCTACCTGTACTCGCGCGGTATCGGGGCCTCAGCCGGCGTCTGCACTACCGCATCTTGGTCCCTCAAGCTCGTCGTAACTTGGTCGTCCCGTCGGCAGTCGCCGTTCCTGACGGTGCAGCATGGGACGCCGACGTCGATCCTCGTGTCGCCGAAATCCTGAGCGGTACACGAGACGTCGTCGCGAGCCTCGTTCTCGTCGTTCCGCCCTTTCGCCCTCGGCGCTGGATCCCTGGCCTCGTCGCGTCACTCGTCAACCTGAGCGACCTCACCATCAACGGCGGCATCATCGTCACGCGCGGCCTGTGCGCAGCCCTCCGCGAGCTCAAGTCGCTGCGGAAATTGTCGCTGGAGGTCGACCCGGACAAGGCCCGCAACCTCGTCGACCCGCCCGAGAAGATCAACCTCGAGCGCGATGTCCCAGGCCTCACCCACCTCATCATCTCGTTCGCCACAATGCCGCTCTCGCACGAGCGACTGATGTGGGTCTCCAACGGTGCGACCAAGATCCGCTTCCTCGACATCGACGACGCCGTGAGCCCGAGGGTCAACTTCAAGCACCTCGAGGTTCTCGTCCTGCGGTCCGGCTTGACGAGTGATCATGGTGCAGGAGATCGGCTCGCAGCGATCCTCGAGGCCGCGCGGGAGCTACCGGTCCGTCCACCTCTCGCCGATTCTCCTCGTCTGTACGCGTCTGACGCATCCCTCGTCCTCAGGAGTGGCGCTATTCCAGCCCTTTCGCCCTCAAGAAGCTCGTCATAGACGTGGCATACGCCGAGTTCGACCTGTACACCGGCTGGAACAGCATCGACCACGTCCTCGAGAACCTCAAGCACGCGCCGAGCGCCGAGGCGCTCGAGGTCCGCTTTTCGGACCTGTTCCGGTGCGACGGCGCCGATCTCTACACGGCGGTCCCGACGATCAAGCGTCTCAGCATCGTCGAGACGGACATGCCGAGCGACGGCCGCCAGGTGCGGCTCTCTCTCTCTCTTTTTCCTCGCACGAGGTCGATTGTGTACTTACGCTCGCGCCTCTGCGCCCGCAGAGCGCCAACATCAACGGCCTCGAGGACTTCCTCGACGTGTTCCCCAACCTGAACTCGTTCTCGCTCACCTCGCACTGGTTCTTGCCCGCCACCGACGCCGCCGACCTGCACGCCGACCCGGACCCGCCGACCGACCTCAGCCTCGCCTACGACGCGCCGCTCCTCGCCGAACTCGTCATGTACGTGCGAGACGAGACGCCGATCAAGGAGTTCCGGTACCGCAGGAGCGAGAGCGAGCGGTGGGAGCTGCGGTGGACGAGGTCGGGCGAGCTGGGCACGCAGTTTGCTCTGAGTAGATGGTGGCTGTAGACGAGAGCGTGACTGTCATAGCCCCTGATCTCTGTCCCTCGAGCGTGTCAGAGCTGTCGAGAGATCTGTCGTGGACGCCGACGTGCCCTCGCAGCGAGCGCAAGAGGTGCGTGCACGGCCGGGAAGACTGAGGACGGCGAGCGGCGCTCTCCTCTCGTACGCTCTCAGCTCTTGGCCGGTCTTTTGTAATGGAGAGTCGGCTGAGAATGACAGCGTGTGCGAGCCCTGCCGCAGCCGTCGCGAGAGCGGTTCGAGCGCTCGCCGCTGGCTGAGCTCGAGTGGTGAGTCCGAAAAAGCGAGGGTTGCTGAGGCCAGCTCTCTCCGACTTGTAAGCAGGCCTGTCGAGCACTTGAATGAGCTCGAGTCGAGCCACTCGAGCGAGAACTGGGGGCACTGCAAGGAGCTGAAACAGCTGCACCCGGAACCACCTTCTCAAGCACAGTCTCTCGCTCTCTTGCTCGCTTTCCGAGTCGAGCGTAGTCCAGGTAAGCGGCTCGCGAGCTGCTCCGACCTCGCAGTGACCAACTTCTTCGAGTCGAGAGAAGGTAGGAGAAACAGAAGAGCTAGAGAGAGGTCCAAGCGAGCCTTCTCAAACCGAGGGTTGCTGAGGCGAACTCTCTCACTTGCTGCTCTTTCAGATTGCGCAGAGCATTCGCAACCATCACGTTGGAGACGGCGGTCGAGCGCGACCGAGGACGGGCGCTCGGAAGAAGGGAAGAAGGGGAGAAGGCTGTCGAGGGCTCGAGCGTCAAGACGCGCTCTCGCGCTCTCGCTGTCTTCTCTCGGCCCTCTCGCTCCGCTCAGGAAAGGGGTACCGAGCACTTTGACATGACATGAGAGAGCGGCGACAGGGTTGGGCGGGGCAGGGGAATACGGTCGGGCGGGAAGAAGTGCGAGATCTGGACCAAGGCCGACGACGGCGTGCGGACCAGCTCAGTACTGCGGGCGCGTCGAGATGTCAGTACACGCTCATAGGGAAGGGACGAGAGGAGGAGGAACGTGAGAGAGAGAGTGAGGCGAACCTGCTGGTAGCCGTACGGCTGCTGCTGCTGCTGCGGCATGAAGCCGGTCATCTGCGGCATCTGCCCTCCTCCGAATCCCATGCCCATTGGCATTCCCATCCCGCCCGCCATGCCGCCCATGCCCATGCCCATCTGCTGCTGCTGAGGCGGCTGCTGCGCAAAGCCCGTCGGCTGGGCCCGGAGCGCGTCGTACCTCGTCTCGTCCTGCGGCGGGAGGTGCGTCTTGCCGGCCGCGAACGTGCCGTCCTTCATGGCGGCAAAGACGTTGGTCGGCGCGTTGTGCGTCGCACCCGTCGAGGCGACCGTGTTGGACGAGGGGCCCGACGACGACGAGGGCGGGAGCGGGTTGAACTGGACCGGCTGCTGCTGCTGCTGCTGCTGCTGGCCGAACCCGGTCGCCTGCGGCTGCATGAAGCCCGTCTGCTGCGCGCCGAAGCCCGTCTGCTGAGGCGCGAAGCCGGTCGGCTGCGCGCCGAACCCGCCGCCGCCGAAGCCGCCGCCGAACCCGGTCTGCTGCGACGGCATGAAGCCCGTCGCCTGGGGCTGCATGAAGCCGGTCGGCTGCGCCGAGAAGCCCGTAGGCTGCGGCGCAAAGCCCGTCGGCTGCATGCCCATCGGCGACGTCATGCCCGCGAAGCCGGTCGGCTCTGCACGCGAGAGGAGGGAAGAGGGCGCGCCGCCGTCAGTAAGGCTCGTTCTCGACGACGTGCACGACGACTCGTAGGAAAGAGAGAGAGAGAGGAGGACGTACGGCTCATCATGCCGCCGCTGAACCCGGTGTGCATGGGCATGACGCCGATCGTCGTCGCGCCCGGGAAGAAGCCCGTGTTCTGCGCCTGGAGGCCGCCGACGGGCACGCCCGTGCGCATGGGCTGCAGCGGCGCGAGCAGGCCCTGGTTGGCGGCGACGGGCGGGATCGGGCCGCGAGCGGACGAGTACCCCGTCTGCTGCGGCGTCTGCTGCAACGGCGACGGCGACGAGGCGTTGTTGCGGGTCGACGCGCCGAGGCTGAGGCCGGCGAGGAGGCCGTCGTTGTAGGTGAGGCCCGAGTCCTTGCTCTCGGACTCGGCGGGCTTGGTCGTCGACGAGGACGAGGTCGTTGCGGGGACGAGAGGTGCGGGTGCAGGAGGAGGCGACGGCGCCTTGGGCGGTGCGGGAGCGGGCGACGGCGCAGGCGATGCGGCCTTGGACGCCGAGGGCTTGATGTCCCACGCGTCGTCGTCAAAGCCGCCGTGGACGGGAATGGTCGAGCTCGACCGCTTGCGCGTCTCGGTCTCGGGGCTCGGCGACGCGACTCGCTGCTGCTGCTGCTGCGCCGGGCTCGAGCCGCGGTTCTTCTCGAGCTCCGAGGCCGCAGCCGTGAGCGCGTTCGAGTTGACGCTCGTCGCGCTCGCCGCCGTGTTGCGCCGCCCGCGTCGAGGCTTGAGCGTGCCCTCGGGGCCCGACGAGAACAGGCCCGGCGCCGCCGGCGGGAGCGGCTCGCCACGCGAGAGCCGCTGCGCGAGCTCGTGGTCGGCGTCGATCTGCGCCTGGCGCTCGTCGCTGACGGGCGCCGACGACGAGGACGGGCGCGCCGAGCCGTCCTTGTCCGGGAGCGACGGGCCCTTGCCGCCGCCGCCGCCGCCGAACTTGTCCTTGATGTGGCGCTTGACGCGGATGATGTCGCCCTCCTTGAGGCCGAGGCTGCGCAGGTTCGAGTCCTCGAGGTCCGGGATGAGGTGCTCGTCGAAGCCCTCGTTGTCGGCGTTGCGGGCGTAGCGCGTGCAGTTGTCCATGTCGCACCCGGCCTGGAGGAAGAAGTCGAACCAGTCAAAGTCGGACCGGCGCTTGGGCGCGCCGTTGCTGCCCGACGACGGCTTGGTGACGGTGACGACGCCCTTGACGGCCTCGGACCGAGAGGCGTGACGCGCCTCGCGCTCGGCCCGGCGCTCGCGACGTGCGGCGTCGCTGTCGTCGCGACGGGCCGACGACGACGAGCGCGACGAGCTGCCGCCGGCGCCGCTCTGGAGCTGGCGGATGTAGGTCGCGTCCTCGTTGCTCATCTTCTCGAGCGGGACCTCGATGATGACGCCGTTGACCTTGTGCAGGCGGATCTTCTGGCCGTTGAGGCCGAGGAACTCTGCCTCGACCTTGAACTGGCCCGTGCGGTCCTTCCACACGCGCGTGCGGGCGAGGTTGGGCTTCTTGATGTCGCGCTTCTTGTCGCCGCCGCCGCCGCCGCCGCCGCTCGCGCTCTTGCTCGGACGCGCAGCGAGAGGTGGAGGAGGTGCGAGGTCGTCGTCGTCGCTCGGGACGTCGTCGCGCGTCGCCGGGACCGGGATCGGCCTCGCGCTCGGCTGCGACTTGAGGCGGTCGCGCCGCTCGCGCTCGGCGCGACGCTCCTTCTCGGCGCGGCGCTCGCGGTCCTTCTGCGCGCGCTTGTCGGCCTCGAGCTGGGCGCGCAGGACCTCGGCGTCCTCGGCGTCCTCGCGCGTGCGCGTGTTGGCGCGGATCGGCGGCGGCGGCATGGCGAGGGACGAGCCGGCGGTGGAGCGGATAGGTGGAGGAGCAGGTGCGGCGGGTGCAGGAGGAGGAGGCGGTGGCGAAGGAGCGGCGGTCTCGGCGCCCTCGTCGATCTAGGGTCGCGACGGGCCATCGTCAGTCAAGTTCGACGCTGCGCTGCGACAGCGACGAGCCGAAAGGGAGAGAGAAAGATCCGTGGACGCACCTCGATGTAGCTGACCGGCACGACACCCTCCTCGCCCGTCGCGATCCGCCTCACCTTGGCCCACTCGGCGTCGTCGCTCCCACCGACGATGAAGACGACCCTCTCGCCCTCGGCGAGGCTCAACTCGTCGTCGCCCTGCGACTCAAAGTCGTACAGCGCGACCGCGTTGCCCTGCTGCGCGGCCGCAGGAGGCGGAGCGGGCACGGCGCGCGCGACGGGCGGCGGCGTCGGTGCGGCGGGCGGGCTCGCGACGGCGGCGGGCGAGGGCGGTGCCGCCTTGGCCGAGCGGATAGGCGGCGGCGGGAGCGCCGACGCGGCGGACGAGTTGGAGCGGATGGGCGGAGGGGGAGGGATGTAGGCGCTGCCGACGGGTGGTGCGGGAGGAGGGGGAGGCGGCGGCGGGGGAGCCGGCGCGCCGCCCGCGCCATTGCTGCCGGGTAGGGCAGGGGGAGGAGGAACGCCGGACGAGGAAGCGGCGGCGCCGCCGTCGCGACCCTCCTCGACCTTGGCGACGATGTCGTCGAAAGTCGACTTGTCGCCGATGACGAAGTGGAGCTCGCCGTCGGCCGCCGGGAACGTGAGGTGGAGGTGCTTGTGCTTCTCGGTCGTCATGTCGGACAAGGTCGAGAGCGAGTACTGCTGCACCGGCGTCTGCAAGGGCGAAGAGGGGGAGAGAAGGTCAGGATCGGCATCGCGAGAGAAAAGGAGGAGGGTCTGGCGCACCTTGTCGCTCTCGCTCGCAAAGAAGAGGGCACCGTTGCCGACGCCGAGCGTGCCCTTCTTCTTCTTCTTCTTGGCGTCGAGCATCTGTGGCGCGAGGACCGGCGGCAGGATGGGCGGACAAAGTCAGGTTCCGGGTCCAGATACCGACGACCGACCGTGAGAGAGTGAGAGGGGACGGACCGTGACGCTCCACGTCTTGATGTCGCCGGCGACGGCTGCGGCGCCCGCACCGACGACGGCAGCTGCCGCCGCCGGAGCGGCATAAGTGGCCGTGTCGTCGTCCTCCTCGTCCTCGTCCTCGGCGTGCCCGTAGCCCTGCTCGAGACGAGGGTCAGTCGCCGGGAAAGGGACTCGAAAGTGGGCGCGAGAAGGGGGCGCACCTGCGTCTCGTGCTGGTACTCGTCGCCGTCGACTGCGCCGGCCTCCTCTGCTCCCTCGCCGCCCTGCAGGTTGGACCGAGGGTGAGCTCACGGACCGAGGGGGTGTAGGCATGAGGGGAGGGAGGAGGGGGACGGACCTCGATGTAGGTCGCAGGGACGAAGCCGACGCCCTTTGTGCCGTCCGTCTTGCGGCACAAGACCCAGTCGCCCTCCTCCTCGAGGAGGTCGAGCTGCTCGCCCTCGGCAACGTACATCTCCTCGTCGTTCTCGAGCTGGCCGGTGGCGGCATCGAGGGCGGGCTCGTAGTCGTACAGGGCCGTGGTGGTGCGGATAGCCGAGACGGGGACGAGGTACGAGGCCGGGACGAGGCCGACTTGGGCCGGGGCGGACGGGTCGGGGTTCTTGACCTTGACCTTGTGCCAGCTGTGGGGGAAGGGTCGAGAGTCAGTCTCGAGTTGCGCGAGCGAGGGTGAGCTGGCTCGGCCGGAGCCTGGAGGGAAGGGGGGAGGAGGGCAGGAGCAGCTCGGCGAGGCGGCGTCGGCGCGCCTCGACTGGCTCGAGGGCTCGAGTACGAGGACTGTCGAGTGTTCACGAACGAGGCCCATGGCCGTCCAGGCGCGCGGTGAGGCGGCCGAGCTGGCGTTGGTGCTCCCCCCCTCGTCACTCGCAACAGCGAGGGAGGAAACAGAGGGTGCTCACTCGGGGTCGTCGTCTTCGAGGACAAAGACGAGCTGGTCCTCGTAGACCGACAGCTCGTCGTCGGTCTGGGCCTCGTACTCGAACTCGACGCGCGAGAGGGCGAGGTGGGTCGCCATGCCGGATCGCGCGAGGGTGGGGGCCGCTTGGTCGAGGCAAGAGCTTTTGGGCTGTTGGGCTCTCGAGGGCGAGAGTCGAGGTGTAGTGGTGCGGTACAGCTGGTGTAGCAGAGCTCTGGGCGGGTGCGTCGAGAGCGAGGGCGAGTCGCGTGGTGGGGAGCTCGAGGACGAGGGGAGGCACCGCTGCGGCGAGCCTCACTCGGCCTTGTGTCGTCGCTTTGGCCAATCGGAACCTGCTCCCCCTCTTCGGCTCGAACTTCGGAAGTTCGGCTCGCTCTCCTCTCTCGTCTCTCTCTCTCACTCTCGACGCTCTCTTGCTCTCGCTCGACCCTGCGACCGTGGCCTCCTCGACAGCAGCAGACGCACCGATGCGCGCCCTCACCATCTCGCACCCGCTCTCGTCCTCGTTCGACAACCTCACGTTTACCTCTCGCCCTCGCCCGCCCGCACCAACCGGCACCCAGGTCCTCATCCGCGTAAAGGCCGTCAGCCTCAACGCCCGCGACGTCCAGATCGCCAGCGGCACCTACCCAGCCCCGATCCAGGTCCAACAGGGCATCGTCGCCGGCAGCGACGCCGCAGGAGACGTCGTCGCCGTCGGCGACCGCGTCTCGAGGGTCAAGGTCGGCGACAAGGTCACGCCCGTCTTTGCCCAATCCTTCCTCCACGGGTCCGTCCCTCTCGTCCACCCCTCCCTGCGACTCGGGCGAGCGCGCTGACCACCCTGCAACCCGCCGGTACAGCGAGCACGACCCGGACTACCAGAAGAACGGCCTCGGCGGCGGCATCGACGGCGTCCTGTCCGACTACTTTGTGTGCGACGAGGTGAGCACCCGCCCTCGTCGTTCCCCCGAACGCGCCCTGACCTCCTCCCTCTCGCACAGGCCGGCGTCGTCCTCATGCCGTCCAACCTCAGCTACACGCAGGCGTGCTGTAGCGTCATCACCGGCGTTACGGCATGGCACTGCTTCTCGTACCCCGGGTGCAGCCTCAAGACGGGCGAGACGGTCCTCGTCCTCGGGACCGGCGGCGTCTCGATGTGCGTCTCTCGCCTCTCTATCTCTTCCTCCCTCTCTCGTACCAGTCCTGACACTCTGTTTCTCGGCGGCTCGCAGCTACGCCGCTCAGCTCGCGCTCGCGTCGGGCTGCCGCGTCATCGTCACCTCGTCCTCGGACGCCAAGCTCGCCCGCGCCCGCGACGAGCTCGGCGTGCACGGCACCGTCAACTACCGCACGCACCGCGACTGGGACGTCGAGGTGCGCAAGCTCACCGGCGGGCGCGGCGTCGACCACGTCATCGAGGTCGGCGGCAAGGGCACGCTCGTCAGGAGCATCCGCAGCTGCAGGCCGTTGGGCAACGTGTGGGTCGTCGGGTGCGTCTCGCTCTCCACCTTTTCGTCCTGTCTCTCCTGGTCGACTGCGACGCCGACTGACACCCGTTTCGCGCGCGCCCGAGCAGGTACATGAGCGACTACGCGGCGGGCAAGGTCGAGGGGCAGGACGACGAGGCGCATGAGCTCGCGAAAGAAATCCTGTACACCCAGGCGAGGGTTTCCGGCGTCGTGTGCGGCTCGAGGGACATGTTCGAGGACATGAACCGCTGCGTCGAGGTCAACAAGGTGCGCTCGCTCCCCCCTTGCCTTCCCTCCTCTCTCCTTCTCCCTCTCTCCTTCTCCCTCTCTCCTTCTCCTTCTCTCCTCGTTCGCCCTTTCCTTTACCTCGATCCAGTCTCGACTCACCCTCCTCTGGTGCGTGCGCAGATTGTGCCGGTGGTCGACCGCGTGTTCCCGTTCGACGAGGCTCGAGAGGCGTACCGCTACTTGAACAGCGGGGCGCACTTTGGCAAGGTCGTCATCGAGCTGTAGACGGTGTTCGTAGACTGCACATAGACGAGTTCGAGCAGCAGCACAAAGCGAGAGACAGGTCCTCAGAGTGCACCGCCTCCGCGAGATGATCAAGTTCCGTCGGCTGACGACGCCTCGCTTTCCACCTCGCCGACAGCTCTCAGCGCCATGCTGCGCGCATCTGCGCCTTTGCGAGTCTCGTTCCGCCGACGACCAGCACGCCCGAGCGCGACAGCGCCCGCCGCGCCCCTCCTCTTCTCCCGCCGCGCCGCCCCACAGCTCGCATTTGCCGCTGGCGGCGTCGGCCTCGCCCTGGGCACCGCCGCCTACCTCACCAACCACGACACGCTCGCCCGTTCGCCCGCCTCGGCCCTCGACGACCCCAACAGCGACGCCGGCGGCCTCTTTGCCTCGTGGCGCCGACGACTCACGACCGGCTTGAGCCCGACCCTCGCCCGCCAACGCGCCGACGAGGCCTACTCGCACGCGCGAGACTGGGTCCGCGGCGTCGGCGGACCGCAGAACCGGCTCGCCGTCATCGCGGCCGAGAACTGGCTCGAGGTCGGCGAGGCCAAGCGGACGGCACTCGGGCTCGTCGCGAGCTTTGCGGGCGTGTGGGTCGCGTGGAGGTTGCCAGGGCGGTACAACGTCGGGCGCTGGTGGGCGCACGACGCACTGAGCGGCAGGGGCGTGACGATACTCACGAGCACCTTCTCGCACCGGGTCCGTCTCGCTCTCCCTCGTCCTCCCCTCTCACGAGGCAGGACTGACTCTCGCCTGCACACACAGACCCTCCCGCACCTCGTCTTCAACTCGCTCGCACTGTACTCGTTCACGACGGCGACGTTCCAGTTCCTCGACTCGAGCGACGTCCTCCCGCGCTCGACGTCCAAGTACGAGTACCTCGCCCTGTTCGTCTCGGCCGGCCTCGTGTCGGGCGTCGCGAGCCACGTGTGGTTCTCGCGCGTCGTGGCCGGCAGGCTCCTGCGGCAGTACGGCGCAAAGGCGACGCGCGAGGCGATCGTTCCTTCTCTTGGTGCATCAGGTGCGCTCTCTCTCTCGCTCCTCCTCGTCGCTCGCTTCCCCGTACACCTACTCACTGGTTACTCCCCGCAGGCGCCGTCTACGCCCTCGTCACCCTCACCGCCCTCTCGTTCCCGCAAACCTCGATCGCCCTCATCTTCCTCCCCTTCTTCCCTCTCCCGATCGGCCTCGCGACGGCAGGCCTCCTCGCCGTCGACGTCGTCGGCCTGGTCCGTGGCTGGCGAGAGTTCGACCACGCGGCACACCTGGCGGGCGCAGCGAGCGGCGCGTTGTACTGGGCGGTCGGGCACGACTTGTTCGAGCGGCTGCGCAGCGTCATGTGGCCGCAGCAGCGGCGGATAGAGGCAGAGAGGAGGGCGAGTAGAGGTTGAGGCGTGCAATAGAGACGGCTCGACACTCGCGCACTCTCGCTCGCTTTGGCCGTGCAGTGCGCTCTCACCGAGAGGGAAACGAAGATGCGACAAGATGCTGCGCGTTGCACGCCAAGCCAGATGAAGTACTGCATGTCCCCGTCTCGCCCTCGCCCTCGCCCTCACTCGTGCCCGTCCTCATCCTCGGCCTCGCTCCCCGTCGCGCTCGCCGACACCGACTCGTCCGGTCCGCCGCCGGCAAACTCGCGCAGGAGGTCGCTCACCTCGTTCTTGTCGTCGGCGCCCTCCTCGCCGTCCTCGGCTTCGTTGGTCGCAAAGACCTCGGCGGCGGCACCGAGCGTCGAGCCGGCAAGAGGCGCCGAGGACGACATGGTCGCGTCCGAGCGGTCGAGCACTGTGTTGGCGAGCAAGGGGTCAGTGAGGGCGTCGACGAGAGATGGAGGAAGGCGAGAGAGGGAGAGAGAGAGAGGACGCACGCTGCTCGAGCTGCTCGTCGCTGAGGACCTCGTCGCCGATCGAGGCGAGGCGGACCTTCTGCCCCTCGACGCTCCACACCTCTTTGAGCATGCGCTCGAGCGCCTGCTCCTTGCCCTTCTTGTCGACCTCGCTCGACGCTGCATCGGCGGCGAGCTTGGCGGCGGCGGCCGCCTTCTTGCCGCCCTTGGGCTTGCGCTCGAGCTTGTTCATGCCGGCGAGCGAGTCTGTGTGTGCGTCGTCCTCGCGTGAGCGCTCGTTCGCTGCACGTCGACACAAGGAGAGAAGTAGGACGCACCGTCTCCGAGCACGACCCTCTCGAGCTTGCGCTTCTTGGTCGCCGTCTCGAGGACGGCCTGCTCGACCGTGCCGTCCGACACGAGGCGGAAGACGAGCACCGGCTTGGTCTGGCCGATGCGGTGCGCGCGGTCCATCGCCTGCAGGTCGCTGTGTGCGAGAGATCGAGTCGGCTCACGACGAAGGAGAGAAGAGGAGGCGAGAGAGCGAGACGCACTTTTGCGGGTTAAAGTCCGAGTCGAAGAGGATGACCGTGTCGGCGCCCACCAGGTTGATGCCGACGCCGCCGGCACGAGTCGAGAGCATGAAGAGGTTGACGCCTGTGCATGTTTGGGAGCGAGAGATTGTCAGGACGGCCCGAGCGAGGGAGGGCAAGGGGGAGAACAAGAACGGGGCGCACCTTCCGGGTCGTACGGCGTCGTGTTGAACTGCTCGATCTCCTCCTGGTTGGCCGAGTTGGCGCCGTCGATGCGGTAATAGTCCCACTTGCGCAGGTCGAACGCGTCCTCGAGCAAGTTCATCATTTTGGTGAACTGAGAGAAGATGAGGACCTTGCTGCCGCGCGCGAACAGGCCCTGGAGGAGGCGGTCGAGGAGCATCATCTTGCCCGACAGGCTGATGACGTCCTCGTCGGGCCGCTGGCGGTACTGGCGGTCGTCAAAGGCGAGGAGCGGGTGCAGGGCGAGGAACCGCAGGTTGGTCAGGTTGGACGAGAACTTGGTGCGCTTGATCTGCCCTTTGACTGCATCGAAAACACGTAAAAAGTCAGTCGACGCACGATGAGTAAGGGAGGGAGAAAGGGAAGAGAGCGGCGGCGACGCACCGTCGCTCGAGTGGCCCGCCTGCAGCTTGGCCATGGCCGCCTTCTCCTTCCTCCTCTCCTCCTCCTCGGCCTTCCTGACGAGCTGCTGCTCAAAGACCTCGTCGTCCGCCGCATCGATCGCGTCCGAGTAACTCCTCGCGACCGCCTGCGAGCGCCGCTTCCTCCCCGCGCTCGACGGGCCGTGCTCGTCGAGAAGCAGCGCCGGGTTGATGATGTCGATGTCGCGCTTGCCGCGCGTGCGCTTGCGCGGTGTCGAGCTCGAGTCGGCCTCGAGGCGGGCGTGCCGGGTGCGGGTGAGGCCGAGGCCGAGTTGGTCGTCGAGGGAACGATCGAGGGGAGCGCCGAAGCCGGGATGGTGCTGCCGTTGAGGATGGCGTCGCGCAGGGCGTTTGGCGAGCTGCAGAGAGGGCTCGTCAGGTGGTTCGGCGGGCAGAGGAGGAGACGAGGGGACGCACACGTTGGCGGCGGCCAGGAGCTCCTTCTGCAGCGAGGTGAGCGGCGCGTGCAGCGTGTACCTGCAGGACGAGGCGTCGTCAGGGCTCGCTCTAGGGAAAGGAGGACGAGGCAGACGCACTCCTTCTTGAGCGGCAGGTCCTTGACGACGTCCTTCTTGCGGCGGCGGAGCGTGAACGGCGACAGGATCTCGGTCAAGATCTTGGCGAGGAAGCTCGTCTCGGTCTGCTCCGACAGCTCGAGGCTCGTGCCGCTCGTGACGGCCTTGAAGTTGAACATCTCGATGAAGGCGGCCTCGTCGGTGAAGACTTGCGGGAAGACGAAGGAGAGGAGCGTGAAGAGCTCGTTGAGGTTGTTTTGCTGCCGGCGAGGGAGGCGTCAGGTTCGCGCGCAGACAGGCAAGTCAGAGAGAAGAGAGACGGACCAGCGGCGTGCCCGTGAGGAGGAGGCGGAACTCGGTGCTGAGGCGCTTGATCGTCGCAAAGTTTCTGCGGCGGCGACAGGGTGAGCGCCGGCGAGCGAACGAGACGGGCCGAGGAGAGCAGGGACGCACTTGCTGCTCTTGTTCTTGGCTTGGTGCGCCTCGTCGCAGACGACGGCCCAGTACTGCAGCTGCGAGAGCCAGTTGATGTCGCGCTGGAGGATCTGGTCTGCAAGGGGCGGCGAGGCTCGTGAGCGCGCATCGAAAGGCGAAAGGCCGGTCGGGGCGACGCACACGTGACGAGAATGACCGGGAACTGCTCCTTGCGCTTGAACGGCGCCGCGTTGTTCATGCCGCGCAGCCCGAGTCGGCGTTGCCGCAGGTCGGCGCGCTCTTCCGGCGTGCCGGCGTAGACGAGGACCGGGATCGACGGCGCGAACCTGCAGGGGTACACCGCCATGATCAGACGACGTCGCAAAGGGCCAGAGAGGGAAGGCAGGGACGTACCTCTCGAGCTCGCGCTCCCAGTTGCGGAGGACGGCCTTGGGGAGGACGACGATGAGCGGCTTGTCGGTCGACTGGTCCTCGGGCTTGTAGAAGTTGTCGAGGATGAAGGCGAACACGGCGATGGTCTGGAGCGTCTTGCCCGTGCCCATCTCGTCGGCGAGCTGTTGCGAGCAGAGGGGTCAGGTCCGGTTTATGAAAGACGGGCACGAGCAGGGACGTACGATCGCTCCCGGGATGGCGTAGACGTAGCGCGTGCACAACCAGTTGACGCCCGCACGCTGATAGTCCTTGAGCGTGCCGCCCGAGATCTGCGCGCTCGGCTCAAACTCCATCGGCGGGAGGTCGGCCGCCGTCACCTTCTTCTTCTTGCGGCCGGCGCCGTTGGCCTTGTCGCCGCGCTTGCGCTTGGCCGACCCGGTGATGGCGAGCTCGTCGTCGTCGTCGTCGTCATCGGCCTCGTCGGCGGCATCGACGTCGCGGTTCTGGCTCTTCTGCTCGCGTGGAAACGGCGGTCAGCTCGGCACGCTTGGTACTGGGGCAGAGAGAGACTTGACGGACGAGGAGGGTGTCGAACATCTCGTCGACGATGTTCTTGACCTGCGCGTGCGGGCGAGGGGGAAAGAGGTGAGCTCGCGGGCCCTGCGGACCGAGCGAGAGGAGGTCGGGGCGGGCGGCGGACCTTCTCGACGACGGCCCACATATTCTTCTTGACGCGCGCGCGCTGCTCGGCGTCGAAGTCGACCTCGTTCGTCTGCGCATGCAAGAGTCAGCGCGGTGTCGCGAGACTGGGTCGCTCGAGAGGGTCGACGGCGGGAGGAGGAGGGCGAGGGGCTCACGGGCTCTGCGGCTTCGACCTTGTCGGCGGTGCCGTTGTCGCCGTCGGCGGTGGCATCAGGCTTGTACTCGGTCTCGCCGTTGTCGGGCTTGGTGAGCGAGGCGGCGACGATGGTGAGGTCGTCGTCGTCTTCTGAGTCCGAGTCGAGGGTGATGGTGTCCCGGACCTTGACGGCCGAGTCGGCGGTGCGCTTGGTCGAGGGCATGGCAGCAGCACAAGCTCGCGGGCTACTCAGCCGGAGAGAGGCGCGGTTGGTCGAGAGAGGAGCGCGTCGTCGCTCTCATCTCGGTTCGCCTCGAAGCGCGTCCTCACAGGCTCACACACCGCACAGAGCAATGCCGAATCAGCGCACACGGGACTGGGTCTACTTGTGCGCCCCCCTTGTTCCACAGCCACCCTCGGAGCCGCCGTACTCACCTCTCTCCCCTCCTCCCTCTCCCTCAGCGCCTTTCTCGCGATCCACATCCCGGCAACCTTGCTCGTCGGTGCGTTTCTCTCGCTCATCTCGGTCGTGAGCATGGACTGACCCTCTTGCACCGCACAGACATCCAGGCACTGTTCTTCGCCGAGCGCTTGTCGCCGACTTGGCTGCGGCAGCTCTGTCCGTCCCCCCCCCCCCCCCGCACTCCCTTGCGATCCTTTCTGCATCTCGCTGACTCTCGACTACCCTCCGCACAGTCGTCTTTGCCGCCAAGGAGGACCCTCTCCTCACCAACGCGACGTCGCCGCTCTTTGCGTGGTTCCAAAGCTTCATCCTCCTCGAGATCATCTTTCAGCTCCCCGTCTTCTTCATCGGCGCTCGAGGGCTGTACAAACGTGCGTTGGACCTCCACCTCTCGCCTGCATCTACTGCACGCGGCCGCTGACCCATCATCGCCGCAGACGACCCGACCATCTGGCCCCTCCTCGCCGTGTACGGCGCCTCGTCCTCGACGACCACGTTCGCCTGCATCGCGACCGTCCTCCACACGCCCGGCCTGACGCAGGTGCAGCTCGTCAAGCTCCTCGTGTCGTACGTGCCCTTCATGGTCGTCCCACTCGCGATGGCCGTCGACTTTGGCGCGCGGTTGACGGCCGTCATGAGGGCGGTCGGCGGCGGCGGCGGCGAGGGCGCGCGAGGAGGAAAGGCGAAGAGGACGTAGAAAGTCGAGACCTGGAACGAGGACCTTGCCCCTCGAACGTGTGTCGAGAGCGCCAGAAAGTCGACGCCGCCGTTTCGGGATCTTGAGCGCTCGAGCGAGAGCCGCGACCGTCACGTCTTCTTCTTGGTGCGGAAAGCCGACAGCGCCGACCGCTTTGGCAGAGCGGGCGTCGTGCGGACGATGTTCTTGCTCGCGCTGCGGGCCGTGTACAGGGCCGGTGCCGGCGTGCGCGAGGTCGAGGTCGAGGTCGAGGTCGAGGTCGACGAGGAGGAGGGTGTCGCGGACGCAGGTTGGCGCTTCTTGACGAGGCTGGAGGACGGTGTGGCGACGGCTGGGCTCGAGGACGAGGATGAGGGAGGTGGCGGTGCGCGAGAAGGCGTGCGAGACGGCGGCGGCGGCGACGGCGAGTCGAGGGGGAAGGACGGGCGCTTGCGCTTCTTGAGCGTGCCGCCAGGTGTTGCTCGAGGAAGGTCGTGCGCCTCGGACGAGTCGGCGGCGGCGGCGGCGGGCCGGGCGGGCGAGCCCTCCCACGGCGCGACGTAGGGGACGTGCCGCACGAGCATGAGGTCCGACGGCAGCGGCTCGGCCCACGTCCTCGGCCCTCGCGGTGTCGGCGGCTCGAGCGGGCGGTAGAACCTGGAGCGCTGCGCCGACTCGTCCTCCCACCGCTTGCGCTCGGCCGCCTCCTCGGCCTCGAGCTCCTGCTCGCGCTCGTCGTCGCCCTCCGAGTCCGAGAACGGCTCCCTCGCGCCGCGCTCCTTGTCCTCCCTCGAGACCTTCCTCGTCCCGACGTCGTACAGGCTCGCGCTCTGGCCGGGCAGCATGGCCCGACCGCCGGTCCTCGCGCCGGCGCCGATCCACTCGCCCGCCGCGACCGCGTCGTTGCGGTTGCGGAACGCGGCGCCCTTGTCCGACTCGCGCCGACCCTCCTCCTCGACGAGACCGCGCGAGAGCGGCACCGTCGACGTGATGCTGCCGAGCCCGGCGTGATACGCGGCGCGCTTGGCGCCGTACGAGAGCGCGAGCTGGTCGCGGTACAGCTCGTCGGCGGTCGCGTCGGGGCGAGACGAGGCAGGCGAGACGGTGGCTGACGAGCACGAGGAGCGCGTGACGGCCGTCAGGTGCAGCCCGAGCGGCTTGACGAGCGCTCGAGTGCGCAGGACGTCGCGGCGCTGTGGCCCGGCCGGCGTCGACTCGACACGTGCGAGGTAGTGGAGCAGGGCGAGGGTGCGGGCAGGCGAAAAGTTGGCGGGCTCGAACAGCTGCGGCTCGAGGGTCGAGGGAAGCGAGGTCGGGAGGTCGGGGCGAGGACGGGCGGGACGCCAGAAGCGCGGTGCGAGAGGTGTCGACGAGGAGGTCGACGGGGGAGCACCGCCGAGGAAAGACCGGTTGAGCGCGGCGCGGATGGCGGACGTGCACTGCGTGCCGCGCAAGTCGAGGCTGCGCAGGTTGGCCAGCGACGACAGCTGGAGGACGCCGGCGTCGGTGACCTTGAGGAGCCCGCGCAGCGACAGGACCTGCAGCTGCGCGTACTGGGGCGGATCTCGAGCGGCGCGGGCGATCCACGTGAGCGCCTCGTCCGAGATGCTCGTGCCGTCGAGGCGCAGGACGGCGAGAAAGTGCGACAGCGGATTGCGCAGCTTGTAGATGTCGCCGTCGGTGAAAGTCGTGTCGCCGCGCAGGTCGAGGTAGGCGAGGTAGAAGGGCGGGACGAGCGGCTCGCGGCCGGGCGACGGGTAGGCCGTCTCGTGCGCCCACCGCTCGACCGCCTCGGCGTTGAGCTCCTTGACGAGGCCGAGCTCCTTGCCGTCGCCGACACACAGGCCGCGATACGTGCGACGCTGCGGCGGCAGTTCGAGGGCGAACCGGTGCGCAAAGTCGAGCCAGACCTGGAACGGCAGGGTGCCGTGACCGATGCGCCGGGCGAGGGTCGCGAGGAGCGGCGCGGCGTACTCGCGGTGGACGACAGGGTCGAGCGCGTCGAACACGCCTCGCTCGCCGTAGTTGTCGACGAGGACCTCGAGGCACACGCTCGAGAGGCGCGGCACGTCGTCGAGGAGCTTGTTCTCGACCGTGCGGCGGCGCGCGGCGTAGGCCTGCTCGTCGAGGAGGGCGCGAGAATTTGACGCGACGCCTCGGCCGAGCTGGAAGTCCTTGAAGGCGATGCCAGCGATGCCGCTGTGGTGGAAGGTGGACGAGCTGGACGACGTTCACCGACGGGTCAGTTTCGTCGAGGGGAGGAGAGGTGGCGCGAGAGAGAGAGGCAGGGCGCACCGGTCCTCGTGCTGCGCGGCCTCCTTCTTTGCGCGCTTGACGGTGCGCTCTTGGGCGGCGCGCGCCTTGTCGTGGTCGAGGTCGAGCTCTCGGCGAGTGAGGGCGCGTGGACGATAGACGCGCTCGAGCGGGGCGGCCATGAGGCGCAGGACGCTCGGGCGGGTCGCGGCGTGTGGTACGAGGCCGTGAGCTGCTCTGGCGGCAGATGGACCGCGTCACAGCCAAGGTGAGCGAGTTGAGCGAGGTCCAGAGAGGTGTGAAGGCGGGCCGGCGGGGGTTGGCCTTCACCTCTCGGCTCTCCCCTCCTCAGGGCAGTTGCCAGCGCTTTCAAGCTCTTCTACGGCCATGGCAGAACGTGGCGGCGCAGGCCGCGTCAAGAACCGCGCCCCGGCGGCGGTCCAGGCGAGTCTCCCCCCTCCCACCTCCTCATCTCCCTCGCCGGCGTTCGACCCCGACACCACCCCTGCACGTGCTGCAGCACCCATGCTGACGTGCACTCTCTCGCCCGCAACAGATCACCGCCGAGCAACTCTTGCGCGAGGCGGCCGACTTCCAGGAGAAGGTGACGCCCAAACCCAAGCAGCGCATCGAGGACTTTGAGGAACTGCACGAGTACCGCGGGCGCAAGCGCCAGGAGTTCGAGGAGATCATCCGCAGGACAAGGAGCAACGTGCGTCCCCTCTCCCCTCTTCGCCTCCTCCTGGGTCAACCCGCTCACCTCGCGTCGCACCCCCCCTCGCAGATCCAGGCGTGGGTCAAGTACGCCAACTGGGAGGCGAGCCAGAACGAGTTCCCTCGGTGCGTCTCGCGGTCCCCCTCTCGCGCTCCCTCGCCCGCCGACAACGCTGACCTCCCTCTCCTCCCCACTCGCCCGCCAACAGCTCGCGGTCCGTCTTTGAGCGTGCCCTCGATGTCGAGCCGTCCAGCATCCGGCTATGGCTCGCCTACTGCGAGATGGTGCGTCCCTCGATCTCGCTACTCTCGAACGCGAGCCCAGGACTGACCTCGCGCCTTCTGTTGGCCCGCACCCCTGCAGGAGCTCAAGGCGCGCAACATCGCCCACGCGCGCAACCTGTTCGACCGCGCCGTCACGCTCCTCCCGCGCATCGACCAGATCTGGTACAAGTACGTCTTCCTCGAGGAGCTCCTCGGCAACGTCGCCGGCTCGCGCCAGGTGTTCGAGCGGTGGATGGCGTGGGAGCCCGACGAGAAGGCGTGGTCGGCCTACATCAAGATGGAGGTGCGCTACGGCGAGTTCGACCGCGCGAGCAAGATCTACGAGCGCATGATCAACTGCCACCCCGAGCCCAAGCACTTTGTCAAGTGGGCCAAGTTCGAGGAGGAGCGCTCCAACGTCGACCGCGCGCGCGAGATCTACCAGCTCGGCTTCGAGTTCTTCGGCCAGGACGAGGAGGGCATCGACAAGTCGCAGTCGCTGTACTCGGCCATGGCCAAGATGGAGGTCCGCCTCAAGGAGTACGAGCGTGCGCGCCTCATCTACAAGGTGCGTCCTCTCTCTCTCTCTCTCTCTCTCTCTCGTACGCCGACCCCCCTCGCCCCGTCACTGACACCTTCTGTGCGTGTCGACAGTTCGCCCTCGACCGCCTGCCGCGCTCGCGCTCGACCCAGCTGTACGCCGCCTACTCGCACTTCGAGAAGCAGTTCGGCACGCGGTCCGGCATCGAGGTGACGGTCCTCGGCAAGCGGCGGCTCCAGTACGAGGAGGAGCTCGCGCACGAGTCGCGCAATTACGACGTCTGGTTCGACTATGCGCGCCTCGAGGAGGACGCGTACCGCGGCGAGGAGGGCGCCGACGACGCGCTCAAGCGCGTCCGCGAGGTGTACGAGCGCGCCGTCGCCCAGGTGCCGCCGAGCGACGAGAAGCGGCACTGGCGGCGCTACATCTTCCTGTGGCTCAACTACGCCCTGTTCGAGGAGCTCGACACCAAGGTGCGCTCCCGGCCCCCTCTGCCTCGTCGTCCTTCCCTTGCGTGGCCGTACTGACTCGCCTCTCGTCCCTTGCCCTCTCTCTTCTCGTCACGCAGGACCTGCAACGCGCCCGCGAGATCTACCGAGCGTGCCTCAAGCTCGTCCCGCACAAGCGCTTCACGTTCGCCAAGGTCTGGCTCCAGTTTGCCGAGTTCGAGGTGCGGCAGCAGGACCTCGACGCGGCGCGCAAGATCCTCGGCATGGCGATCGGCATGGCGCCCAAGGAGAAGGTACGTCTCCTGGCCCGTCCTCCCTCGAGACGGCTTGACTCGCTCCAGGGCGACAGGCACTGACTCTGTCGGCCCTTCCACCACGCAGCTCTTCAAGGAGTACATCGAGCTCGAGCTCAAGCTGCGCGAGTTTGACCGGTGCCGGATACTGTATCAAAAGTGGCTCGAGGTGCGTCCCTCGTCCTCTCGTCCTCCCGGGCCCGCCGCCGCTTTCTCTCCCTCGCGCCGCAGTCACTCACACCTCGTCTCCCTCGTCGCAGCACGACCCGTCGAACGCGTCGGCCTGGATCAAGTTCACCGAGCTCGAGGGCCTCCTCCAGGACTACGACCGCGTGCGAGCCATCTACGAGCTCGCCGTCGACCAGCCGTCGATGGACATGCCCGAGCTCGTGTGGAAGTCGTGGATCGACTTTGAGTACGACGTCGACGAGTACGAGCGCGCGCGCGACCTGTACGAGCGCCTGCTGCGCCGCACGAGCCACGTCAAGGTGTGGGTCTCGTACGCCCAGTTCGAGGCCAACGTCGGCATGGCCGAGGCGGCGGCGCTCAGCGGCGAGGGCGACGACGACGACGACGACGAGGGCGAGGCCGACAAGCAGCCGGTCGAGGTCGACCACGAGGCGGTCGAGGAGGCCAAGCGCCAGGGGCTCGAGCGCGCGCGCAAGGTCTTCGAGCGTGGGTACGCCGACCTCAAGCAGAAGAAGCTCAAGGAGGAGGTGCGTCCCTCTCGTTTCGCTCCTCGTCTGCCTTCTACTAGACGAGCGAACTGACTCCTCGTCGTCGCCCACAGCGTGTCGTCCTGCTCGAGGCGTGGAAGGCGCTCGAGTCGGCCCAGGGCGATGCCGCCTCGCTCGCCAAGGTCGAGGCCATGCTCCCTCGTGTCGTCAAGAAGATGCGCAAGGTCGACGAGTCGGGCATGATGGAGGAGTGTGCGTCCTCGCTCTCTCTCGGCCACCCTCGCCTGTCCTTTTCGCCGTCCTGAACTGACTCTGCCCCTCCCTCCCTCTCTCCTTCCCTAATTTCCCCGGCTCGCCTCGTCACGCAGACTACGACATGCTCTTTGCCGACGACGAGGAGAACAAGTCGGCCGCGAGCCTCAAGTTCCTCCAGCTCGCCGCCGAGTGGAAGAAGAAGCAGGCCATCATGGAGCAGCAGGCGGCGGCCGCCGCGCCCGAGCCCGTCGCCGTGCAGGAGGAGCTGGCCGAGGAGCGCGAGGGCGCAGACGAGGACGAGGAGCGCGAGGCGGGCACGCGGGACGAGGGCGCCGAGCGGGTCGAGGGTTCGCCGCCGTCAGGGGACGGGGCGAGCGGCGGCGACGACGAGTAGTGCAGGGCGCCGTTCTGTATGTACGACCTGTTCCTCTCTCGATGTCGGCGGCGAGGTTTGGGTCGCGAGAGCGGCGGTGGCGAGCGCGGTCCGAGCAGTGCCGTTCAAGGGCTCGTGCGTCTCCTCTCGCCTCTCCCTCATCACCTCGCATCTCGCTCACTCTCTGCGCCCTCAGTCATGCAGCTTGCGCGCGTCGTCTTGGCGTCCAGCGAGTTCCTTCTGCGCCTGTGAGAGCCGCTCGGTCCGCTTTCCTCCTTGCCGCCTCGTCTCGTCGAAAAGCGCAACGCTGCCTGAACGAGGCGGCACCTTGTCGCTGTTTGAATAGCGCGCACTGATCGAGGGCAGCAGGTCGGACTTCCGTCGAGGCCCTCGCAAGAGGTTCGAGCACGGCGCAGCTCGATCGAAGTCGAGCATTCACCCGCTCGCCGCGTCCGCCAACCCGCCTTTCCTCTCTCTCTCTCTCTCTCTCTCTCGCCTCGCCCCGCCACCGCCAGTCACTGGTTTACTCGTCGCTCGTTACCCGACAGCTCCCCACGAGCACCACCGGGCCCCGCCGCCGCCTCTCCTCCCCCTCCCCCTCCCCGAGATCCACCCTCGCCCAACCTCCTCGCCCTCAGCACGATGAGCTCGCACGCCTCGACGAGCCCACTCGCACTCGTCCTCATCGTCGCCCTTCTCGCCTGCGCCCTCAACGCCGTCTCGGCCGCACCGCCCGTTCGGCTCAACAAGCGCGCCGTCTCGCTCCCCGTCACCTGTCGCACCGGCTCGTTCCAGGGCAAGATCCTCTCGCGCGTCGAGGTCTGGCGCGGTATCCCGTACGCGCAACCTCCTGTCGGCGACCTGCGCTTCGAGCGCCCGCAGCCGGCGCCCCTGGTCGGCCTCGACGATCCGGCTTTCGGGGTCGTGCGCGACGCGACCGCCTTCAAGCCGCGCTGTCTGCAGACGACCAGCAAGGTGCGTCTCGTCGCTCTCTCTACACCCTCCTCTTGGCCGAGCTGACTCGTCTTGGCGAGCAGGAGAACGCCGAGGACTGCCTTACCCTCAACATCTACCGTCCTCAGGGCACGCCGCCGAGCGCCAAGCTGCCCGTCGCCGTCTACCTGTTCGGCGGCAGCTTTTACTCGGGCGGCGCCAGCAGCTACTCGCCGTCCAACATGGTCACCCGCAGCAAGACCCTCGTGCGTCTCGCTCTCTCCTCTCCCTCTCTCCCTTCCGGCCCTCGCTCTGGCGCACGCGTCCGGTCCTGACCCGCGTTCATGTCGCACATGCAGAACGTGCCCATCATCGTCATCACGCTCGACTACCGTCTCGGCGTCTCGGGCTTTGCCGCCTCGCCTGCCTTGCGCGGTGCCGGGCTCCTCAACAACGGCCTCGCCGACCAACGCCAAGCTCTGCGGTGGATCCACGACAACGTCCCGTACTTCGGCGGTGTTCCGGACAAGCTTCTGCTGTTCGGCCAATCGGCGGGCGGTGCGTCCCTGTTCCTCGACCTCTCGACCTCGCGCACGACCCCCTTCCTCCCCTTCCTTCCGCCGGCCTGACCTCTTCTCCTCCTCGTCCCGCTCTCCTCCTGCCGCACAGCCATCTCGGTCTCTTACCAGATGCTCGCCTTTGGCGGCAACCTCACCGAGCTCGGCGTTCGAGGCGCCATCATGGAGAGCGGCGCGCCCGGGACCAGCTTCGCCCTCGACCACACGTCGTCGTACCCGGCCAAGAAGTGGCTCGCCGAGGACGCCAAGAACGTCATCATGCTCCAGAAGACGGGCTGCACTGGCGCCGTCGACGAGATCGCGTGCCTCAAGAGCGCGACGACGACCCAGATCCTGTCGGCCCAGTCGACCATCGTGCGTCGACCGTTCCTCGCCGGCCCTCCTGTCTTTCTCAAGCCGCGATGAACCTGCCATCGCCTCCCACAGCGCTCGTACGGCGGCTTCCCTTACGCGCCGACCATCGACGGCGAGTACCTGCCGGACGTGCCCTCAAGGCTCCTCCTGTCGGGCAAATTCGCCCCGATCCCGTTCATCTCGGGCTCGCAGCTCGACGAGGGCACCGACTTTATGGCGTCGACTGCCTTCACCAGCCTCAGTGCGTCCTAATCTCTCTTTTCCCTCCAGAAGCACGAGACTGACCTCGCCGAGCCGACCTTTCCCTCCCCCTCTTTCGCTCTGCGCCTACCTCCTCTCGCCCTCTGCCTCGCCTCGTACCGGACGTCTCGCCTCACCCAGACCTCACGACCGACACGCAGCTCACCGCCTGGATCCGCGCTCAGACCCCCAGCATGAGCGCGACCGACGCGGCCACCTTCCTTCGCCTGTACCCGAACGTCCAGTCGGCGGGCTCCCCCTACGGTACCGGCGACGTCAAGTTCCTGTGGAAGCTCTTCAAGCGCTCGTCGTCGATGTTCGGCGACCTCGCCTTCGAGGCACCTCGTCGGCTGTTCCTGCGCGCCGCCAACCTCCTCGACGCGGCCAACCAGGCGACGGCCGCCAACGGCACGCTCGTCGAGAGCACCGTCACGGTCACGCAGGCCGTCGTTTAGGGACAGCTCGTCAACACGACCATCGTCGCCGCCAACGAGACGAGCGTGGACGCCGGGTCCAACTCGACGGCGACGACGACCACGACGACCGTCATCGAGGGCTCGTTCTCGGGCAACATCACCAACACGACGGTCACGCTCGCGCCGTTCGAGTACAAGCCGCTCAAGGTGTGGAGCTACCAGTTCTCGCAGCGGCCGACAGGCGGGTTCGACTACCTCGGCGGTGCGTCCCGCCCTCCCTCTCCCTTCCTCCCACTCCTCTGCGCCCTCACTAATGTCAAGCGTCTACCTCAGCGTCGCACGGCGACGAGATCCCCTGGGTCTGGTCGACGAGCACGTCGACCGAGGCCGGCGCCGACAACCTTCGCAACTCGATGACCGACGTGCGTCCTCCCTTTCCCTCTCTCTCTCGTTCCGCGATCGTCGTCCTGACACGCCTCGCCTCCTTCAGTCGTGGATCTACTTCGTCAACTACCTCGACCCGAACGGCCCGTCGTCGACCCTCGTCTGGCCGCAGTACGAGCAGTCGAATAAGACGCAGATTCAGTTCAAGCTCGGCCAGCAGTCGCTCATCTCGGTGCGTCTCTCTTTCTCTCTCTCTCTTTCACTCTCGTGTAGAGTACTCAGCCTCTCTCTCGGTCGCCGTGCAGGACACGTATCGCTCGAGCGCGATCAACTTTATCAACTCTAACCAGGCCATTGTATGTCCTCGATCCTCTCTCACAGTCTCTCTCTCTCTCGCGTCCTTGCCCGTAAACGTCACTGACAGCTCGTGCGCCTCGCAGTTCGGCCAGTGATCGTCCTCTCGTCGTGCTCGTTCTCGGGTTTCTCCTGCGGTTCCTTCTAGATTTGCCTGTAATTCCTCCTCCTTGGCGCTCGTCACTCCCAGGTGCACTTATTGAGCGAGAGCTGCGGCGGCGTCGAGAGGCTGCGCTCGACCCACTCGAGGAACCGCGAGCCGAGAGAGCTTCCCTCTTCTCGCTCGACGATGGACAGCGCGACGTGCCACTGTGAGGCTCACCTCACGACGGCGGCGAAACAAAGGACTCGAGAGAAACTCGCAATTGCAGGAGGCCTGGGACGTCGCCCGCAGGCTACGACGACTGGGAGCTGAACGAGTCCTCCGACTCGTAAAGCTCGAACCGGTACCGGAACCACACCGTCTCCTCGTCGCTCTCAACCATCTCCATCGCCTCGCGCTGCGCCTGCTCGTACTCGCTATCGTACGAGTCGCTGTCGTCCTCGCGGTCGTCGTCCTCGCCGTCGTCGTCCTCGCCGTCGTCGTCCGCATCGCCGATCGAAAACTCGCACTCGATGTCGAGGCAGACGCGCTTGACCTCCTCGATGTCGGCCTCGAACAGCCCGATGCTGTCGAGTTCGCCGTTCGACACCTCGGGCGCGATCGAGTTGTGGGCGAGGTGGACGTGCTTGAGGGTCCGAGCGTGCGTGCGCAGGAACGCGACGAGGTCGGCGATGTTCTCGCCCAGCGAGGGGAAGAGTTCGAGGCGGAAGAAGGAGAGGGAGGGTAGGTCGAGACGGAGGAAGAAGGCCGAGTCGAAATCAGAGCCGAGGGCAAGGGAGGTGAGGTGCGGAAGGCGGAAGTCGGGCGTCGAGGAGGGGACCGACCACTGCTCGGCGAGGCCGCTTTGCAGCTCGAGGCGCAGGTCGACGAGGCTCGTCGAGAACAGGGCGACGAAGGCCTGCAGGGCGGCAAAGTCGAACCTTGCGCACAGGCCGTAAAGCTCGAGCGACTCGAGGCGCGCCGTGACGACGGCGCCGGGTGCGAGTTCGAGGCAGCGCTCGTCAAAGATGTCGTCCCCAACGATCTGGAGATGCTTGAGCGACGACAGGCGCGACACGATGTCCCCGACGAGCGCGACGCGCAACTCGTCGGACCCCTCGTCGACGCGAAGCCCGAGAGATTCGAGCGACGCCTGCTTGCTCAGGGCTGCAAGGACACCGTCGAGGTCGGCAACGAGGAGCCCGCCGGTGCGCAGGTCGACGATGCGCAGGCCGGACGCCACGACCGCCGACAGCTCGAGAACCATCTCGTCGAGGATGAGCTCCTGGAGGCCGACGCAGTGCCCGAGCAGCTCGCGCACTCGACGTCGCACCTCGGAGCGCACATTGAGGTCGCTCCGCTTGTGGTCGCCGTACTCGTCGTTGAAGAAGGTGAGGTCGATGCAGCGCACGAGCGACGCGTGCGGCGGGATGACGTCGAGCAGGTTGTCGAGTCGAGCAGGGCAAAGGTCCTCGATCATGATGCGCTGCAAGGAAAGAGGGGAAACAAGCAGGTCAGTGGTAGATTCGCGTCGAGAGAGAAGAAATGGCGAGCGCACCTGCCAGAGCAGAGGCTCGCAGATTGAGCGAAAGTCGCGCGAGACAGCCTGCAGGCGCTCGAGCTCCCTGCGCTTCTCGTTGGCGGCGTCGTCGGCCTGCAAGGATAGGGTGACGGTTCAGTCTCGTTCCCACCATCTCGGGGCAAAGGGAAGAGAGTGCCACGCACCGCGGCCCACAGCGCCCTCCGTCGCGCGAAGAAGCCGACGGCCTTGTCGGCCTTGTCGACTGCGTCAGGCTCGACTTGGTCCGGCTCGTACTGCTTGAGGACCTCGTCGACGATCTTGCGCTTGAGCTCGACAGGGAGACGGTGCCAGGGAGCGACGGGCGGATCCTCGGCGACGGTGAGGGTGTCGAGCGAGGGCGGCGACGGCGTGGCGGGGACGAACGGTGCGGCTGTGGGGTTGAGCGGTCCAGACATGTCGAGTATGCGGGCTCGTGGGCTGGACTGAGCGGGCGAGAGGCGGGAAGCAAGAAGCGAGCGGAGCAGACCGACGACGAGCGGGGGGACGAGGTGCGTGTGCGCGAGAAATGCAAGACACGGCTTTGAGCCGCAAAGCAGAGCTGCTGTAGCGCCTGTACACGGCAGCGCAGCGTGCTGAAGGGCGTGCGCGAGGCTGCACAGGCCGGACGCAAAAGAAGAACGAGGCTGCCAGTGGAGGGCGGCCACGCGGGCGCTCCTGGCTGTGAGCGGGCGGACAAGCTGGTAGTACGGCGACAGCTTCGGCCTCAGCTGCTCAGGCGCAAGAGCGAGGCGGGCGTGGTGAGCGCGAGAGCAGGCGCGCGGTCGCCCGCTTCCCCGCCATCTCCTCGCGCAGCTGTCGCTTTCTCTACAGGGCACAGGCGGTCGCGCGACCAGCTCGCACAGCACCGCTAGACCTGTCTACCCGTCCTGAGCGAGCCGCGCACACCACTGTGCGGGTTGCAGCTCGTCCTCGTCTTCATCAGCTCGGTTTCTTCGGGACTCGTCTCCTCCCCTCTGTGGAGAGGTAGCCGGCTGTCGAATGCGCTCGCGAGCCACACGAGCTGTACGCGCGCCGGTCTCGCCTTTTCGAAGGGCACGCGCCTCTCGCTCGGTCGTCTGCCCGGAGCTCGCCGTCGGCAACTGCTCGCGCCCTCCCACCTCGCTCCCACTCGCTCCTCTTGCCCTGCCAGCAGGCGCGCACTGCGCAAGATGGCCACCAAGCTCGACCCTACCGCCGCATCCTTCCACCCAAGCGTCGCCGAGCCCCTCGAGCTCGTCACCCCGCTTCTCGCCGACGACGACAAGCCGCCCGCCTCGTTCGGCCACCTACCCGTCGAGCTCAAAGACCAAATCGTCGCCGAGGTCATCAACCTCGACCGCGACCGCAAGCAGGAAACTCGGGCGGCTTTTGTTGCGTCGGTCACGGTCGGTTTCTTCGCGAGGCGGAAGGTCATCAAGCTCGAGGTGCGTCCCGCGAGCATTCCTCTATCAGCTCGATCTGCGATTGACCTCGCGAGTCACACAGGAGCGGCACAACGACCGAGCCAAGCACAGGGTGCTCTCGCGTCTTCAAGCCGTCGACCGTGAACTGCGCGACATCTGCGCTCCGCAGCTCTGGCGGGTGCGTCCCCTCTCGCCGTGTCCTCGAGTCCCTCTCGAATTTGCCTGACGGGTTTTCTTTGCAGCACATCGACGCCGAGAAGGTCCGGCCCGAAGCGTTTCCTCGCCTCCTCGACGTCCTGCCCGAGCACGCGGCTAGTGTCCGCCGCCTCGAAACCGTCGGCTCGTTCTTGGAGCACCGAGCGTCTCCCGAGGAGAGGGCCCTCTACCTTGAGACGAACCAGTGCCTCGGCCGGGTCGTGCACCTGTGCGAGAACCTCGAGCAGCTGCACCTCGGCAACCCTCAGCTCAACCCTCTCCTCCCGTTCCACTTTCCTCGACTGCGCATCCTCAGCATCCACTCGCCCCACTCTTTTTGGCGCAAGCCGCACGTCTCCGAGCACGAGACGTTCCTCGTCGGCCTGTCGGGCCTGACGTCGCTGGACCTGTACGTCGACGGCACGGCCCTGTACAAGTGCGAGGCCTTGAAGGTGGTCGACGTCCTGATCGGCCTCCCGGGTCTCAAGAACCTCAAGCTGCGGGGCGACGCCGTCCTCCGCGATGAGGTGCTCGAGGCCTGTACCGAGGTCGCGCCGAGCGCCCTGCCTGCTCTCGAGTCGCTTGAGATCGTTCAGGACGGAAACCTCCTCGGGTTCGGGACGCTCCACGCGTTCGTCACGACGTTCGCGGCCTCGCTCAAGGAGCTTCATCTCAATGTCTTCCCGGACTCGGGAGACAGCAGCGACGACGACTCGGACTTTGACGTCGAGTACCGCCTGCCTCACCTAACGGCCCTCTCGCTCGCGACCGGCTGCGACGAGGGCTTGTTCCCCGCCTTCTCGTCGCCGTCGACGCCGATCGTCCACTTCACGTTCGGCATCCCCGTCGATCGCGAGCACTACGGGCTCGTGCGCACCTTCCTGGGCTCGCACGCGTCGACGCTCAAGACGCTCTACCTCAGCAAGTCGAGCGTCCAGTCGGGCCCGCGCATGTGCGACATGGTCAAGACGTTCTGCGAGTCGCTCGGCATCGAGGTCGCGTGCGCGGGAGAGGAGGAGAAGCTCGTCGGCGTCGGGGCGCAGGGCCGGCGGGCCTGAGCTCGAGGCGGTCGAGGGACGGAGTTCTTGCGCGTGCAACTTGTCATTCCCTCTCTTTGTTTCTTGGCTCGCGGCTCGACAGCTCGCGGCGAGCTCGCAGTGCTGCGGCAGAGAGGTCGAAATGCGAAAGAGAGGGCCCAAGTCGGGGTATGGCTACGAGGGGACGAAGCGCGCCGAGCGCGATGCGGGACAAGAAGAAGTGCAGGTGCGAGGGGTAAGGGGGAGAGAGAGAGAGAGAAAGGGAAAGAGAGAGCACGAGGGAGGACACGCTGGACCGCCTCCTCGACGACGCCGTCGAGCGCGAACGGCTACGCTCGCTCTGCGCGCACCCGCCCGCCGTCCCTCTGCGCGCCCGCCGAGCCCGATGCCGCCGCCGCCGCCGCCGTCGAGCTGCTCGACTTGCGCTGCGCGAGCGTCTTGAGCACGTCGCGCACGTACTCGACCTTGCCGAGGAGCGTTCGGACCTCGGCGAGGCGTGCGGCGCGCTCGTTCGCCGCCGTGCTGCTCTCGTGCTGCGACGAGTGCGACGAGTGCGCGTAGTGGCCGGCCGAGACGGCGAGGCGGAAGAGGGCCGCGAGCGAGTAGGTCGTGAGGGTGAACGAGGGCGAGATGAAGGTGACGACGCGGCCCGAGTGCGACAGGATGAGCTTGTGGTGGTCGTAGAAGTTGAACTGTGCGTCGAGAGATAGAGTCAGTCGATGTTGAGGGAAGGCGAGAGAGGCGAGAGAGGGAGAGAAGAGAGAGGGAGACGCACCTGGAGGACGTCGTTGCTCATCTTGAAGACGATGGCGCTCTTCATGCGGTAGTACTTGACGAGGAACTCCATGTTTTTGGTGCGCTCGACGTCGTCGTAGGTCCACTCGACGTCGCGCGTGAGCGTCTTGGCCATGTAGTCCTCGAAGTACCGCAGGAGGTACGCCTTGCGCTCGAGCGCGGCAGGGACGGCGCTCAGGGCGTGGTGCCGCCGCGTGTAGATGTTCGACTGGCGGTTGGCGATGTAGTCAAAGTGCCTGCAGGACGCGAGCAAGTCAGTGACGATCGAGAGGAGGACGAGGAGAGGAGGACGAGGAGACGAGGGAGAACGGGCGACGACGCACTCCTTGTCCGGGCTGAGCACCATCGTCGTCGAGTCGTTGAAGTACAGGCCCGCCGTGCCGTCCGTCAGGCTGTACGCCGTGCCGTACTTGTGCGTGTAGTCGACCCAGCTCGTGATGAAGACCTTGGGGCGCCCGTCCTCGTCGTCCACCTCGCGCTCGTCGAGCGACGCAGCGGCGACGGCGACGTCGGCCGCCGACGAGCACCCGAGGAACGCGTCGAGCGTGTGCCACGCCGTGTCGTACAGCGAGTGCGACGGGTGCGTCGTCGTCGAGGGCCCGGGCGCCGAGACGGGTGCGAGCGCCCGCGCAGGCTCGGGCGCGTCGAGCTGCGCCTGAGCGGGCGCACGACGGTGCCGTACGGGCAGCGTAGCCGCCGCTGCGGAAGACGACGACGAGGCGGTCGGCGCGCTCGTCGTGCGGGTGCGCTGGAAGGCGGGCTGCTGCGGCGGCGGTGCGTGCGCGCTCGAGGACGGGCCGGCTGCCGCGGCAGAAGAGGAGGGAGGCATGGCGGACGACGAGGAGGCGGAAGAGGAGGGCTGGGCGGTCGAGGCAGAGGCGGACAGGCGCGAGCGGACCGACGGGCGAGAGGGGAGGGCGGCGCGCGACGAGGGCGACACCATGAGGGGCTTGCGCGCCGAGCTGTAGACGCAGGAATGTCAGTCTCGCGCGACAAAAGAGAGAGAGAGAGGGACGCACCGCAGGAGCTCGCTGATCGGGCTCTCGGGCGCCGTCGCGTGCCGAACCTCCTTCTCGACCCGGCCCTTGGCGTCGCGCTCCTCGCTCGGGCGCAGCATCCTCGTCGGCCGCCTCGGCTGCTCCTCCTCGACCGCTGCCGCCGCCGTCGCCTCTCGCTCGGGCTCGCGCTCGGGCTCCGACTCGGGCGCCTCGACGACGACGGGCAGCGCCTGGCTCACCATCTCGGGCGCCGCGTGCGCGTGGCGCTGCCCCGAGGACGACGCGACCGGGCCCTCGACCTCGACGATGCCCGCGCGGCGCTTGCACCTGCGAAAGTTGTCGGCCGCGCTGCGCTTGCTCATCCTCCTCCACTCGTCGAGCACGCCGTCGACCCGGCTCGGGTCGGTCGCGCGCGAGCTGACGCGCGCCGGGAACGGTCCCGTGACGAACCACGGGTGGGCGAGAATCTGGGCGAGCGACGGCCGCGAGGTCGGCGTCGGGTTGAGGATCCACGAGATCAGGTCGAGCGACTCGGGCGAGAGGGCGTGGTCGGCAGGGAACGTGTACGCGTTGTCGCGGATCTTGCTGCGGGACAAGGATACGAGTACGAGTCAGGTCAGGGTCGAGGGAGAGGAGAAAGGGTGAGGAAAGTCGGGCGCACCGGTAGATGTTCTTGACGTCCTTGGTCTGGAACGGCGGACGGCCGATCAGGAGTGTGTACCTGCAACAAGAGGTATTGTCAGCAGCGCCGACGCTAAGCTACGCTCGTCGGGCGAGCCGCAAAGCGACCCGGCCGCCGAGCGAATCCATCGAGCGAAAGTGTCTGCCGACTCACAGGATGACGCCGATGCTCCAGATGTCGACCTCGAACGAGTGGCCGCCCTTCGAGTCGAACAGGATCTCGGGCGCGATGTAGTTGGGCGTGCCGCAGATGGTCCTGCGCGCGACCGAGAGGGCCGAGGGTCAGTGCGGCCGTCCCGGACGGACGACGGCGGGCGAGAGGAGACAGGGACGCACTTCTTGCGCTCGCCGGGGAACTTGACGAGTGCGGCGAGGCCAAAGTCGCCGACGCGCAGGTCCATGTTGCTGTCGAGCATGAGGTTGCCGAGCTTGAGGTCGCGGTGGATGACCGAGTTGGCGTGCATGTAGTCGCACGCGCCGACGAGCTGCGTCAGGTAGAAGCGCGCCTCGGGCTCCGAGTAGCGCTTGCGCACGCGGAGGAGGTCGAGGAGGGACTGTGGGCGCGGCGAGGCGTCAGGGCGAGTCGGGAAGGCAAGAGAGGAGACGCGAGGGGACGCACGCCGTTGGAGCACAGCTCGAGCTGCATGTAGACGTTGCCATCGTCTTCGAAGCACGACTCGAACGCGATGATGTTGGGGTGCTGCATGGCCTGGTGGATCTTGATCTCGGCAAAGAGCTGTGGGCGGGCGAACGGGTTCGGCGGGGTGCGACGGGTCAGTGACGGCTCGCGACGGCGTGTCGCACGAGTCGTGGAGAGAGAGAGAGTTGGGGCGCACCTTGGACTTGGTCTTTGTCGACTTGAGCTGGCGCTTGTCGATGACCTTGAGGGCCTTGTACGAGACGCCGTCGGGCTCAGTGCACAGGTAGACGCGCGCAAAGCCGCCCTGCGAGCGGCGATGGGCCAAAGGGTCAGTGGGAGACGCTCGCGAGAGTGCAGGACGAGGCCAGAGGTGACGCACCTCGCCGAGGAGGTCGCCCCGGTCGAGCCACGAGTGGTCGCGGCGGATGCGGGTCGGGGGCTCGCCCCACTGCTGGGTGAGCTTTGCGCGGTCCTTGGGCTGCGGGTCCTTGCCCTTGTCCTTGGGGGCGGGTGCGGGTGCGGCTGGGTCGACCGGGTGGGCGTTCTCCTTGTCCGAGGGAGGGATCGTTGAACCTTGAGCGGGTCGAGGAGGAGGAAGAGCGGCCATGGCGGGAGGAGGGCGGTCGGCGACGGTCGACTGCGGGTAGGCCGGTGCTGTTCGAGGCTGTCGGAGTGGTGCGCGGGTCTGCTGTGGAGCGAGCGAAGTGGACGAGCGCGAGAGGGGGAGAGGAGGGCGGGTCGACGAGGCGGCGGCCGGGTACGACGACGACGAAGGGAGCGGGTGCGGGTGGCGCGGGTGCGCAAGCATGGCCTGTGCCCGGTGATGCTCGGTGTGAGTGGGCGAGTGTGCGGGCTGGCGGTCGTGTGAGGAGGGGGAGGAGGGCCGAGGCGACGAGAGTCGCTCAACTCGCGCCGGCTCGAGTCTCACAAACTCGCACTCGCCGGGCTGGGCCTGATGTGGTCGTGCAGCTGCTCTGAGTAGCATCACAAGGACGACCATGTCATCAAACACGCACACAAAGAGGGGGCGAGTGGGGCGGGGCCGAGCCAGCGGCGGCGACGGCGACGAGGGGCGATGCACCTCGTCCTCGCCCCTCCTACGACGACGCACAGCATCTACTGCACAGTGTGCCACCCCCACCCCCGGCCTCGTACCTCGACCGACCACCGCCCAACCAGCTCGAGCCACCAGGTCGTCGGCGGGCTCAGCGTCATCGCACCATGCCCAACCCGCACGACCCGGACCCTCCCCAGGACGACCGCGACCACCGAGGCCCGGCGTGGACCAGGGTCACGGCAAAGCCCACCCGCGCGCGTCCACCTGGGCCGCCCGTGTGGCCCCCTCAGCTCCGCCGCTCTCCCGCCTCGGACCCTGCACTCGCACACGCCCACAACGCCAGCGCCCCTCCTGCCGGTGCCGCCACCTCGACCCTGCGCCCGTCGACCCCGAACAGGCCGTACGGCACCACGGCCGCAGGCGCCTCGACCGTCAGCCTCCCCGCCCAGCCCCTCGCCCACTACCTGCCTCCTCCAGTCGAGCGAGACGCGCCCTACCTCACCCACGTCACCCGCCACCATGGCCACCTCACCCTCGTCGCCCCGGACAACCTCGGCGCCCGCCGCCAACCGGGCACCCGCGACCCGCCCGACCTCGCCGTCGACGCCCGCGGCTCGTGGGGCGTCCCCTCGTACTCGGACGACGCCGACGCTCAACAGCAGCAGCAGCAGCAGCAGCAGCAGCAGCAGCAGCAGCCCAAGATCAAGAAGCGCAGCGACAAGGCCCGCAAGAAGGAGCGCGAGGAGCGCCAGCGCCGCGAGCGCGCCGTCGCGTCCGCCGTCGCCAACGCCGGTCGCACCCCGTCGCCGTCGCCCGGTGTGGGCGCGCCGCAGCTCGCGGCGTACCTTCCCTCGCCCGCGGCGGCCATGGCGAGGGGCAAGAGCTCGGGCTCGCTCGAGGTGCCCGGGCAGCGCGAGCCGCAGCGCCGCAAGAAGAGCCGGGAACGGGCGCAGGGAGGAGGCGAGGGCCGACTCGTGGGCGCAACTGAGCCAGGTGCGTCCTCTGACTTTCCCACATTCTTTCCAGCCGTCGAGGGGTCGCGAGACTGACCTGCTCTTGCACCCGCAGCTCCTCGACCGCCTCTTGAACGGCCGCAGCAACCTGCCGCCCGGCCGCCTCGGCCCGTCCCGACCCGACCGTCCGCCTCTGCGCCCGCCGCCCCTGCCGCGGCGTCACCGGCAGCGGTAGGGGCGCCGTCTCGGCCTCGAGGGCCGCGCGCCGCGCCGCGCGAACCTGCGCGGCCGGCTCCCCCTTCCGCCGCCCGACCGCCGGTCACTGCGGCCGGCTCGCCCTCTGCTCGGCCCGCACCTTCGCCTGCGCCCGCACCAGCACCAGCACGAGGCGCCTCGCCACTTCCCTCCTCCTCTTCCGCCTCGACAGCGGCATCGGCACCCGCAGCCGCACCGCCCTCTACTCGGCGCGCCCTCCCGCCGCTCAACCTGTCCGACCCAGCCCTCCTCGACGACCACCTGTCGCTCGGGCTCCTCGACCCGTCGCACCTCCTCTTGAGCCCGCCGCCGGCGTACTCGAGGCCGCTGCCTGGGGCGGCGGCGGGCCCTCCGGCGAGCTTGGGCGCGACGTCCGCTGAGACGGGCGCGAGCGGTGCAGCAGGAGCGGGAGCAGAGTCGAGCCCGTCGAGGGCGGCTCGAGCGAGCGGGAGCGCGTCGCAGTCGCCCACGCAGCAGCAGCAGCAGCAGCAGCGGCAGCAGCCGTCGCTCCCGCGCCGCAGCATGAGCGCCTCGCGGTACTCGCTCCCGCCGCCGTCGCCACCTCCCTCGGCCTCGCCGCCGCCGCCTCACCCGGCGCATGCGGCTGCGGGACGGCGCGTGGGCGCGCCGTCGTCGGGTTCACGAGCCGCGTCCCCCTCCCCTGCGCCCTCCCTCTCGCGCACTTACGCTCGCGCGCCTGCCGCCTCCAGCTCCGCCACACACCTCCCTCCCTCTTCCTCCGCCCCTTCCCTTCCCGCCGCCGTCCCGCTCTCGCCCATCCTCACCGCCACGGCCGACGACGACTCGTCGTCGGACGACAGCGACGACAGCTCGCTCGACGTCGCCGCGAGCGACCCGCTCGTGCTCGCGTGGGAGGCCGACCGGTCGGCCGGGCGGTACTCGCTCGAGGAGCGCATCGCGAGGGACTTGGAGCGGCGCAGGAGGGCCGAGGGCGGCGCGGCGGGCGCGGTCGATATGGAGGACGCGCTCGGCAGCGGATCAGGAGCGTCCGTCGGCGGAGCAGGAGAAGGAGGCGTCGATGGGGCTGGAGCAGGGCAGGGCGGGTCGGGAGGAGGAGCGGGATCAGGCGCTCGAGGGTCCGACGACGCCGACGCCGCCGGCCAGCGCGAGGACGACGAGGACCTCGCGCTCCTGCGGCGGCGCATCGCGCTCGCCGAGCGCGAGAACAACTCGCGCGGCGTCGTGCGCGCCCTGAGCGTGCACGCGACGCGCTCGAGCCTGAGGCGGGCGGGGCGCGCCGCGAGAGAGCGCAGGGGCCGCGTGAGTGGCGGGAGCGGGGCAGCAGGGGTCGAGGTCGTCAGGGAGGAGAACGAGCAGGGCGAGGAGGGCGGCGACGGCGGCGTGGCGGCGGCGATCGAGGCGGGCGCGTCGCTCGCCGACCTCGCCGCAGGGCGCTCGGGCCCTCTCCCGCCGCCGCCGACGACGAGGGCGCCGCACGCTCCTGCGCCGTCTGCTTCCTCGACGCCGCTCTCGGCACTCGGTGCTGCGCCCCTCGTCGACGAGGTCGCGCCCGTCGTCGACGAAGACGACGACGACGCGGCCCCGGCCCGCCCGGCGCGCCGCATCTCGCTGCACGGGCACCGCATGCTCGCCGAGGCGGCTGAGCGGCGTCTCGCGGCCGAGAAGGCGGCGAGGATGAGGGCGGCGGCAGCGGTGGCGGAGAGCGTGGCGGAGGAGCCAGAGGCCGAGGAGGCAGAGGACGAGAAGGTCCAAGCGGCGGCGGCGCCCGACACGCCGACGCGCAGCGCCCTTTACGAGCGGCTCTTCCCGTCGTCGTCTGCGCTCGGCGGTGCCGGCGGGCTGTTCGGCTCGAGGCTGGCCGTGACGGCGCCGCAGCCGCCGGCGAAGGAGGA